CAATGTTTAGGTTTTGATCATGAACTTCCTGCCCATAAATATACAATATACCACCTTAATACTAACGATCATAGCTATCTTTCCATATCTTTGATTTGAATATTTTCTGTAAATCAACATCATAAACAGAAATACAATCTGCACTGTCGATTCGTCTCTAGCGCGGAGCTAAATCGCCATGACAAACAGTTGATAAACATATGCAATATTTGAACAAACAACTTCCGTTGCGGACTAAACGTTAGTAGTCTAACGCCAGTAACTGTACAGTGGGGAACAGTAAATCTTTCTGACAAGTCTTATGGATTTCTTTTTTTCAAATTGGCTGTCTGATATAATAATAGTTGCGTGTATGTGACATGGGTGCATAATTAAAAAATCGCAAAAAGGTCGAGAGTCGCGGTAACCACTTTACTAATCTCGCCATATTTCGCAATCCGTAGCACTGCATAAAATATGAGTTATACGATATTAATGCTGAGATGATTAGGGTGATGATGGTTATAATTTCTTTCAATGAACGTCATAAATGTCATGGAAATATACACTGTCGTTTTCTCATGTGTACCGACCATTCCGCCATTACAGTGGATAACCGTTGTCGATAAAAATATACAAAATGTGTAAATAAACTTGTTCGTAAAGGAGTGAAAAGAAATCTATTTACGTGAATAACTATACAGTTGTGAGAAACATGTCTTTCTGACCACTCTGGTCATATTATTTCTTATGACCAAGGATTTTGTCTGAAAATATTTACGTATATGTGACATGGGTGCATAATCAAAATTCGCCATCATTCGCTTGGTGTTCAAACATGGCAGAGAAAGGCCGAGAAGCGCGGTAGCCACTTTACTAATCTCTCCATATTTAGCAATCCGTAGCATCGTATAAAGTATGAGTTGCACGATGTTAAAGCTAAGATGATTGGGGTGATGATGGTTATAATTTTGACTTGGTGCACTCAGTGTTTGATATCTTAATTCACGGTTTAAAAAGGGCATTTTCTCGGGACCATATATGGTCCCTTGGCACTATGCGGGTGTGAAAAGTGAGGGACTATATATGGTCCCGTGGAACCAAGAGTTGGGATATTTGGAGTTATGTGTGAAGCTACCAGCAAGCAAGTGAATTTCATCATTCCAGAGAGTGCTGTTACAGGAAAGGGTTCAAACGCAGTCATAAGCATGTTACACTTCTACTTGTCCAGCTATGGGCTTGGAGAAACCAGTGCCATTTTCCACATGGACAATCGCACCGGGCAAAACAAAAACAACTTTGTAATAGGCTACTTCGTATGGAGAGTTGCAAGTTGCATGAACGGGTACATCTCTGTGCCTGTGGGTCACACTAAATTTAGCGCAGACTTTGCTTTTTTGAGTATTCAAGTCCAGATTCAGAAGGTCTGAAGTTCACATAATAGCCAATGTTGAAACGTGTATGTACAACTCAAGTCCTACACCCAGAGTGAATGTCCCTCAGACTGTGATGAAACAAGATGAATCGACAGTTGTTCCCACTTTAGACTGGCAAAAGCTGTTCAACGATATTGGTTTCAGGAAGCTGCCAAATCTCAGAAACTTCCATTATTTTGAAGTCGAGAGAAACAGACCAATCGAGGTCACTTGTAAGTTGAATCTGAGTGATCCTTGATCTAGATTTCAAGTCTTCAAATATACCGTCCTGGAGAAGGTGACATCTACAGGACTGCCTCCAGTTGATAAACTGTTGGGTTGTCTGTGGAAAGGAAATGGTACCTATACAATAAGATCAGACCAAGTCGGAATCAAGAGATGTAATGTGACCTAAGCCAGCAGTAGATCCACCTGATGTAGACGAGCCAAGTGTAGTCATAAGTCTGAACTTGGTCATGCTGACGTGAAGCTCCCAAGACCCACACGTAAACGACCTACGTGTTCTTACTGCGATGAGTCTGGACACAGGAACGTGGTCATGCTGACGGGGAGCTCCCAAGACCCACACGTAAACGACCTACGTGTTCTTACTGCGACGAGTCGGGACACAGGAACGTGGTCATGCTGACGGGGAGCCCCCAAGACCCACACGTAAACGACCTAAGTGTTCTTACTGCGATGAGTCTGGACACAGGAACTTGGTCATGCTGACGGGGAGCCCCCAAGACCCACACGTAAACGACCTACGTGTTCTTACTGCGATGAGTCTGGACACAGGAACTTGGTCATGCTGACTTGGAGCTTCCAAGACCCACACGTAAACAACTTATGTGTTCTTACTGCGACGAGTCGGGACACAGGAGCGTAGTCATGCTGACGAGGAGCTTCCAAGACCCACACGTAAACGACTTACGTATTCTTACTGCGACGATTCTGGACACAGGAACGTGGTCATGCTGACGTTGAGCTTCCAAGACCCACACGTAAACGACTTCCGTATTCTTACTGCGACGATTCTGGACACAGGAGCGTGGTCATGCTGAGGTATGGCTCCCAAGACCCACACGTAAACGACCTACGTGTTCTTACTGCGACGAGTCTGGACACAGGAACGTGGTCACGCTGACGTGGAGCTCCAAAGACCCACACGTAAACGACACACGTTAGCAAAAATCATGCTTCAATGCTTCCTCCAATACACCAACACTGCTTCGTGCTTTCTATGAACATCACTATGGCTGTACATGATATCGCTGGGGACGTGCAGGTATTGATTTCAAGTACAACTTTTTGTTTACGAATGTGTTTTTTTATGTCAAATCCAAGGGAGCGTGAGGATTTTAAAAAGCTGTTCCCTAAAGTCATCTGATATCGTTGGGGACGTGTGGGTATTGATTTCAACATCTTGAGTGGCTTCCACACTCGTCATTACACATCTAAAACGCCATGACACAGGACCGACCTCTCCGATTTGTACGGTAGGGCAACCTCATATTGAAATTGTAAAACAAACGTTTTTTGTTGCATGTTGTCAAATAACATTTGATAGTGGTAATGTACTGAAATATTCACCAAGCATGGTTTAACCAGACATAAGACTAACATTTCTATTCTTGTAGGAAATACACACAGCGTTCAGGGATGCAATCATTAACTTTCTTCAATATAACATTGTGATTCCCATCTGTAACAGCCTCAAGGCTTCTGAGGCTGGCGGGGTACGGGTGGCCCAGTCGTCTGAGGCGCCGCAATTCGCTGTGCAGAGTTGCGTCCCTTGGGCACACCAGAAACCTATGATCGTGCGTTGAAATCCCGGTTCACCCCGATTATGTTTCCAGGTTTGACAACACCATATCCATGGGTTTTACCAAAGTGGTAAACGTTTGGGACCTGCATCACTTAGGGCTTTCCTCATACATTATGCTGACATGCAGTGATATAACTGGAATACTATATATCACCGGGTCGTAAAACGCCCAGTGACCGTAGCGCCTCCCTACTCATCGCTGTCCGGCGGTCGGCCCAGCTCGGCGCCGCTCGGTACATCTCGGTGTCTTTATGCTCATTAAGGTTTTGTAAGAGAATATGTTGTCTGTATATTTTATTCTCTAGCAGTTTAATCTCATATTTTTATCATGTATTGATTTGATATATGTTATCTCATTTATGTATGCAAGATTATACATGATGTTAATCACTGGATTGTCTGGTCCAGATTCGATTATTTACAGACCGCCGTCATATAGCTGGAATATTGCTGAGTGCGGAGTTAAACAACAACAAAAAAACATGTATTGGAAGTGTGTTTGTAACTTTCACGCAGTAGCGGACCATCTAGTACTTCGTAGATATTTCTCATGTATTTATTTTATTTGCCACCTTTTTAATAATACATATCTGGTTATAAATGTTTAATGGTACCTTTTGGTAGCTTCTGTTCAGCCCTTTATTGTTGTACGTTCATTTCCAATATGGGTGTAGTAGGTAGTTTGCCGTTCGTGTCATCCTTATTTTAGAAAATACAATCCTGTAGGCTCGCTATACCCGGCTAGCAAGGAGATGCTGTCTTCTCCGACGTCCACGCGTCTCGTTTAAGAACCCTGGTGCTACCGAGTGTAACTATCGCCACCGACTGTTATACCTTTACGGGTCGCCAAGCTAGTGTGTGGTCAGGTCGAAACTTATAGGGTACCCGTCCACTTTCGCGTTGTTGGCCGCGATATATCACGATGTTAAGTTCGTGATAAACTCGTAGAGATTGTGTTTATGTCGTAGTAGGCCCGTAACATGAGTGTGTGCTAACCTCGTTTTATATTCGTATTAAAATTGTGACCTGGAAAGGAAGGAAAGCCCGAAATGATGCAGGTCTCAGACGTTTACAACGTCGGTGAAACCCACGAGCACAGGTATGGTGCTGACAAACCTAGAAACATTATCGGGGCGAACCGGGACTCCAACCCACAATCATAGGTTTCTGGCGTGCCCAAGGGACGCAACTCTGCACAGCGAATCGCGGCGCCTTAGACGACTGGGCCACCCGTGCCCCCGATCGATATTAGAGATAAGAACACCTATCCATATTTACAATTGACATGACTTGTGATAAATATTATTTTTACATTTTTCAGTAACGATTGTGAATAATTAATAAGCGAAGGTCAAAGATATTGGTAACCCTGTCTTCAACAAAAGCGCCCATACCAAGTTCCACCATGACGATAGTGCAGCAGCTGCCATTGATGTTTCTGTTGTGTTGCCAGACATGTGTCCTGTTGTTTCTTCTGTGGGGGGACATGGCTCCTGATGTGAAACAATGGAAACGAGCAGTTAACGATGAACACACATGTCACTGCAACGTGACAGGTCGCGGTGACGAGACCGTTCAACACCAAAAAATCAACAGAAAAAGCAAACGCAACAGGCTGCCACAATATATTGACGAACGTGATCTACGCGTTATCCTTGGTGACAAGACAGTGTGTGGCGACGTCGCACTCATACATGCTGTTTTCGTCGTTCACAGTGCCGTTGGCAATTACCCAAGACGACAAATTATTCGAGAAATATTTCGAAGGGATCCTTATTACAAAAAGTACACCATACGTCTTCTTTTTCTCTTTGGACAACCACACGAAATGAAACTACAAGATAACATTACCCAAGAATTCAGACAATATGGCGACATTATCCAAGGTGTCTTTCTGGACACGTATCACAATTTGACGTACAAAGCAGTCATGGGAATGAAATGGATTAGCCAAAACTGCAGGAACGTCAAATACATCGTCAAAATGGACGACGACGTTTACGTTGACCTTCACAACTTTTTCACACGCCTCTACAACACGTTCAGATCTTCAGACCATACAATCATATGCAATGCAATGATACGAGCACAGGTCTTCAGAAAAGGGAAATGGGGTGTTGAGAAACATCATCTCCGGTATTACAAACAATTTCCCTTTAGTTATTGCAGTGGTTTTGCTGTCGTCATGCCGGCTGCAATGATACCGGTCTTGTACAAGGCGACACTTACTGTGCCTTTCTTCTGGATAGATGACATATATCTGTTCGGAATGGTGCGCAGAATGATACCGAAATCAGTGCTACATGACAGTGGACCAAAGTATTTCGATTTTGACGGTAACGAGAATCTGAAATGTTTTAAACGAGCAGGATGTAAGCTTGCTTTTGCCTCAATGGGTTACAACAAGTTGCTTTTCCGCGCCTGGAAAGAGAAACAGAAGCATCTGAACCCTTGACAATGATTATGAGTGAGTTAGTTTAACGCTGCTCTAAACAGTATTCAGATATATCATGAATTTCGGGTTAATTGGAGAGGGTGAGGTGATACAGTTAAAACAAGATTTCCAGTTTTTTATTCAAAATGTAAGACAAAGGCTAAAGCTGGGGTGTGTTTTCATCAATGTCTGAATTGTCTAAATGAAAAAAATGGATACCCTGTAGTCAAACAATACAGTAGGCGCGGTATAAAACGAATTCGGTGACAGCAGGCGAGACAAAAGACCACATGCAGCATGTAGACAACTGAAGTCATGGCATGGAAGACTGAACACTCATCACCTGCCTCGGTGGCTCAGGGGGGAAACACTGGGTTGCAATACAAAACATGGAATGAGAGGTTGCAGGTTCGACTCACTTCATCCAAATCTCATTAAACGAATCGTTACTTTTAAGCATTCAACATTTGATGCATGTTAAAATGATGTTTATAAACCTTTGGTGATGTAACAGATTTCTGTTAAATTAGAAAGTCGAAGGCACGCTCTCGGAAATGGATACAGTGGGTTTACGGCATTATAAGTTTATAACTTTGGTGGAATCGCGAGCACGAAACAAGAAATATATTCAGGGCTAACCGGGACACGACCCCATGATCATATTTGCTATGTGCTGACTGGTTGGTTTGATGGAGTGTAATTGTTTCTCGTTCTTGTCATTTTATCCATTTGTAAACAGAGATTATATATCTACCTCTGTTTGGGGAATGTAAGTCATTAGATAGTATATAGGACATAACGTTGTTATCTTTTTGTCAAGTATTACAAACTGACAAGCATTGTGTATTTAGAAAACTGTTTGCAATCAAATTATAACTTGTAAGTCCCCTGTAACTAATATGAATTATGTGCACTTAGTTTTACAAATGTAGATGTCATGTATGTAGTACATATTTGCCCTGTCGCCAAATAGAAAGTGTAATTTGTATCTTTCTATGCTGCTGTGTATGGCCTGAATGTAGCACTTATATAGCGACATGCATGCACTGTGCACGGATTGTGTGTGATTGGATTGCACCTCTTAGGCATCCATTCTACATACCCATATACTAAAACGGATATTTCAAAACCAACATATATAATTTTAACATTGGACTTGTATGTGCTCATTATTAGCCCGTCCTTTTGTCTCCAAATAATACAATGAAAGATGCGAAAAAGCCCCTTTTATATGAAATAAACAGGAAAATCGTATCGTTACATTGTTTATTTAGTTTTTACAATTCCTATAGATAAGAGATCGTACAGATTAGAGATTCTTCTATTGATCTTACATTATATTTTTAAAAGTAATTTCCTACGTATTTTATCGATCAAAAGAGCTAAACTTTTTCACAAACGGTCTCGTTTGCTGCGTTTGGTTGAAACATATTATACTATATTTATAGATCATATTAAGGAGCGTTTTACGGAAAATTTCGACAGTCTGATTTTCTTTGGCCCATCAGTTTATGTCCATCAATACTACTTAATACTAAGTACTAATACTACTTAAAACATACAAAATTATAGTAATAGGGACAAACATGAGAGCTAAAGAAAGATGTTAGTGTGTGGCTATAATGTTATATGGTTATAATCAATACAGACCGCGTCCGTGGTCTAGTGGTAGAGTATCCGCCCAGAGAGCGAAAGGTTCAGGGTTCGTTCCCCGGGCGCGTCATACCAAAAGACGTTAAAAGATGGTACTTGTTGTTACCCTGTCTGGCGCTCGGCATTAAGGGGCTAAAACAAGGACTGGTCGGCTCGGAGTCAGTACACTGTGTCTGAGTGGGGTATTCATGTTAAAAACTGCGGCATGGTATCTCAGTGAGCTAGCACTTTAAATCGGCATCAGTCCGGACTAGTACAAGCAGCCACACACACACACGCGCGCGCATGCACGTCACTATATAAGTGCAATAATCTTGGGCGCGACGTTAAACCCAATTTCACCTCACCTATAATCAATACTCTCCAAAACGAAACGCACCGGTGAAAATATTTACAAACATCTCTATTTTAAAAGATATTACTAGCAAATATCTATCAAAGTCAAACTTCACAGGATAAAAGTCATAATGTCTGTTGTCAAATCTGACTGACATAAATGTCACATAAACTTTCCCGCAGCGTTAACGTCAGTACCTGTTGTGACCACCATTGGCCTGTGTCACAGTTCTGCAATGCCTACCCATTGACTGAAATTTGCGGAAGCGTTCGAGGCTGCGGTTGAAGTTGTCGGACACAGCGATCTAGTTCATCCCATAGATGATCAGTTGGGTGTAAATCGGACGATCTTGATGGCCATGGAAGCACAGTTATTTTTCTGATTTTATCGGAAATCTATAATGACACGCACGTGCAACATGTGGTCAGGCGTTGTCCTGCTGAAAAAGTTGACGCCCAAGGTTACAATTAAATTGGAAATTCCTCGGTAGGCCGAGTGTGTTGAGTATTGTAAGTATATCTAGTGCACTTTCTTATGTATATAAGAATTGCATGTACTCTATTGCATGAACGACACATTTTGACGTTAAGACGTTTTTCACCAAACTGTATTCTTGAAATGACGTAAACAGTGACGGACTTCTTCCACTTTCTTGGGGAAAAACCCCAGCACGAATAAATACAGAAGCGTCGTTTCTCATTATTTGGACCCTTTAATCTTGAACTTACCGTTTTAGCATACATTGAGATAAGTGAGCGAGTTTGACTACATGACGGTTCAAAGATATCCTCGCTACAACCCATCCTGGAGAACAAAACGCAAAAAAAGCACATCCAAACTATCATAGTATCGACTCGATCCGCGTCTAGACTACAGTGACAGTCTACAGCAATGAATGAATTTACCTTAGTATCTATGTGACACATCTTTAAAATCACCTAGCAATGATCGGCCAATTGATCAGTGATGAGTACCACTTGTAAAAGCCACCGGTGCATTAACAACTTCGGAAATCTCTCCCGTCACGTTTATCATGGCGGCCATTTTGACGTCTTGCACGTGATATAAATGTATTACGACGCGCTGTCATGGTGGCTGAGTTACTGAGGTAGTTCATGACAGTCCTTTCTCATCAAATGATGTTGTAAGAAAAACTACAAAAGTTGTTCCTGTAGAGCATGTTGCGAATACATACGCTTATGTCACCTCTCCTTTGGAGGAACTATTTTATTCCGCTTTTCAGCAGGTTGTTGTATAACTGTCACTGTCACACGTACTAAACATAATTGTGTGCAGTTCTACATCATTTAAAGTAACAAAAGGTTATATAAAAGTTATCGCAAGCTCCGGCGTCCATACAGTTTGGACCTCACTCTATAAAGTGAAATTCAATTCTTTAATGTATTTGCGTTGTTCATAAAAGTGAGGACTTGTACGTCTTGTATATAACGCACTTTTCTGTCGATGTATTTCTTTGTCAAATCGTCCCATGTGATAATGTTCCAAACGCAAATGGGGTCGTTATCGACACAGGTACTACAGATATGTATCCCAGGTACGTTCCTGTGTACAGAGGGGCGGTCGGGTAGCCTAGTGGTTAAAGCGTTCGCTCGTCACGCCGAAGACCCGGGTTCGATTCCCGACATTGGTACAATGTGTGAAGCCCATTTCTGTTGTTCCCCGCCGTGATATTGCTGAGAAATTGCTAAAAGCGGCGTAAAACCATACTCACTCACTCACTCACTCACTCACTCCTGTGTACAGAATCGTACCCTAGCCAAAATCAGAACACAGGCACCCGAGGACATGGCACATGCCGTATTGTAGAACGCCCTTAACAGGTTCCTTGAACGCTTGACGCTGTAAATTCAACATGGCAGTATGCATTGTGTATTTTTCTCTCGGTATTTCCTTTCCATAAATGGATCGGAACTGCCATACTGTTGTATAAGACGATTTCAAGTGGGCTGTATTAAGAACGAGCAAACACAGCGACGTACATACATCACCGGCACATATTCCACGATGCACAGCATGATCCAGCTTGCATTCATCAGGTGAAGCAGAACTACATGAACCGGTTTCGGTTTCGGGTTGAGAAATATGATTGGTTGGTTGGTTGGTTGTTTTACGCCGCACTCAGCAATATTCCAGCTATATGACGGGGGTTTGTAAATAATCGAGTCTGGACCAGACAATCCAGTGATTAATATCATGAGCATCGATCCAAGCAATTTGGATCGATGACATACATGTATCAACCAAGTCAGCAGAGCCTGACCACCCGATCCCGATAGTCGCCTCTTACGACAAGCATAGTCGCCTTTTACGGCTAGCATGGGTTGCTGAAGACCTATTCTACCCCGGATCCTCACGGGCCCTACTCGTCCGCCGTTTAGTGTACCGGGTACCTTTCTGTATTCTGATTTTGGCTGGGGTAGCTTTCTGTATACAGAGACGTATACCTGGGACGTGTAAGGAAATAAAATGACACAATACTCATCGATTCGCCTTGTATTTCTCTGTGTATTTCAAACGAATACGTGCCAATCGTTTCTCATATGTGCCAGTGGCGGTCGGGTAGCCTAGTGGTTAAAGCGTTCGCTCGTCACGCCGAAGACCCGGGTTCGATTCCCGACATGGGTACAATGTGTGAAGCCCATTTCTGGTGTCCCCCGCCGTGATATTGCTTGTATATTGCTAAAAGCGGCGTAAAACCATACTCACTCACTCACTCACTCATTTACTCCTGTCTCGGCTAACAATGAGTTCTAGTGGCGAGTTCAATAGCACATAATAGTATGTGCTAATGTGAGGTAGCCGATGACTGTGAAAACGGTGACAGCAAATTTGCATAGATAACAACAATTGAGAAGTATCGTGACAATGAAGGGAATTCATTTGCTGTAAAAATGGAATACTTTTTTTTAACCCCAGAAAACAAAAATGAATAGTGTCACGTCATTCGTCAAATGATTGTGAAGGTTGAGACCTTAACACAGTGATAGTTAACTCTGACAATGACATGTTCCTTAATTAAATCCATGCATGTCATCGTATCCCAATTGCGTGGATCGATGCTCATGATGTCAGTCACTGGATTGTCTGGTCCAGACTCGATTATTTACAGACCGCCGTCATATGGCTGGAATATTGCCGAGTGCAGCGTTAAACAACAAAAAAACAAATAATCAATTCCACGTGATTGTTTATGGGGTTTCCTGTTTATTTGTTGGCAATCAACTTCTATCAAACGACTTTTAGAGAATTCTAGTATCGACTTGTCACACCGACCTCTTAGTCACGCCGAAGACCCGGGTTCGATTCCCAACATGGGTACAACGTGTGAAGCCGTGATATTGCTGGAATATTGCTAAAAGCGGCGTAAAACCATACTCACGCACTCTTAATAGTTTTATGAATAACACGTGTGTCCACGGGAGCGTAGTCAATTTCATCGTCATGATCTGCATGCTTATAAACTTAGAAAATATTCGTGTGTTGTCATGCATGTATGAAACAGCCTATAACCTGAAGTAATTACTTTACGCCTGTCCCGAGGTGATGACCTCACACCGGCCCGTGGATTCTCACAGGTGCAAATGTCACCCGAGTTGTCTCAAAATATCGCTGTTATTGTACTTAATTGACATGTGCGTTGATGGGGGTAGCTATTTAGGATATGTACTGCATTATATTGCTTGGAAAAATGATGGAATAGTAAAGGTTACGAAACAGGATAAATATTGGAACGTTGCGGTTTTGGAATCAAGAAGAATTTGTTGTTCTACAGATGGCTTCTTGAGGTAGCGTTGATCTCTTCTGATGATGTATATGATTCTGTACTCTCACCCAAAGGTTCACCAAGGCCGACAACTAGCACAGACTGCGTTGATCCTCCCTTTGACGTGTGAGTTTGAATGTTGTGCTATGTCTTGCCACGAACCCTGTACAGTTCGCCAAGATAGACACAACAGGGTTGAGCTCACAATGTCTGACTAGCGTACGTAAGACAAGGTAATCGTGTTTCAGCACATATGTCTTGTACATTACTGGTTTCTTATTCAGCCGAATTTTCTCCACGAGTTGACAATGTCATATATTCCCGTATGGTCACCTTCAGACTACTCATGGTTGGCGCGACAGTATTTGATTCCCGGACGTTATATTAACTGGCGTTATCCATGACAATGACACCGAGGTAGTTTAAAATGGGCAATAAGCTGATGTTCCAGCAAGTCTATGAACACATCACCTCCTATAATATTCCCTCAGGAAAATCACCAGTTTTCTTTTTCGCTTCGAAAAATAGCTCTCATCAATCAATAAGCCCCAGATCATTGTTTGCGGAGTGCAAAACAATGACACGATTACTTTTACCCGATGGTACCATGGGTGCTTTTTGTTCATCTGCCGATAGCTTTGGGCGGTCATTCGGTTAAAAAATACAAAGTTAAAAAAAAAATGGACAAAAGTACACAATAAAGGTCAAATATTACTAATGAAGAACTAATTGTTACTAATAAAGGTCAAAATACGAAACAATGAGACGCCGGTTAAAAAATAAAAAGTTGGAAGAAAGGTCAAAAGTACATAATATTAATAGTCAAATGTTACGAAAAGAAAGATGACGTAATACACTGTGCACCTCGGCATGCATTCAGTTATCATATACACGGCGGAACAAGCCGATTAAACTCGGAATGTTTTACAAGTTGCAGCGCCAACTGGTGTGAGTTGCCCCCCTGGATTTTTTATAGAAAACATTTTTCCTTGTGAAAGTTAACTTGAATAAGAAATGAATAATCTTATTTGCCCCCCCCCCTGTCAAAAAATAGTTTACAACGGCCTTGCTCTATCTCTCTAAAGTGTACAAAACATGTATACATTTCCTAGTACAGACTCCATGTCATATACAATGGCTATGGCCATGCAAGTGTTATGTAACATGCATTATGGGAGCAGTGTTGACAAACAAACGCAGCATCATTTTGTTATTTTAGAAGATGCACATCTAGAATTTTCTCCACATGATTTTTGTGTGTGGATTAGATGTTTTATGAAGATTACTCTATTATCATTATAACAGAGTCACGTGAGCATATTTCTATAATCCGTTTCAGACTGCCATCATTGGACATAGAATAAATGTGAACTTCAACTTTCGTTCGAATTTTTCTCCTGTAAACATGTCGATAGGACACCTTGTGACTGAAATACTTAAAACCACAGGTAGGTCGATAGGTGGTTACTCGGTATTTCAATAGAAGTCTGTGAAAAATTCTATCCTTTTTTAATGGGCAAAAAGCATTTTTCGAGCTTTTCCGACAATACTTTTTAGTTGCCTTTACGACAAGCATGGGTTGCTGAAGACCTACACTAACCCGGATGTTCACGGAAGCTTATGCAGTAATCTTGAACGCGGCCTTAAACCCAAGGCTACCTCTGCTACTGAGGTCCTGGCCTTATAGGCTTGTGTTTAAAATCCCCACTGTCCACTTTCAGTGTTGTCGTCAGATTTAAGGCTTCATGAACACAACATTAGTATATTAACATTCAGGCCAGCATTTGGCGATACATATTACCATTTGGCGACAGGGCAAATAAATACACCACACATGGCGTTTAAGTTCGTAACTGATAAGTGGCCGTATTTTGCATAGAGTACTTATGAGTCACAAATATATTGCAAAACAAGTCAAGACAAGTCAAAAATTATGCTCGGCGCAATTCCCTATTTTGACTTGTACAACATGTTCCCGTGTTTTGTCAGGTGAACAATTGACTTGCATTTGCATGTGTTTGTGACGGTACCACTGTTGGGACAGGATACGATCACCTTTTCGCAAACACCTAGTACCATCGCTATTTGATAGTGATTCATAAACACATGCTCATGATATAGTCGGAACCGTACAATCGACTGTACTTTCAGTAGAGATTTCTTATGAAATGGTTTTGGTCGCTTTTATTTTCATTTTGAAATAATTGAGAAAATTTAACATCAGGTCCCCTATAATATTTAATGATGTATATGCCAAAGCAGGGGCAGATAATTAGCACACAGCACATATGATCATGGGTTCGAATCCAGGTTCGCCCTGCTCATGTTCCTAGTTCCAACACTGTAAATGTGATCATGGGTTTCACGTCTTGGACCCGCATCGTCCGGGCTTTATGTGATTTACCTGAAATACTGTTTAAAGCGGCGTTAAACCCAATTCACTCACTCATAATTATTGTTTATGGTTCAGATACTTCTGTCTCTCTTTCCACACGTGGAGCATCAACTTTGAACTCATACATGCAAAAACAAGCTCACATCCTGCTCGTCTCAAACATTTCCAATTCTTTTTGATGTCATGCTCAAAATACTTCTTTCGTGTAATGTCATGCAACACTGACTTCCGTATGAATCCGCGCGCCATTCCGAACAGATATATGTCATCTATCCAGAAGAAAGGCACGGTCAGTGTCGCCTTGTACAAGGCCGGTATCATTGCAGCCGGCATGACGACAGCAAAACCACTGCAATAACTAAAGGGAAACTGTTTGTAGTACCGGAGATGATGTTTTTCAACACCCCACTTCCCTTTTCTGTTGACTTTTACTTGACCTCGTAGCATTGCTCTGCATATGACAGTATGGTCTGAAGATCTGAACGGGTTGTAGAGGTGTGTGAAAAAGTTGTGAAGGTCAACGTAAACGTCGTCGTCCATTTTGACGATGTATTTGACGTTCCTGCAGTTTTGGCTAATCCACTTCATTCCCATGACCGCTTTGTACGTCAAATTGTGATAAGTGTCCAGAAAAACACCTTGGACAATGTCGCCATTTTCTCTGAATTCTTGGTAAATTTTATTTTGTAGTTTCATTTCGTGTGGTTGTCCCAAGAGAAAAAGGAGACGTATGGTGTATTTCTTGTAATAAGGATCCCTTCGAAATATTTGTCGAATTGCTTGTCTGTTTCGGTAATTGCCAACGGCACTGTGAACGACAAAAACCGCGTGTACGTATGCGACGTCGCCACAAATTGACTTTTCGCCTAATATAACGTGGAGATTCCTGAGGTCAATATATTGTGGCAGCGTGCGGCGCTTGCCCTTCGAGTTGATTTCTTGGTGTTGGACGGCTTCGTCACCGCAACCTGTCACGTTGCAGTGACATGTGTGTTCATCCTTAATTGCTCGTTTCCATTGTTTCACACCAGGAGCGATGTTCCTCCACAGAAGAAACAACAGGACACATGTCTGGCAACACAACAGAAACATCAATGGCAGCTGCTGCACTATCGTCATGGTGGGATTTGGTATGGGCGCTTTTGTTGAAGACGTCGTTACCAATATCTTTGATCTTCGCTTGTTAATTATTCATAACCGGTAATATTACGTTCTGAAAAACGTAAAAACAATATTTATCACAAGTCATAACAATTGTAAATATCGATATGTCAGTTATTGTTGTTATTCCTAAGCCGTGGACGTGATTCAGATTTTGATCTTTGGATTGACACCACCATACTCCTGCTTTTGGTGTTTGACTGTGTGAGTGAGTGAGTGAGTGAGTTGGGTTTAACGCCGCTTTTAACAGTATTCCAGTCCTATCACGGCGTGTCAGCTTAATTTCGGAGGAAAGCCCGAAGTGATGCAGGTCTCAGACGTTTACCACTTCGGTGAAACCCACAAGCACGGGTATGGTGCTGACAAACCTAGAAACATAATCGGGGCGAACCGGGATTCGAACCCACAATCATAGGTTTCTGGCGTGCCCAAGGGACGCAACTCTGCACAGCGAATCGCGGCGCCTTAGACGACTGGGCCACCCGTGCCCCCCTTGACTGTGTGATAAAATCTACTTGAAACTTTGCTCGTACACGTTACGACTTATATCTGAAAGGGGGTCGTCGGGTAGCCTACTGGTTAAAGCGTTCGCTCGTCACGCCGAAGGCCCGGGTTTGATTCCCGACATGGGTACAATGTATGAGGCCCATTTCTTGTGTCCAACGCCGTGATATTGCTTGAATATTGCTAAAAGCGGCGTAAAACCATACTCACTCACTATATCTGAAAGTTTAAAGAGGCGTTAAACCTACCCCACTCACTGTTTCGAAAATAGAATGAGCGATGTTTAATAAACAATTTTCATCTTATATGGTGACTACTCAATTCATCTTGACGAAACAACTGGCCGCACACCTAACATAATATAATACTTCGGTTTCTGAAATCTTTAATCTAGAATTTTCAATGCGCTGGCTGTGAAGGTTTAAGGAACCTCATCGAATGTCAAAATTAAGCACGCATCAAATCGTCCACAATACCAAAAAAAATTACAAAAACGTATCAACACACAACTATCTTCAGTTATTTTCGGTTGCTCGTATTTATGGGTAGGACAGCAAACAGCTGTGAGAAGAACAAAAAAATCACAAATTTTGAAGAAAAAAATAAGGTTGGCAGGGAGTTTACATGTTTAACAATTTCATTGGAATTTCTTACCGTTCAGATCTGAGTCGGTCATGCGTTGCACATAGGGGACGACTCTTCTCCACGGCGTTTACGTGTGTAATGATGGATGGCAGAGCCAATCACTCTGTCTCCAGCCTATGGAATCAATGCTCACATGTCACCAACCATATCGGCTATTTAAAGGCTATTTAATATCATGTGGGGCGTGGAGAGGGAGAGTGGCATAGACATAATATCTACTACAGTAAACTACGGTTATAACGAACTCAAAGGGACTACTAATTTTAGTTCGTTATAACCGTAGTTCGTTATAAGTACATATACAGCATGACTATAGCAAGTAGTCGGGGCCGAAAAGTAAGTTCGTTATATCCGTCAATTCGTTATAAGCGTGTTCGTTATAACCGTAGTTTACTGTAGACTAAGAAACATGTCGGTGTATGGAAGATTTAAGAATGTTGTCTGTTTGTTTCTGTTTCTGTATGTATGTATTTGTTCTTTAACGCCCTACTAAGAAATGCCCCAGATATATGACGACGATCTGTAAATATTCGAGTCTAGTCCAGACAATCCTGTGTTTGACATCGTGAGCACTGATCTACCAAATTGGAGATACGATGACATGCTTCATTCATGTGGATACGTTTTTGGGTTACCCAAATATTTGTCATGACCCCTCCTACCGCTTCAGTGGTGTATTCGATACAGCGTCTGATCGGAGAGCGGAAGGTCCGGGGTTCGATCCCTTGGTCGCATCATACTACAATATGTTAAAAGATGGTACTTGTTGTTACCCTGCCTGGCGCTCGACATTAAGGAAATACATCAAGGACTGGTCGGCTCGGAGTCAGTATACTGTGTCTGAGTGGCGTATCCATGTTAAACTGCCGCATGGTATTTCTGTGGGCTAGCACTATAAGACCAACTTAAGTCTGAACTAGCGCAGGCACCTCACACAAACGTACATGCACGTGGCTCAATGAGTGAAATATATTTGAATGCAACGGTAAACGCAATTTCAGCTCACTTCCCGAAGGTGAATTCTTAAGGATGTAGCTGGTGTGAAAACAATGGTATCGACAGGAGATATACACAGTAGAATAGTTTCACTTATCGCCAGTTGAAGATACATTTTTATAAATATTGACTGACTGCCAGAGGTAGCTTGATGACTGTTAGCTATTGATTAGTTTCATCTGAAGTACTGTTTCTCGTAAATGTCAGAATGATAGAGTGCTTCTAACAGTGCACTATTCTTGAAGAAACACGTAGCACACTTATATCAGTGTACACCTCGCCTGTGTAAATGCATACCCCACGAGTGTATTAATTACCCCATTGTTAAAGACTTGTCATAATAGGTTCATTTATTATAAAAACAAATTGCTTGATTGTTCAAATAATATTTTTGTCGCCAACGTGTCCTCCCATATCCAAATAAAGACTTTCACCGAATACAAGTTTGGAAACTTCGAATCGGGTTCGAAAACTGAGAACTGCACTGGAATACATTTTTTAGGCTCTGCAGGTACAACACCCCATCATTGTCTTGCAAAGGATTCGGATTTTCACTCATTGTCTGACCAGACATATTGAGAAGCCTTTTTATTTTCTTCTTGAAATTTCAAAATACTAAGTATAAATTTCAAGATACTAAGTTGAAATTTCAAGATACTAACTCGAAATGTCAAGATACTAAGTTGAAATTTCATGAACCTAAGTTGAAATTTCAAGGTACTAAGTTGAAATTTCATGAAACTAAGTTGAAAATTGAGGATCGATACTAAGTTGAAATTTCAAGAAAATGATCTTGAAATTTCAAGATAATAAGTTGAAACTTTAAAATGTTAACTTGTTAAGATACAGTGTTGAAATTTCAAGATGCTAAGTTGAAATTTCAAGATACAAAAGTTGAAATTTTAAGATATATAGGTTGAATTTTCAAGATATTAACTTGAAATTTCAAGATATTAACTTGAAATTTCAAGAAAAACAAACAAAAAATCAAATGGACTTAAAAGGCTTTCACAAATTTATTAAATAACAAAGTACATCTCAACTATTGTACAGTAACAAAGAAACACCTTGTGTATATTGCAACAAAAACAATGAATATATATCCTACAGCAAATGGTAAAAATATACCCAATGAAATGACGATATAAAACCTTATAGATAGGAAAGCACCAAATTGTACTGTTGGATTTACAAGGGCCATTTAAAATATTCTATAGCAAAAATATTTTTATCAATTTTATACATTTAAAAACGTAAATGTATGTTCAACATATTTTGATTGTTTGCGCATATATATTTAAATATTTTAAATAAACTAGAGCAACTTCAAACAAATATTTACTTTACGCGCTTTAATGGAAAAACACATACAATTCTTTCACTCGCGAGTGGCGTAAAATCTGAATTTTATCACCAATTAATGAACACATTGTCATTATATATAATTGAGGTCAATACATTATTCTAAGTGGAGAATGGAGGGCTACCGAAGTCAGCAGTATTGCAGCTACATCACGGCGACCTGTAGTGTGGTCAAGTCTGGAGCAGACAAACCACTGATCGATAGTGTGGGGAAGCAGAGATGACACACCTGAGAAACAGTCTTCGAGGTGGTTTCCCAATTCAAGCACCTTGCATGGCATCAGTGCTACCCGACCACCACTGTGTCGCCTCTTACAACAAGCGTGCAGTACTGGGACCTATCTTGAGATGACTGACCACACGTTCTCCCAAATGACTGTATCAGAACAGTTATTTAGGTAGATTCGTATCCTTAATTGAGTTTAACATTTTCAATTATCAGACTACACGTAATGCCCCCTATAAGTAACATACATCCTATTTCAAACAGTTGGACTGAATTGTCAGAAGCATTGTTGTTCTATTGCTCTATTGTCTCTGCAAGGTCTAGTTGGGACGAGACCTCTTCACGCGATCACCAGAGTAAGCACCATCATCCGATGCCTTCCTCTTGACAGATCTCCTGGAGGAAGTGGAGGCGGTTGGGACAGCAGGGCTGGAAGAAATTGTAGCAGATGTTGAGCTCGAGGAAGAGGCAGACGTGGTCGTCGACGTGGTGGTGGTAGCCGTGGCCGTGGATGCGGTAGAGGTGGCAGCAGAGGAAGAGGTTGAAGAGGAGGGTGGATTGTCCTGTGTCTTCCTCTGCTGACGGCGTTTTCTCAGCCACCATTGCTTCGGTCGGGCAACGAATTGGACCTCAGTTGAGTCCTCAGAAGATGCTACCTTCCTCTTCTTAGAATCGCCCGTGTGTACATCTAGCATATTCCTTCTTCTCTTTCTGGATTCAGTGATCTGTCAAAACAGCAGATAATGAAATATCAATAACTTATTCTTTGTTGCTGAACGTCACACTCATCAATATGACGCGAGTTAACTACATACTAAAGAACACGTTTTCTGAATTTACATGATGTTTGGTCATTGTCAAGATGTTTTAAATCCAGAACGAAGACCACATCAGGAAGTAGCCTGACACGTTGTCACCTTGGTCTACCTACCAGCTGGATGTCCCCCAGACTGAGTCTGGACATGGGTGGCACCAGGCGGCGGTTGGCGTTGCCGGTGTAGGGGACGAGAGGAGGGGGTGGTGGGCGAAGACGAGGTTTCCTGTCTCTGGCTTGTTCTGGCTGTAATGTAAGATGTTTAACTGAAGAACGTGCACAATTCTACTTCAACTACAAGCATGTGGTTTTTGTTAACAACAAACAATATTCATAAAATAAAAGTAAAGTTCAAAATTCCTTGGACCAAATAGCAGCGTTGTTTAGTTTCAGTTACTTCAATAGTATATTTATTCGTATTCCGTTTGTTTACCTGATTCTCATCATACCAAGGTGCAGATGCTCGGGCCTGAAATACAAAAAGCCTTTATTATGCCACCCATAAATAAATCAACTCTTCCATAACCACATGTGCTTGAATGATACGGGCAGGGAATGACTGCACCTTAGTAACGGCGGGAAAGCTAACACATACCACTCTACCTTTCATAGGGATATTGTGAATGTCATTCAAATTGTTTTCAGTATTGCCATGGAACTGACACATGTTACAGCTGCAGAGTTGAAATATACACGTGTCCACTGACCTGGGGTTGTGAGAATCTTAGTTTTAGGGTTTTCTCATCGATGTCAGATGTCCAAGATACTTGGCTGAATTTGACCTTCTTGGTTCGTACATTAGCAGGAGAATTCCTTGTAATTAGGCCAGTCTGAAACGAACAATGATTTATTAGGTTAATACATCATTGTTATTCTTATTTTTGTGTAAACGGTTTATGCATGCCACGTTATCACAATTGCGTAAATCTCATGGTTATTCACTGAAATTTACTGTTGCATATTCGATTATTTACAGACCGCCGTCATATAGCTGGACTATTGCAGAGTGCGGCTTTAAACAACAAACAATTAAAATCTTACTTTTGTGTACACGCCAAGCGTTGTATTTATCTTTCAGTTTATGTGAAGTTTACCTGATCAGCACGTGCAGTGGATTGTTTGGTTTTTTCTTTCTCCTCATGAGAGTTCGGGATTTTAGAGGCTGAGCAGGATGTGCTTGAGGAGGAGGTCGAGCGGGATACATCGGTGTCACTATCCGACTCAGTCTCTGGCAGAGCCACAGTGGACGCGTCTACAGCCTGAAACAGCAACACATTGTCAGGTCATAAAGGAAGGGATATGGTTTGAACTAATCAGAACTGAAGACACGGAGTCAATATCGGAAAACAGAATGATGTCCCAGTGTGACTGAAATATGGTTAGAATCAATGTCATCTCAGACTCCAGATGGAGATACAGAGACTGTGGACCAGAACGACAGCCAGGAGGTCAGAGAGGAAGACATAAAGGTCAGAAACATTCAGATTCCAGCACCGTGGTCTTTACCATATATAGATACACACTCACAGACAACAAGAGATAGAAGGTTGGCGGCGAGAAGGAAAAACGTTAAACGTGACTACTACACTGAAACCGCGCCAGAGATCTAAAACAGATTCAGCATGGAGCACTAGATTAATTGTGGATCTATTCACAAGACTCTCACTAACTCAAAGATACTCTGCATCTAGTTAGTAGTCGCCTTGCTTGTATTTATGGCCTAAAACAGGTAACCTAGCTGATCTGCATAGAGGATCCTGGCTAACGGCTTAATGTCAGTATACAATAACAGAAATATTCACCTTCTGAGTGTTGGTTGGAGTAACTGTCTTAACATTTGGAGGCTGGTCCTCGGATGCTGACTCCTCTGATGATGACGGAAGAGGTTTCAGTTCAGCATCACCCCGGCGAACGCTCTGTATGAACTGTAATTTAAGACACACACCTACATCACCCAGAACAAACCTTCCTAACGTTCAATGACATATAGATCAAATGTACCTTAATGTTTGAGTTGTGAATGACTTAATCCAATGTGAATACCATTGTTGGTGTCCCCCGCCGTGATCAGGCTGTAAGAATGCCAGAAGAGGGGTAAACCCAACTTACTCATTCTTAATCCAAAGACAGTATCTGCATTTAGCAAACATGTGTACCTGTCATGTCGTCACGTCATCTGCTCACCTCACTCATCATGCGCAGGTGTTTCAGCTCGAGGGGAGACTGGGCGTGTTTAGCCGTCTCCAGCAGCTCTGGCGCCACGATATCTGCCAGGTTCAGTGACTCCGCCTTACTGCCAGGGGAGATAACTTTCACCGGTCCTGACTTGTTGGCTTCAGAGGTTGATGCGCAAGGAACTGTGGCAGTCTCCTTTGATGTTGGCACATTCTGGAATGTCAGTAAGGATTAGTAATATGTATTAAATGCAGTGTTATGAGAATCTGTTGTCGATGACAGTGTATTATCTTACTGAGTTGCGAGTACGCACTAAGTAAAGGTGATTCAAAGTGAGGATAAGAACTCTTGAGAAGAACGACTACCTGATTATTTGTGGACGACTTGATGCCAAGGTTGAGTTTAGGAGGCTTGTAGAGTGGTTGGCGAATCCCGATGTAGGCGGAGAGAGAGACCCTGTTTGTTTCAGGCTTGATGCTGGGATCCCCATTCTCGTGACTCCTGTCAACGGGATTTGGCTTGATCGTCACAGCTTTGTTCAGGGTGGCATCTTGTCCAGAGACTTGGTTTCCATCCTCGAGATTCAGGAGAGAAACGCCACGTCTGCTTGGTGCTGTACGCTCGGGCCGATTCAGGGGAGACAACCCTCTCAAGTTGATCCTCTGAACATCGGCTTCCTGGGCTGATGGTCGCGTCCAAGTTCTGTTCATGGCGTAACGTCCAGCTCCAGTTGGAAAAAGCCTGTCCCGTGACAGATTCCCCATATAGGTGCCCTCTTCCTGACAGTGAAGGGCTGAGATACCTCGTCTGGGGTCCTGATGTCTGTTCCCGGGACACACGCGTCTGGGGTCCTGGTATCTGTTGAGTGGAGACACGCCTCGTCTGGGAGGATCGTAACCTGCATTGTAAATCATTTGTTATTTGTATGTTTATGGAAAGTTTAAGATCGAAAACATGCATGATGGGCATCCAGGTTCGGTCCAGACTGTCCAATTTCAAAATAAGAAACTATATTTTATCACTTAGGGTATGAATATAGATAAACACAATTAATGGCTTTGTTTCAACTGAGTCAACTAGGTCTGTCAAACTGCATCAACGTGTGAAAGGTTATTCTTTTGTCTAATGACACCTTTAAACAGAATTGTGACACAGCATACATGTTGTTCTTTATAGCTTTTGATATTTTCCTTCATAGCATTGTCGTCCATCTACGAAAACATGATACTGTGGATGATTGAAGGCATGGATTCCTAGCCTCTCGTGTATGAGAGCAGCTTCTAAAGTATGGATAACTGAGGTTAAAGGGGCATTTCGAGCCTCTCATGTATGAGACTAGCTTTGTATGGATAACTGACATTAGCTTTGCATGGATAACTGGCATTAAACGGGCATTTCTAGCCTCAAACCATACATCTCCATGTCTTCGCGTACACATGGGCGTATTCATAGTGAGCTAAATGTACCACTGAATGCCTTTCATACGACTGTGAGCTGGACGATTTGTCTTCGCGAATGTAATTTAAGGATTAAAGATGTATTTGTTGACGTTCATCAGCTGATGAAGACAGTGCCTCGCGTGAGCAAATTCTGCATTGGGCGAAGCGCTTCATTGTAAATAATAATAACAATAATAATAATCCATCTATAATGCGCCAGATAAGGTGAAGCTGTTTATGCATCAGCAAGAAAAGAGTCGTGGCTGTAGGCGAAAGTCGTTGAATTTAGACTGAATTGTACTGCTTGAAAAGGTAGGTCTTTAGATGTGTCTTGAATGATGGGAGTGGTGGTGAGAGCTTAAGTGCTGTTGTAAGATTGTTCCAACGTGTTGAAGTACAGTATTCGAAAGATCTATGATCAAAAGTCTTCAAGCGGGTTTCTGGAACTTACAGCAGGTGTTCCCTTTCAGAACAGGGAGATCTAGAGGGCGTATATTTAGACAAAAGTTCCATCAGATACAGTGGGGCTGATTCATTGAAGGATCTGTAGGCTAATGTCAGTAGTGAAAAAAATCAATTCCAGCTTTGAGAGGCCACCAATTCAGCGACATCAGAGGAGGAGTTATGGGTGTCCATTTTGAAGTTCTGGTAACAATACGTGCAGCTGTGTGTTGTATGCCTGAAACCTCTTAAGTTGTTTATTTTGTATGTTGGTTGGTTGGTTGGTTTGTTGTTTAACGCCGCACTCAGCAATATTCCAGCTATATGACAGCGGTCTGTAAATAATCGAGTCCGGACCAGACAATCCAGTGATTAATATCATGAGCATAGATCCACGCAATTGGAATCGATGACATGCTTCAACCAAGTCAGTGAGCCTGACCACCCGATCCCGTTAGTCGCCTTTTACGACAAGCATAGTCACCTTTTATAGCAAGCATGGGTTGCTGAAGACCTATTCTTCCCCGGAATCTTCACGGGTCCATTTTGTATGTAACCCATCAGACTATAACAATAGTCAAGCCTTGACAGGACTAAACATCTGGCCATGAGATGTGCAGCATCTTTTGTGAACAAATGTCGAATGCTTCCTTATGTTCCGGAGATGAAAGGAACAAGTCTTTGACATGTGGCTTACATGCTGATCCATTGCTCACTTGCACTGTCTTCATTAGCTGATGAACGTCAACAAATACAATTGTAATCCATAGAGTTGACAGATACATAATAATAATACTAAAATAATCCATTAAACACCAAACTTTAATTATTTAAAGCGAACTATATTAACGCGGAAAGTCGTGACGTCATTCATCCCAAACATCCCAGACGCCTTCGTTACACTCTTGGTAATATAGGATATTGAGAGCTTCGAGAACGGGCTATCACTGCAGGAGCTTGTACAAACGGCATAAACCGGGTTAATCTGCACTTGGATTTTAAAAGTACCTACATCAATTATTATTTTGAAATCGGTCCACTGACTGCAGAATTAAAGGACTATTGTGGTTAAAATATGTGTCGATTTTATAATGATCAATTAATTTAATTAATTAACATTTTCTGCAAAAAATATTGGAAAGTGAATTTTGGACAATGTTCATAATATGCTACTTTTGGCGACCTTTGGAACCTAAAGGTGCATGGTAACCCATGTTTTATTACATTTTTGGAATCGTCAATCTTGAAAATACGATTCGAAAATCTGTGCTTAAGTTTTGCTGTCAAAATTTTAATAAATTGCTATATTTAATGGAATACCTCTATGCAGTTATAATCACTTGCTTTTAAAGAATCGGTTGACAATCAAAGAATCAACAGACAATATTTATTTATTTGTTTTTTAAACTATTTAAATTGTCTTTCAATAATTTAGATTATCTGGGTGTTTTGCTTTTGCTAGAAAAAAATATACATACTCTTATACAAATATTTACCATATGTATGTCCTTGTTAAATCTATATATATACTACACTATAGTTAAAAACCGCTCGCTCCACACCATTTAGATGGAAAAACTGAGGAGAAACGCTTATGGTTTGCACTTTGTCACATATGTAGAGTGACATAATTGTAAGACTAAAGCATTGACCCAAATGCGATAAAGAAAATATAACGGCGGATCTCTGCTCGTTTAGATGAAAACTGTAACATTGAGCATGGTCTTGCCGGGCGAATACAAATAGACTAAAAGGGAAACCACTCTCAAATTGAGTTATGAACTAAGATTAGCTGCCCCTGAGTTACCAATAAGGTCACGGTCATTACTTCAGCCCGTCAACACCTTCCGTTTTTATCCTTCCCAAATTATCGAAAAAGGTACGTTGTTTCACACTACTTTCAACACAGACACGGATAGAAATATGTTATAAGCTATCGACTCCATAGTTACTAGTATGCGGATTAACAACATATCTGACGTGAAATCCTTCATGGGTACTTCGTGTTTTCGAAGTGTCAATTTGAATCACACAGTTAACAAAATGAAATGTCAATTAATGTTTGGACGTGACGCAGATTATTTGTTTGAAAAATATCTATGGCAAAGTATACCGCCATCTGGATTAAGATAAACCAACTTACGACAGGTATGGAGCTGTTATAGATTTACGACATTTTACGATATCTTAGGGCTACGATAGTTTCGAAAATTCACTTGAATAGAAGTTGCACCCTGTAAAGTTAGAGTTGGAAAGAAATTCAGAACCGATTGATGCTATGGATTGATGTGAACGTTCTGTGAACTTTGGGTGTGTTTGAGTCATACTAAGGCGAGATGAGTGCTGATGACTGGGATTAGGCGGGGTCGAGTTTCCCGATGCAAAAGACGTGACAGTGTGGAGCTCAGGGCACACTTTCTTGGTAGGTAGAGAATATCAGTTATTACTTCGAACAGACGCTTGAATTCGGTGACCTGACATATATACATGGTCTGGCTTCAAAGCCTGTATCATTCATAGGCTGAACCGATGTTGCTCTTAGACTGTGGGCTGATACCGTTTTGAACACATTGAATATTTTGGAAACATCAGCCATGAAACATTTGAAACTATTTTTCCCAAATTATTTACAATATTTCGTGACTCAACGTTTGCGCAATGGCCTCCTTAACACACTGATTAAATAGAGAGGAAGCTTGAGTGTTCGGTCTGTTGAGTGATTACGTTCCCGATTTGAGGAATTCCCCTCAAGTAGTTATGTATCTCTCCACTCGATTGATGACGTGATCACGAGACAAATTGACGTCCATCGGAAATGGTAGTGTTCATCAAGACGAGGTCACAGTGCTTTAGTATGGTACCTTTGAAATTGTGTCTTTCTACAAATGTATACATATTCATGTACCACCGTTTTGATTAACTTGGCACTGTTTCTTTGCGAGCATAAAAAAGTGTATTCCTTTTAGGCGTTGGTAGAATCATGATACAGAATCTAACGAGGGTAATAATCTCTATGGACGGCTGCTTTTAGGTTCATATCATTCGAACCGGACTCGAAGCTATGGTGGTGAATATGTTGTCTAGTCTGGGTGCTTACCAAACTATAATAGAGACAACCACAAGATAAGCTAGAATGGTTCGATCAATGACCTCATGACGTTTAACGTTCTGCAGCTGTGGAAAGAAATTCGAATGAGCCCTACCCAAGATATAACAAATCATTGAACATTTTGTTTATTTAATGCGTTTGTGAACGTTTTAGTTTCAGTTCTTTTCAAATACATACGATGCATGTTATCCGAAAACATCTCATCAACACCCAAAAATTAACATGGAGAAAATTCTAGATGTGCATCTTCTAAAAAAACAAATTGACGCTGCGTTCCCACGCTCCCATGATGCATGTTACATGCCACCTTACACGACATGGAGTCTATACTAGGAGATGCATACAAGTACTTTACACTTTAGAGAGATAGAGGGAACCATTTATTAGTTTTTAGCCCCAGCTATAGGGTTTTTCAATTCATTCCATCAAGTCTACGGTATTATAAATAAAACTAAAAAGGTATAGGTGGGGGTCTCAAAAACCAAACCGGGCCGTAAAAGGATATTTGATACAGAGTGACTCAGGTGACTTAAGTGTATGGTGTACAAGCTTTATGAGCAGAAGGTATCCCCGATGACCGAGCAGTTTTCAGGGGGAAATATTCCATCCCGTCTATGAGGTCACATTATCTCCGCACCATACGTAACTATCACAGTCAGGGGTTCCAGATCATTTTACTTGATGAATCATTCCACTGACTACATGTGGCTATCGGCAGATGGACAAAAAGCACCCATGGTACCATCCGGTAAAGGTAATCGTGTCATTGTTTTGCACGCCGCAACCTGTGATCTGGGGCGTATTGATGGATGTGTGCTAGTTTTCGAGGTGAAAAAGAAAACTGGTGATTTCCATAAGGAAATTATATGAAGAGATATGTTCATATACTGGTTGGAACATCAGCTATTGTCCATTTTAAACAACCTCATTGTCCTAGTCATGGGTTAATACAACGTCTGGGAACCAGATACAGTCGCTTCGACCATGAGTAGTCTGAAGGCGACCATACAGGAATATATGACATTGTCGATTTCAGACCATCTGAAACGAAAGTTCATGAAGAAAGTTCGGCTGAATAAGAAACCAGTAAAGAACAAGACATATGTGATGGCGGCACAACACGGTCACGTTGTCCTACGAACGCCAGTCAGACATTGTGAGCTCAACCCTGCTGAGCCTATCTTGGCTATCTAACTGTGCAGGGTTCGTGGCAAGACATAGCACAGCATTCAAACTTATTCATGACAAAGGGAGGATCAACGCAGTCTGTGCTAGCTATAAGCCTTGTTGAACCAGTTATCATACCTTTGGGTGATAATACAGATTCATATACGTCAACAGCGGAGATAGATGCTACCATAAGAAAGCATCTATAGAAAAACAAATACTTCTTCATTCTAAAACCGCAGCCTTCCAGTACACATCCCGTTTAATAGCTTTTAATTATTCCATAGTACATATCCTAACTTGCAATCAACGAACACGCAATTGAGTACAATAACAGGATATTTTGAGACCACCCCAACTCGGGTGACGTTTGCACCTGTGAGAATGCACGGGACAGTGTGAGGTCATCATCTCGGGACAGGTGTTAGGTAATTACCTCAGGTTCTAGGCTGTTTCATACAAGCATGACAACACACGAATATTTTCTAAGTTTATCATCATTTTACCTGTAAAAGTACATTTTAAGGGTAGTCACAGTGTCAGTTAGGATAGGCTAGATTAGGTCATTTGCGTTACTTTGATATACGCTATTTTCACAGCCCTATGACTCGTATTTATTAAATGAAGCCAGAAAAGCATTTTTCTAGCATTTCCGACACTACTTTAGGTCAGGTTACTTATTTAGTTCACAAGACAATATCCAAAATAATATGCATGTTGATAACACGTGTTACAAGTGAATGTAAGTGAACAAGACCGCATTGTAATGTACTTTACATAACTACAATATTTCCTTATTCTTTTTCTGATATATGTCTCCATTGGAAATGTTTTTTGACGAAATAATGCGCGCAGACACTGCCGGTTCTCTGCCATGTCTTTAACATGCGTTTTAGAGAAGTGAAGGTGGCAGTTATCTCCCCTGGTCAGGTTCTCGCGTCGGATTCGCGTACAAAGCGATCTTAGCGCTAAGGTTTCGGCAAGGGTGGAAACTGGACTTTAACAGTCAGTTATCTCCCTTGCCTCGGGAAGATGGGGCCTCATTTTAAGCTAAACAATGTGTAGCCTGGGTCCTGGATCCTCCGCGTGGTGCCGCAGCTCTTCCTTCCTTTTATATACAGTAAACTACGGTTATAACGAACACGCTTATAACGAACTGACGGATATAACGAACTTACAAACACAAACACACACACACACACACACACAAACACACACATATATATATAATGAAAAAGAGAAATGTGTGCTTGATTAAGTCGGATCCCTAAAATTAGTATTATGACACACATTGTACATTGTTTTTTTGTTAAAATACCAGTTAAATACAAAGCTACATGTATACATAATAATAGACCTCAGAAATAGTAAAAACACAACACGCCATAACATATAACATTAATCTTCATCATATCAGCAAGTCTTTATTATTATTATGGTAGGAAATGATAAAACTGAAGAAAATCGATACCAAAAACTGAAGATAATCGATACAAAGAAGAGTCATGTTGATGTTTGTTGCATGATACAATATTTATTTTATGTTCTGAGTGCTATTAATATGGGTTTTTAACAAATGTAATTACCTCTCCGAATGCTGACGGTGTGGGCTTTATCTTTGGTAATGTTGGACGGAATGAGTGGTTCGACCAACAAGTACCGGACCAGGAGAGTTCATACACTCACATGACAAAAGTTTGTTAACTATACATTAAATCTATTTGTTTCCTATGTTATTTCTTCGTAGCCTACATAATTTTCATATGCTCTTGCCTATCTTTGGCCACCTTTCAGGATATTAAATCAGTGTCCTACAAATAATTAGCAGTTATATAACAAAAATATTTACGAGGTCGGTGCAAAGGCTCAGAAAACCTTCGTTTTTCAAGACTAGTCCAGAGGACAGGTGTAAATCTTATTTTAGTAGTCCTCGGAGTTTGTAGATAGTCATGTTTCAAGGAAACAAAAATGTTTACTATTTTTATTCAGTTCCAAATTGTAGCAAAATTGAAGCATTGAGAACGTGTTTAGAATTAAAGCCCGAGACCTACCCATCAAATGCTACTGGTCATAAGGACTATCACAGTTGGATTTTACTTGTCCTCAGCACTATTTAGGAGTCAACTGTAGAATTTGGTACGTTCAATTTATTATGTTCAATTTAGTAGTCTCGGGTTAGCGGACAAGCGTGATTTTGAAGGCTGGATGCATGCTCGTGCACGTAACAATAACTATGACAATACAGAATGAAATCCCTTGTTACTTCCATTCTCTTTATATCCAGATAGCATTGAAGAAGTAAACGCATTTTCCTAACATTACCGAATCTCCGTGCCAAGATTTATCAATGTCAGAATCACTTTAACTGAAGCATTTATCCATGAAATATGTTTGTGACATAAAACATATATGTCATACTCACATGACACGAGTAGGCAAATTAAAATTAGACTTAGGTTACCGGTAACGGTTCTAGAGTTATCGATTTAACACTTACTCGTGAACCCTCTGTTTTATTATTGATTGAAAAACTTTAGGGACCTGAGTGTGTTTTGTTTATCTCCCATTTTGTACTGAGAATAAATTTTAAAAATAATTTGTGTTGTATTGGTGCACATTTATTATACAAATGCAGGTCTAACGAGGACGTCTGGGATCCAAGTCACAAAACATCCAAATCAAACCAAATATCAGATCCAATATGGTGTCCCGTCAGACAGTTTCGACACCCTGCCCCGACTCTAGGCAAAAAATATACAAAAGACAAACTCAAAAAAGGAAAAGCAAGCAAAGAAATGAAATAAAATACCTGAATAACGTCGTTGGTGCATATCTGAGAGGGCAAATGAACAAAATGGCAGCAGAAAAAGCAAGAAATGTCGAGTATCTTGAAGGCACGTCTGATTACTCAAAAGACAATCTTCAAAGATGGCTTCCGTTGCTTAGCGACGACTTGTAAACAATATAAATTGTTTGGTGCCAATTTCACCAATAATGTTTTGTACTAAATAATAGAAGCACGATTGTTTTATACATTTCAATGTACTGTTGAATATGTTTTTAGTTTCAAAATACAAAGTCACGTTTGAGCGGGTTTATTTTGACGTCATTAGCTTTATGACGTCATAGTGACTTATGGCTGTCCACGAGGGTCCGTTTTCGCGATTGTAGCCAGAAACGTGGTTTAGGGCCTTCATTGCAAATCAGTGCTTTATTTGTTGTCTGTTTGAGAAAATTATATAGGGATGAGTTGGAACGATGTATACAAACTTTTAAAAAAACGTTATCTTTGTCTCACATATATATAATGATATGCCGACATACGAAATACTAACATAATTATGAAAATATTGTCTTAAACATTCCAAACTGTATATGATTACATGAAACGTGTTTGATTTATTCGACACAGTCTTGAGAGGGAGTCACGCTTTGTTCTTGGCTGGTTTACCTGCCCTACTACGCGTGCGCTCCTCACCTGCAGACCCTAAGAGGCGAAGGGCAGGATACCAGTACAGCTCCATCCGACCTATTTCCCTTTACAGCATCTCGCTGCGGCGAAACGTTGACCCTTTTCCGCGTTGCAAGGTCTCCCTGTCGAGAGCGACGGGGACAGACCAACAGCATATCGCTATGCGGGAAACGTTGACCCAATTCCTGTGAGTGAGGTATTAGCACTTTTAGACAGTGTGAATAATTGACGTTAACAATAGGGGTAAACATATTAGCAGTTGGGAGTTAAGTATGGTTCATTGTTTAACGAAACCGCACTCACAGCGTTGTGGGTTTCAACTTTAACAATATTAAAAGTAGTACGAGTCGATCCAATTTTGTGTATTCATCATATTCTTAGTCCGCGCTGTCTTGCGGTCATAAATAAACACAACCGTGGTCGACACTCTCAGTTTCACTTGAATCAAGAAGAAGTTTCGCTCATATATGATAGCTCCCGATCTATTAGATATATGAAGGGGTCTGCAAGTCGAATGAGTGTCGAACGAGGCAGGCCCAGTGACTTTCATTGCGAGTGACCGCCGTCATAAAGCTGGAATATTATGTTGCAGAGTTGTTTTAAACAACAACCAATCAAAACATCGTTAGTAACGTTTTCTAGGACTGGGACGAGTCCGAATTTACTACCCGGGTACCCACCCCCCTTTTACCAGACCCTACCCAGGTACCCACGTGCACTGTAGGTCTCAAGAGATAGGTACAAAATGTCCCATTAGGCATTTTTTAACCATAGCACTGGCAAAACGCATTAACACGAATGTATTAAACAATTTGGTCATGCATACACTGAAGTTGACTCAAGTTATATCTTTATTCAAAGATTTGAAAAGTCAGTAGGAATAGGTGCATAGTCAGAAAGAAATGCGAACATTTGTGACTTTTTGTGTAACCAGAGAGTTCTAGATAGTTTTGTCATAGGTCCTGGTAGTCTTGTGGGTACCAGGGTCCTACTTACCACCCACCTGACCCGGGTACCCGTCTTAGCCCTATGTTCTACTACATCGCTTTGTAGCCAGAGCCTCAATTTGCCTTTATACTTAGCACTTTCACGACATTCACCACTGTGTCAACGTGGCGTTCCAGCAATCAACAAATGCACCATGTGAACTTCTCAACTTACTTATGAACACCGAGTGCGTGGGACTTAGAAATTACGTGTCTCACAAGCCGATCCGAATTAGACGCATCTTATACAACCAGCATCATGTACAGCGCTAGCCCCGTTGGGGACACAAAGCGATCTCAGCGTTAGTCGATCATAACTTTCATACTTTAACATATACTTACGACAATCTACGCTCGCTATGTTGAACCAGGCTTTGTGCTCCTACATTAAGTATATGAGTGACGTTAAATTGGGTTTAACGTGGCGTCCAAGATTATTGCACTTATTTTTCGACGTGCATGCACGTGTGAGTGTGGCTGCTTGTACTAGTCCGGACTGATGCCGATTTATAGTGCTAGCCCACTGAGATACCATGCCGCAGTTTAACATGAATACCTCATATTACTGACTCCGGGCCGACCAGTCCTTGTTTCAGCCCCTTAATGCCAAACACCAGACAGGGTAACAACAAGTACCATCCTTACAAGTCTTTTGGTATTACGCGGACGGGGATCAAGCCCCGGACCTTCCGCTCGACCACGAGAGCATTTGCATAGGAATGTGCGTGTTAATGAATACAGTCAGTGACATCCATATCGATAGCCTGTATCTTTTAATGTTCTCATTGCACTGTGTAAGATATGAACTGCATCATTCAATCTAATAAAGTATAAGGCGTTCAGAGTGATCTCCATTTGGGACGTTGACTCGGAATCTCGAACGGGCCGCTTGAGTAATGATTGAATATCAAAGTTGTTGTTTTTTCATTTGTAAAGCATGTGTCTCATGTTCCTCTTCAAAAGTATAATAGAATTTTCCCTCTTGAATTTCCCTCACTGATTCTGCTCTTCTTCATTAGAATCACAGGGGCGGTCGGGTAGCCTAGTGGTTGAAGCGTTCGCTCGAACACCCGGGTTCGATTCCCATTTCTGGTGTCCCCCGCTGTGATATTGCTGGAATATTGCTAAAAGCGGCGTAAAAGCATAGTCACTCACTCACTCATTAGAATCAAAGATCTTAACCGCACCTGGCTCATCCAACACAAACATGAAACAAAAACAGTGCCACGGTACTGTAGCTCACCTGGATATGTAGTCACTAGTTTAAACTGTCAACAAAGAGAGTCACAAAACGTTGCTGTCCAAACATCCACACACTATTTTAGCTGATCGATCAAGCCATTTCAAGTCAAAAATGTATTTTTTAAAAAACACTTATGAACGCCTACAAACACGAACAAAACTTTATTACGTAATCAAATTTGCGTTCTACATTCTCGGGAACGCTTCACTAAATCATACAGCAAATGTTCATTCAATCGTATCATTCTCACACTTTACAATCTATACATATTACAGGCACGTGTTGGGCCACACATGGACATCATGTACATTTCAAATTTAAACCCTTATTTGGTAAACTATTTCGAAACTAAATTAAAGTTCAACATCTCTAACCTGTTTGCCTTGAACAGATATAACGTACAACCAACAACTCTATATCCAAGGGACCATTCGTTATCCGTTAGTTCATGTTATGCTCAGTGTCGATATTAGACCACAGATTCGTCAGGAATGTGTAAGGGTCGTAACTTTACACGCGCTTAAAGTGATATGTCGGGTTAATGGAGTTCGCGTAAGACGTTACATGTTGTATATATTGTTACGCCTTGTTTACCGCTGAACAGACACTTGGACCAACCCTTAGGAAACATGTCATTTTCTGGCTTCGAGTTGGAGCCATATCCCCTTCTCTGGTTGTAGTAGGGGGGATTTCCGGAACGTCAAAGGCACCTGCAACATTGTCAGAGAAATTGAATATGTCTTCGTGCATCCTTCCAATCGATATTATTCATACACCTTTGAAAGTGAAAGCTATGGGTTCAGTAACAACGTAACAATTCACCGTGTCACAAGATCACCTGATATGCCTTCAGCTCTCAGGATGCTGATTCCATGCGCAGAAAACAAGAACAAAAGGTTCCGTGTCACAAGATCACCTGATATACCTTTAGCTCTCAGGATGCTGATTCCATGCACCGAAAACAAGAACAAAAGGTTCCGTGTCACAAGATCACCTGATATACCTTCAGCTCTCAGGATGCTGATTCCATGCACCGAAAACAAGAACAAAAGGTTCCGTGTCACAAGATCACCTGATATACCTTCAGCTCTCAGGATGCTGATTCCATGCACGGAAAACAAGAACAAAAGGTTCCGCCATTTCTTTATACCAGTAAATCAATGTTCACTACCGATTCATCTTCAAGACAATGCTTCAGCATCATCGACTGTATTTATGTAACAATATTTATCTTTAAATTGGCTGGAATACAATTTTTCTTTGGAATACTGTAGTACTAAGTAAACTGTCGGACAAAAGAAAGTACACACCCATGTTTGTTGGGGGTTCAAAATGAAACAAACAAGAACTAGTTATTCGATGGTGATGTATTTCATACTGATATGTTAGGGACCGCCTCCGTGGTCTAGTGGTAGAGCGTCCGCCCGGAGAGCGGAAGGTCCGGGGTTCGATCCCCGGCCGCGTCATACCAAAAGACGTTAAAAGATGCTACTTGTTGTTGTCTGGCGCTCGGCATTAAGGGGCTAAAACAAGGACTGGTCGGCTCGGAGTCAGTATACTGTATTCATGTTAAACTGCGGCATGGTATCTCAGTGAGCTAGCTTTATATAAATCGGCATCAGTCCGGACTAGTACAAGCAGCCACACAAACACACACACGTACATGCACGTCGCTATATAAGTGCTATAATCTTGGACGAGACGTTAAACCCCATTTCACCTCACCTCACAACCTGATATGTTAGGCAATATTACATATTACATGGTTATCTCACAACAGGTCACGTGCACATGACGTATCAGCAACATGGGGGTCGAAATTTCAAATCCAATTTTCAAGTTTATACTTTCTTTTGCCCGGCAGTTTATGATTTACGTTACTTTACTTAACTTATAGCCAAACGACACGACATGCGATCTGTTTCCATTTGTGTGTGGAAACACATGCATAGCTCTAAATTAGTTAGATATGGTACTGTACGACATGTACTGCTGTAGCCTGACCATGATTTGTAGCATTAGTCATGAGGTTTCTTTGTTGTTGAACCAGACAATCAAGTGATCGATATTGTGAGCAATTATCCGCGCTTTCGGGGTTCAAAGTCATGCAATCATCCAAGTCACCGAGCCTGACCACCAAGCCTCACTTTAGCAACCCCTGCTTGCCGTAAAAGGCGACTATGCTTTTCGTAAGAGGCGACTAACGGGATCGGGTGGTCAGGCTCACTGACTTGGATGATGCATGTCATCGTATCCCAATTGCCTAGATCGATGCTCATGATGTCAATCACTGGATTGTCTGGTCCAGACTTGATTATTTACTGACCGCTGTCATATAGCTGGAGGTGCAATTGGGTTTAACGTCGCGTCTAAGATTATTGCACTTATATAGCGACGTGCATGCACGTGTGTGTGTGTGTGTGTGTGTGTGTGGCTGCTTGTACTAGTCCGGACTGATGCCGATTTATAGTGCTAGCCCACTGATATACCATGCCGCAGTTTAACATGAACACCCCACTCAGACACAGTATACTGACTCCGAGCCGACCAGTCCTTGTTTTAGCCCCTTAATGCCGAGCGCCAGACAGGGTAACAACAAGTACCATCTTTTAACGTCTCTTGGTATGACGCTCGGGGATCGAACCCCGGACCTTCCGCTCTCCGGACGGACGCTCTACCACTAGACCATGGAGGCGGTCCCATATAGCTGGATTATTGCTGAGTGCGGCGTTTAACAACAAACCAACAAATTTAGTCGCATCCTACGACCAGCGTCGGTTGCTGGGGACCACTTCTAACCCGTACTCCCCACGGGGTTTGTAGTGTGGCGTCATGACTTCAGTGATAGTTTGGGTGGTCACGTTAACCCGGCATCCACTGTCAAGGCGGGAAGTAAAGCTGAAGATGTATACATATTACAACCAAATACCTGCGTTCGTGCAGATCTGACGAACTTGAAGTGTTGCAGCATTCTGGCCAGCCCCATCTTGGCCTCCACCATCGCCATCCTCATCCCAATGCAGCTCCGCGGGCCCATCCCGAACGGCATGAAGTCGCACTGGCCGAGACGGCACTTGTTCTCAGCGCTGAACCTGGCGGGGTAGAAAGGCTACTCAGCTAGATGACGGCGGAAATTATCGAGTCTCGACCAGACAATCTAGAGATTGACATCATGAACATCGATCTACCCCATTGGGATTCGATGACATGCATCACTCAAGTCACCGAGCCTGACCATGCACCCGATCCCGTTAATCGCCTCTTACCACAACCAGGCCACTCATCCTCAATGCTGCGTTTGACTTAAAATATGTTTTGGTAAATTTGTTTTGCATATATTTTTGTTACATCGTTTATTTGACGGCGTTGTTTAGAAGTCAGTCGTCTGAGATGTAAGTCGCTTTATAGACGTGCGTCTCATTGACGCGCAAGGACTTTATCTTTGATAAATGAGCACCAAACCCGTTTCTCAAATGTCGAAGACCTGCATCCCTTCCTAAATTTCCACGTTCCTCCTACGACAAGCTGACACGCAATGCTATATTGTTCAAAGTGGCGTTACACCCAACTCTACTTTGAGATTATCATCGATTATCCAGTGTATGATAAAATTAATCAAAATGGAATGGAGACAGAAGACCCTGGATAATCGAAAATGCGGATGGTGCTGGGAGCTTGTTGTTTCTGCGGATATTCCCATATCAAACAATAAATACCTCTCTGGCTGGAACGAGTCCGGATCCGGAAACACATCCGGGTCCCTATTCATTGCATAGACGGGAGCGATGACCATGGTGTTTTTTGGAATACAGACGCCATTGATGACAATGTCGTCTGCTGCTTCCCGCTCAAACCTGACGGCTGGAGGGTAGAGACGCAGAGATTCCAGCACGCACATCTCCAGTAGTGGCAATTTGCCCACGTTGTCGTACGTCGGGAGAGTCTAGGAAGAGAGGGCCTTGAAATCTCAGTTGTCTGCTTATGTTTTGCAACGTCACTGCTTACTTATGTGGTTTGCGTTTGTGCAGTATTGACGATATGTTTGTAGTAGGTATCGTTGTCATTCGACGTGAAGGGCGAACGCTGGAGCCACTCAGCTGTCTCCTAGTTTATAAACAGATTGAGCATTCCATACAAATTATCAACTTTTTGCAGTGTTCGAAATACCTGCCTGCCCGACCGTCCGAGACGGGTTGATTTCAACTCGGGCTGCCAGATTTTCAAATCCCCCTGCCCGACGGTCGGGTTATATTTCATATGTGAAAACATTCAAAATATTTCCCGATGATAAGCATTAATTCACATGTAAAGATGAATGATAAAATGTAACCAAAAAGAAACCCCGTTAGCTTATCCTGAGAAACATATGATTATAGTGGGCAGGCAGGTTTTGGTCAGGGCTGGCAAGTATTTCAGCTAGCCAGTCCTGTGGTCTGGCTGAAATGGGAGTTTCATACCCTGCTTATTGTGGTCTTATACAGACAGCTGTGATATACCTTAATTGTGATTATTTCTCTGTATTGTTATATGTGAGCATTATTTATATTAACCAAAGAGTAACCATGTATTGTAACCAAAGAGGTTATTGAGGTTATACGTCTCACACTGACTACAGTCCCTGTATCGACGGTCTGTGACATTCCTACCAGTGGAATCTTATTATGTATCGACCAATGTCGGTCTGTGACATTCCTACCATTGGAATCTTATTATGTATTCACCAATGTCGGTCTGTGACATTCCTACCATTGGAATCTTATTATGTATCGACCAATGTCGGTCTGTGACATTCCTACCATTGGAATCTTATTATGTATTCACCAATGTCGGTCTGTGACATTCCTACCAGTGGAATCGTATTATGTATTCACCAATGTCGGTCTGTGACATTCCTACCAGTGGAATCTTATTATGTATCGACCAATGTCGGTCTGTGACATTCCTACCATTGGAATCTTATTATGTATTCACCAATGTCGGTCTGTGACATTCCTACCAGTGGAATCGTATTATGTATTCACCAATGTCGGTCTGTGACATTCCTACCAGTGGAATCTTATTATGTATCGACCAATGTCGGTCTGTGACATTCCTACCATTGGAATCTTATTATGTATTCACCAATGTCGGTCTGTGACATTCCTACCAGTGGCATCGTATTATGTATTCACCAATGTCGGTCTGTGACATTCCTACCAGTGGAATCTTATTATGTATCGACCAATGTCGGTCTGTGACATTCCTACCATTGGAATCTTATTATGTATTCACCAATGTCGGTCTGTGACATTCCTACCAGTGGAATCGTATTATGTATTCACCAATGTCGGTCTGTGACATTCCTACCAGTGGAATCTTATCATGTATTCACCAATGTCGGTCTGTGACATTCCTACCAGTGGAATCTTATCATGTATTCAGCAATGTCGGTCTGTGACATTCCTACCAGTGGAATCTTATCATGTATTCAGCAATGTCGGTCTTTTGTGAGCGACAGAAAAGTGGAACTGTGATTTGAGTTAGATTGAGTCTGTGCACAATGTGTCGTTGGCTATTTGAACTGTGATCGGAATTTATTTGTGACAAGGATCCAGACTGTGTCCGATTGGTGGAGTTTCTGTATCACGTTGAGTATTTTGTTTGCCACATATGTGTTACTTTGCCAGATTGTATTCGCAATTGTGTAAATATTGAATAATTGTCGGTCTCGGTAATAATAAAATATTCTTAATAGTGAAACTGAGTTGGGTCCTTCATTTTGTTACTTGAGACTCGAGTCACTTGTAACAGTATACATACCTGTTCAAGGATCTCGTCTATCTCCTTGGCAACCCTGTCCTGCCAGTGAGGGTGAAGGGCAAGATTGTATGCTACATAAGACATGGCGCTTGAGGTAGTCTCGTGTCCCGCCAGGAAGAATGTCACCGAGTGGGCCAGCATCTCCGTAGATGTGAGCCCTGAACGTCAAAGAAATAAAAGCGAGTGACATCACAAAACAATGTTGGCAACAGTTAAATGTTGGCCATACAACCACTTCCAATTCTGAGACCAACTTCATTATACCTTCTATTTTGTGTCAAGTATAAATAATGACCCAACTGAAATAATTATTTGCACCTCTTAGGCTCTGGGTCGTTTGGTCATAGCTACGTCTTTCAGAATAATAAAACGCGACCAAACCCTTTCCTTATTTATAAGACATCTCTGCCGAAAGCAGTGTCATTTGAACGATTCCGACTGTATCATGATAGTGATGATACCACGTGTTCGCGAAAAGGTGAGCATATCCTGCCCCATCTGTGCACCCATTTTCAAGAATGCAATTCCTTTTATTTTAAAAATCTAATTATCAATTAACCTTATAACCTATATAATAATAGTAGTATTAAAAGAAGTAATTATGATATATTTGATACTTTATTCAGTAAGGCGTATGCTGAGGTTTGAAGCAAATATTAGTCTTTGTTTTAGGGTTGTTATTTTGTATGATATAACCTTCGGTTAAGATCAGATGTTTCTTAAAGAACACGTTACGAAAAATGAGGTGAGGTGAGGTGAAATGGGGTTTAACGTCGCGTCCAAGATTATTGCACTTATATGGCGACGTGCATGTACGTGTGTGTGTTTGTGTGGCTGCTTGTACTAGTCCGGACTGATGCCGATTTATAGTGCTAGCTCACTGAGATACCATGCCGCAGTTTAACATGAACACCCCACTCAGACACAGTATACTGACTGCGAGCCGACCAGTCCTTGTTTTAGCTCCTTAATGCCGAGCGCCAGACAGGGTAACAACAAGTACCATCTTTGAACGTATTTTGGTATGATGCCGCCGGGGATCGAACCCCGGAACTTCCGCTCTCCGGGCGGACGCTCTACCACTAGACCACGGGGGAGGTCCGTTACGAGTGAGTGAGTATGGTTTTACGCCGCTTTTAGCAATTTTCCAGCGATATCACGGCGGGGGACACCAGAAATGGGCTTCACACATTGTACCCATGTCGGGATTCGAACCCGGGTCTTCGGCGTGACGAGCGAACGCTTTAACCACTAGGCTACCCGACCGTCCCCGGTCCGTTACGAAAGGAATCAGGCTGAAAATCTAACCGGGCTGAACTTGAATCATATGAACTAACACTACCTGACAGACCACGAATAGAATTCAAGGAGTGCACTGGCATAGCTATGTTTGAGTAAAAACTGGAACAGACCTTTCCTCGTTCCCTTGACTTCATACTGAAGGCTGCTGCTGAGTTCGTCCTCTGGTTCCACCGTCCCAGAATCTTCATCGTGAGCGTTTATCATCAGCTGCAGCAGATCCGTCCGCGTCTGTAGACATAGATGTCACATACATATCATATTAACATTCGTCATCATTTGTGTAACAGTTACACCCTTTCCTGGGGTAGAATAGGTCTTCAGCAACCCATGCTTGCCGTCGAAGGTGACTATGCTTGTCGTAAAAGGCGACTAACGGGGTCGGGTGGTCAGGGTGGTCGCTGACTTGGTTGATGCATGTCATCGTATCCCAATTGCGTGGATCGATGCTCATGATGTCAATCACTGGATTGTCTGGTCCAGACTCGGTGATTTACAGACCGCCGTCATATAGCTGGAATATTGCTGATTGCGGCGTTAAACAACAAACAAACAAACAAAATCCTGAAGACAACATTACGAAAGATGGCAGCACTTAACCCATTTTAATTTATAGACTGGTTCCAAGCTGAATGTGTTGTTATGTAGAGACATCGACTTCAGACGTATCAAAATGTACTTGAAATCCGTGTAGGGGTCGCCATTTTCTTTAGGGGAGGGGTGTGTGTGTGATAAAATCGAAATATTCAATACTCTCAACTCAAAATTTCGACTGAAATGCAGAAATTAAACACTGTGAATCTTTTCAATACTTGAAATCAGAAATAAACCAGGATTGAAAAAACGCAAGTAGCATCTTTTAAGGTCTTTTGGTATGATGTGGCCGGGGATCGAACCCCCAACCATCCGCTAACCGGACAGACGCTCTATCCACAACACCACGGAGACTGAAATGACCAGAACCAGTGAAGACAGCAAGATAATAAATACAATATGTTGGCTTAAGTTGCCATAAGATAATAATACTCGAATACAAACTTTCATTTAAAAACAACAACTTGAGAGCAAACTCAGTTGTGCACGGAAGCGGAAACTCACCTCCTCTCCAGATTGTCTGACCTTCACAGCATGGTCCACGACCTTGAGGAAGAAGTCTAATGGCTGCTTTGGCGCAACTGACAGGTTGAGTAGTCTGAACACTGGCAGCACGAACGGCACTAAAACTAGACAGCAAATGATGGTGACACACTACACAAAAGAAGTTAAAGAACAAACGATCTTTTTCATTTGACTTTAGTTAATCCGTCATGACATGACAAATTAACTATAGTATGAAAACATTGGGTATTCTTTAACTTCTTTTGAGTAGTATACAGTTGAACCTCGTTGTGTCGAACTCCTGGGGACCTGGAATAAGGTTCGAGTTATCCAGGAATCGTGACATCAGGGGACTTTATGCTGAATTTGGATACTTTGGTCTCCCAAATGAGTTCGAGACAACGGGATAATCGACAGATCCAAGTTCGACACAACGAGGTTCGACTGTATATGTATTGACGTGTTTAGAAACACTCAGTCCAGCACGGAATTGAAGAAATGTGAAAACAAATATTCAGTGACAGGTATGCACTGGTATTATTCATTTACGATATGGATAGTTTAACCCTGTTAATCCAGACAGTTTCATGTTAATTCGATCGTATGAATAATTATTATGTGAACTTGCAGTGCTTTGGTTTCTTAAACAACCTTATTCTGTGAGGGACATCACGGGAAGGAGATACTATTCAAATACGCCCCACAGATAATACTTACAATAGGACATGAAAAGCAGACCGGCGAATTTAATATTGGTGAGACTTTTGGCGTGCTTGATGAAGTTGTCATCCGGGTTACTCTGAGAGTCGATCTGAAGGCCAAACGCGGAGCTTGCGATCACGTCCAGGGTGAAGGCAGAGAAGTGACTTCAATTCAAAAAAAATATCAAACAAGTGCGTTCATTCTTGTGCTGAAACACATTTGCACATTAAATCGACATCGTCATGATTGTTATGGTCAAACAGTAGGGTGAGTGAGTGAGTTTTATGCCACTTTGAAAATATTTAAGCGATATCGAAGGTTGTTTGTTTGTTGTTTTACGCCGCACTCAGCAATATTCCTGCTATAAGACGTCGGTCTGTAAATAATCGACTCAATCCAGTGATTGACATCATGAGCATCGATCCACGCAATTTGGATTGATGACATGCATCAACCAAGTCAGCGAGCCTGACCACCCGATCCCGTTAGTCGCCTCATACGACAAGCATAGTCGCCTTTAACGGCAAGAATGGGTTGCTGAAGACCTATTCTACCCCGGATCTTCACGGTCCGATATCGAAGGAATAATGGACGTAGAAGTTTACCACACTGGTGATGCTCACGAACGTAGATATGGTGCTCATCATTACGAAGGGCGAATCCGGGATTCAAACCCATGATTAGCGGATCCTGTCAAGACTTGGGAACGCAACGCAACGCAGCGCCGAGGACAGTTTAATGCCCGTGCCCAAGTTCGCGTGAACCTAGTCACCCAGATAGTAGTAGACTCACTCTTTCAACTCCACTTCTCGGCCCTCTTTGGCCAGCGCCCGAGAGTTGACCACGAGCGTGTCACTGCACACGCTCACTAGCTCGCACACCTGGTAGAACGTAATCAAACAATGTTAGACAATAAACTGATGGATTGGTATTTTTTTAAGTTGGTAAGTAGCATTAAATAGACATTTTATGGATATCAACTTCTTTATTCAATTATGAAGCGTCGTTTCGGTATAGATCCTTATACCGTTGTCACACGTGCTCGACAACGATATAAGGATTTATACTGAAACATCATGTACATCATAGAAGTTGTTATCAACAAAATATATTGTCTTTAATGTAAGACAATGTTTTGTAGTGCCCCCCTACTCCCACGGGCCTGCAACGAACTATGTCGCTGAATATCTTGATAATGCCTGTTGGCCCAGCCCGTGGAGCATAGTCTCCCTTGGACGATTGTACGTTGACCTTGACCTCTGACCTGTTTGAGTTTGGCTGAGCTGAAGGTCGGCGTGAGGATACTCCGAGAACGCTTCCAGTCTTCATCCCTTTGTTGCATGATGCCGTCACTCATTGGATAGCCAGTTATGCTTCCCAGAGGCTGCAAGTGAAACATTGGTAAGCTGACACAATGAATGCTCAAATTATCTCCCTTTGGCAAACTTCAGTCAAGCTCCCCCGGTATCATCGCATTGTATACAGGGCTCTACAGGGCGATAACGGATTATCGCTGTGAGGAGCTTGAACTTCTGTTTGTAGTTGTTGCTTATTTGTTATGGGTTTGAGAAAATTACATGGGGGCATAGGGACATGGGGGATGAGTAATCCTTGGAGTGATATCCGTACACACGAAATATATAAATGATTATGAAAATATTTTTGAAAACATTTCTTACTGTAAACATGTTCATGTTATTCGGCAATAATAACAACAGGGAGCTACGTCCAGTCCTAGACTGGTTTAACTGCCCTAGAGCGCTTGCGTTCCTCGCCTGCAGGCGCTGGGAGGCGAAAGGCAGGGTACCAGTCTGGCTCCTTCCTATCCCCATGCAGCATTTCGCTGCGGTGAACGTTCACCCATTTCCGTCAAGTGGGTTTTATGTCGAGAGGGACGGGTACAGGCCTCCAGCATTTCGCTGCGGTTAACGTTCACCCATTTCTGTGAAGTGGGTTGTATGCCGAGAGGGACGGGTACAGTCCTCCAGCATATCGATATGCGGTTAACGTTCACCGATTTCTGTGAAGTGGGTTGTATGTCGAGAGGGACGGGTACAGTCCTCCAGCATATCGATATGCGGTTAACGTTCACCGATTTCTGTGAAATGGGTTTTATGTCGAGAGGGACGGGTACAGTCCTCCAGCATATCGATATGCGGTTAACGTTCACCCATTTCCGTGAAGTGGGTTTTATGTCGAGAGGGACGGGTACAGGCCTCAAGCATATCGATATGCGGTTAACGTTCACCCATTTCCGTATAGCGAGGTTCTTAGTTACACATGTGCGCTTTATGGCAGTATATAGGTACTTGCATCAACAGGTAGGTATGCTAAAAGATTTCTTTAGGCCATGTTGAGCCTCTGGATCAAAGTTATCTTGTCGACATATCCTATGGGAGGTCTTAATGATAGGATAGTATCACTATCATTGTGTCTGTAAGGCTTGTGCCATTATCTGATCCAGAATAAAAGGAATTATTTTGAAAAATCGTCTTTTCATGAAACCTACCCGCCTGTTCCTGAAACTGTTGAACTGTTTCACCATTATCTCTTTAAGCACGGCTTTGTCTGCGACCAGCATGCAGGGGTGCTGACCCTCGTAGAACCTGGACGTGATAGACACTGACCTACTTCTGTACATTTTCTTAAGAAAGGGGCTATAAACATGCTCGTTCACATCCACAGAGGAAGAAAACGTTATAATATCAAAACTTACATTATAGTACATCATTCATCATCAATCAAATTTTGTTTTCTTATTATCAAATTCAAAACATAACTTCAAACTGCAAACACCGAAAGACATAATTTGATAATACGTACCCGACAATATTCCCATACTGTTTCAACCACTGTTGATGTGCCACGTGGAATCCCTTAAAGAAAAATATAACCGTATGTCTAGCTGCAGTGTTATATTGTCACAAGATGAAGTGACATTAAACACACTGATCTGAGCAGTAGTGAGTGAGTAAATATTTAGTGTCGCATTAGCAATGTTTCAGCCATATAGCGATTTATGTAGAAGCGAATGATTGTTTCAGTTGCTGAAGTGCTGATATAGTTTTAATACACAATTGTGTTTTAAGTTTGATGTAATTTTTTCATTAACACACGTACGCGCATGCGCACGCACATTTTTGTCTGATTCAGTTGACACTTCTTCTCCTTAGTTCATGAAAATAAGTTGTCAAAGTTGTAATAAATCATTATCATTTCTATAGTTATGACTTTTGTGTGCAAATTGTTTCTATATTGTCATATTTAAGACCGCATGGTGCAAGAGATATGAAATATACTGGCAGGTAAAAGAAAGTAGACATCTATATTTGACGGGAGCTAAAAAAATTTCAAGTGTATATTTTCTTTTACGGCAGTTTATCTTTTCGACAAGCATTTATGGCAGAAGCCTTGCGAGTGAATGTTATTTTATGCCCTATTCAGACTGTATCACGACGGCCAGTCAATAATGGATTCTGGACCATGGGAAACGTTCCACGCCATCGTGATTCGATGACACGCAGGTCACGGATCCAAGTGTTAGTCGACCCCGGGGACAAGCATGACATACTGTGACCTAGTCTGACTCTGAATCTCCTCAGGGGAGAGATACTTTTGGTGCGCACCTGTTTTGTTTCGGTCAGCAGATTACCAAACAATGGTATTGGTTTAGGGCCGGGAATGTTGAGGGATGCGAACAGAGAGTAGGGTCGTGTGGCGTACCTGTGGATAGAAACAACGCTAACAACACGGTCATACCGGTAACAAGAGATTACAAAAGCCTGTCAAAAACTGTGTAATATGCATATGTCGATTTCAGAATTAGACCATTTCAGTTTCGAAAACAACACAGTCATGTCGATAAAAAAGACATTTATGGTACCGTTATATGTTGAAGCCCTACCTGTGTATAAACCAGCATGTGCTAACTACGCTGGGCACCTGTCTACACATAAAGCTTTTCGCACATTCTTACAGTAACACCAGTGTTACGAAAATCTCTAGCTCAGTGCGGAGGTTAAGGCGCAGAAATTCTGCTCTGAATCGGGGTCCGTCTTCATACTCGTATGAAAAGAATGCTTGTTAATGTCTTTACTGCAAACTCTGACTTCCAAACCTCGGAACATTTGAGGAGCTCGCAGTATGGTCACTTTGATGAATAAACATACATTGGCATGCACCTCACTGTCACTGTTGTAGTAGCATATCGATATAATTATGCAAAACAATATGTAAAGCGCCCTAAAATACTTGCATTAGGCTTATTTGTTCTCATTACAGAATAAGCGAGTTTGTTTCCAAACAAGATAAAAATCGGATCACGTGAAATGCAAATTAGCCTGTGGCAGTGGTGTTATGCGCCGGAGTGTGGTGACAGATACTGACATCGAATATTGACTCGTCACATGATCAGTATTGACCTGTCACGTGATTAATATTGACCACTAGAAAACAAGATGGCGTCTGGTACGAACATGTCACGGTTCGCAGCTAAGTTACAGTTTTGAACCAATGGACTGTTTAAAGACTTCTTTAACTTAAAAGTGAATTCGGCATAACAAAACGAATGATTACTCTTGACGAGGTCTATATGCGAAAACAGGCTTAAGGACTTGGTCAGGTCAGACCACCTCAGGGGTCGGGGCTTCGGGTCCTTGTTTTCGCATATTGACCTCGTCAAGAGTAGTAGTAGTAGTAGTAGTAGTGCAGAACTCAAGACAAACTTACCAGTAAAAAAGTAGGCCAAGAAGACAGATGAGAACTAACCACAATGGGAGGTCGACGACACCAAAAATATCCATGATGGGTTTCTACACACCTAAAGTCTTTCATACAATAGATCCTGTCTCTTATATACGACTACGACAGCCGAGATCTATCAACTGAGTCGCTATGTACATGTGACCTATATAGCAACACCGAGCCCCTATTGCATGAAGCTTTGCCATATCTGCGTTGTAGGGTTATATCTGCCAGCTCGAGGGGTGCTTTTATCATACGGTTAATCTATGGGGGTCAAGGTAAATGAATACCGTGAAAATCCGGGTTAGAACTGGTCTCCAGCTACCCATGCTTATCTCCGTCCGTGAAGATCCGGGTTAGAATTGGTCTCCAGCTACCCATGCTTGTCTCCGTCCGTGAAGATCCGGGTTAGAACTGGTCTCCAGCTACCCATGCTTATCTCCGTCCGTGAAGATCCGGATTAGAATTGGTCCCCAGGTACCCATGCTTATCTCCGTCCGTGAAGATCCGGATTAGAATTGGTCCCCAGCTACCCATGCTTGTCTCCGTCCGTGAAGATCCGGGTTAGAATTGGTCCCCAGCTACCCATGCTTATCTCCGTCCGTGAAGATCCGGGTTAGAATTGGTCCCCAGCTACCCATGCTTGTCTCCGTCCGTGATGATCCGGATTAGAATTGGCCTCCAGCTACCCATGCTTGTCTCCGTCCGTGAAGACCTGGATTAGAATTGGTCTCCAGCTACCCATGCTTATCTCCGTCCGTGAAGACCTGGATTAGAATTGGTCCCCAGCTACCCATGCTTGTCTCCGTCCGTGAAGATCCGGATTAGAATTGGTCCCCAGCTACCCATGCTTATCTCCGTCCGTGAAGATCCGGGTTAGAATTGGTCCCCAGCTACCCATGCTTGTCTCCTTCCGTGAAGATCCGGATTAGAATTGGTCCCCAGCTACCCATGCTTGTCTCCGTCCGTGAATATCCGGGTTATGTCTCCAGCAAACTATGTTTCTTGTCGTAAGAGGCGACTAACTGGACCGGGTGGTCAGGCTCGATGACCTGGTTGATGCATGTCATATCATATCCCATTTGCTTAAACCGATGCTCATGATGTCAATCATACGATTGTCTGGTCCAGACTCGATTATTTACAGACCGCCGTTATATAGCTGGAATATTGCTGGGTGCGGCTTTAAACAACAAACAAACAAAGGTATATGAAGATATAATGCAAACATGCTTTCATAAATTCACGAATTTCATATACAATTACTTTTCCCTTTGGCTGTACATGCAACTAGTGTTGAGGATAAGCAGTGACGAAAATCTTCAGCCATCAAGGGCAAAGTACACAATTGTCCCATTTGCAAACGGATGAAGCAACGTGAATACATTCCCTTCAATAGTTCCGGGTGCAGCGTAGGAAGTCTTGTGGTGAATGTTGGTTTATGCACTATTCCAACTATATCACGACGGCCTGTCAATAATCGATTCTGAGCCAGACAATCCAGTGAATAAAACATCGGAAACGATGACACGAAGGTAACAGAGCCTGACATCCCAATCCAAGTGTTAGTCGAATCCAAGGACAAGCATGACATATTGTGACCTGGTCTGAATACTTCCAGAATACTTCTGCCTTCAGTTCTGCCTTGTAGTTGTAAAAGTGAATGACGTCTCGTGATGTTTTATGAATGAAAAAAGTAGTTCCGGTGTGACCGAGGTCACACCAATCCCATCGAAATAATAAAACGAGGTCAACCTTGTAAGACACGTGTGACGTACGGATTTAGTATCTTCACCACGTGGGTAATACAGGACAGTTCGTTATGAATAATACCGTCATGTTTTATTTAAGTGGAACGTGTGGGGATGTAACGCTCATAATTGATACTTGGTTTAAGGGCACCTCCCGAATATTTCAGTAATATTTAAGCTCATTATAATTAAATCTAAGTGCCCGCTACCGCTACACAAAGATAGGAGGACAATCCCCTTACAGGTCACATTTGAACGACCTTTCGCGACCTCTGACAGACAAATGACATGACCAACAGGTCTACATCAGCCAATCAGAGAGCAGATTTCTCGAGCTCAACTAAAGATACTTCTGGATTGTCTAATAGATTGAAGAGATTGTATGATACTACTTCCAGCGGGCTATATGAACGTGGCCTGCTAATAATCGAGCCTTGGTCTGACAAACCAGTGGTTGATATCATGAACAACGTTCCATGCCTTCGGGGTTCGATGAAACCCAATCCGCACAACCCGATCCAGTTAGGTGGCATGTTAAACCACAAGCAACAGAGAGCTACATAAAGTATGGTCATTTAAAGAGGAATATACGACATAATGAATATAGTCAGTGCCATCCATACAGTATCCACTGTATTCTCTGGGTCTGCTTTTTGGGTAAACATACTCTAACCCCTGCAGGATCCATTCCAGCGGGACTCGCGATCTCATATTTACCCGCCGTTGATTTCCATGAGCTTATTTGATTTGCTACGCTACTCACTCTAACTGACCAATCAGAATGCGAGTTACAACCCATCCTCAATGTTTGGTTGGCGATATCAGCAACATGGCGGCCAGTTTCATTGATTAGGTTAGAATTTGCGAAAACAATCAACATTGAATAACTGACTGACATTTTATTGGAAGGCAAAATGTTAAATGAAATCAAGGGCGGGTAATTTGATATCGCGAATCCCGCTGGAATGGAACCTGCATGCACAATTCTAATCCCAAGTGTTCTACTTCAGGTATCTGAACTATTCAATGTTAACAAAAACATATATTGAACATATCTTGAATAAACATGTCTTGAATAAACATATCTTGAATAAACATGCCTTGAATATAACATATCTTGAATAAACATGTCTTGAATAAACATATCTTGAATAAACATGTCTTGAATATAACATATCTTGAATAAACATGTCTTGAATAAACATATCTTAAATAAACATATCTTGAACATGTCTTGAATAAACATTTCGTTTATTTCCCAAGGATTACACAAGTCATGTTGTTGTTGCATTAAAGGGGCACTGATCTAACGCAATTCCCCGGGACTGGTTGTTGCCTTTGTTATTGTTTTTTCCCAGTGAGTACCCGGATGTATAGCAGAAATCTAGACTAGTTCGCGACCTCTGCTGCGCCATTCGTAAGCGCATTAGTCACTTTTATGGGTAGCAATAAGGGCGTATGGTCACATTGATCAACAAAATGAAATACAGTTTTCGAGATAATAAGGAAATGTAGGTATCTTTGTGGTCACTTGCTTGGTAATTTTGCGATTTTCGTTTACACTATTTTGACTTGCAACACAAAGTAAATATTTCACCTGAGCATTGCTTTTTTTATAGTGTGTATATTTTTTTACTGTCAAATGTGTAACAAATTTATTAAACGTCTAAATATTCAGTTATTTTACAAAGTGACTGAAAAACATTTCCATCTGTATTATTATGATAACGAATTCCAAACATTTTTATGTGTAATGTCATCACCAAGAGACTGAAAATGTTACGTTGAAAAGTACAATTCTATGTTGTTTGGCTTCTAATCCTACATAATAATCTGTTGTGATGTTTGTAGGCCCTTTTGATCGTCTTAATCAACCTGGGCAGATTTTTTAGTCAAAATATTTACACATTTTATAAATTGCCTGAGAGAATCACATTTTACAAATTGACGGTAATATATACACGCTTACAAAGGAAAAGACCTGTGAAAACAACGTCTATCGCGCATCGATGTCCCAACCAAGACGTAGAGAAACAAGAACGAATCCGTTCAAATGAAGGAAAACAAAATGCAAATTTCATAATTACAACCTACCAAATTTATGTGTATAAATTTTAGGTAGCTTCCTTGTTCGAGGAGTGTATCCGTGAATATCCACACAAAGCAACAATATCCCACTTGCCTGTAGCTGTACAAAGAAACTTATTCGATGTCACGTGTCTCAGTAACAATCAAAAATGATATTTTAAAAGATATATATCGTTTCGGGATATTATAACCCGTGTTCGTTTCTCAACTGATCACTTGGATTGTTTCAGGTGTTTTACATAGGTGTCAAGTCTCAATGGACGGCTGAGAAAGCGCACGTGACAACTAACGTCCACGGTTCCTAAAAAAATCCATTGAGTGATAGATAACAATGATCAATCAATCAACGTATTATCAGTTAACCCTTTGAACAAAGTATGTTGTTTTTACATCGGCACTTCACGCCATGATATGAGAGTATTCCCTTTGTTTTAGTAAACCTAGACATGTAAACACTCACTCTTGACATATCCACTGTGCAAGATAACAGTGATTAATCAATCAACGTATTTTCTGTTAATCCTTTGATGACTAGGAACGATCCGTTGATTTACAAAAAAAAGTAAATCAACTGATCATTCATCTCTTGCTGGGCTGCCACGTGCATATTACATAACACACATTTCAACTCACTTCAAACCTGGATTTAGATTGAATAATTACCCCAGACACAATAAATGCCAAATGGGAACTTTTGTCAGGTAATCTAAGTGGCGCTACCACTAATTGTACCTGTAATAAATTCATTAATTGAGCACCAAGTGAATGACGACAAATACACAAGTGTAGGGGTTATACGAGAAAACGTTGATGACAACAAGGGAGTAGTAATCGTATTATCGACGCAAGCCGAAATCCGAAAATGCTTTCCTTGCATGGATACTTTTTTTAGTATTAAACTATAACCATCTGGGGTATTTCCAAATGACGACATCCGATGAGCTCCGCTGTTCTTTTTGTCTGTTTGTTTAGGCTGAAGAAATTAATTAACATGCGCCCTTTGTCGAAATCTTTATAGAGCACAGTTAACCAATCAGTGCTTATGCAAAAATGCGTAAAACAAATATTGCCTCCAGCCTCCAAGTTTATTTAGCTGTCCTTGCAGACGGTAGCCCAGTCTCTGGTCACGCTCAGTTGCGTTGCGTATCATCCGGGTACTCACGGGGAAAAAAACAATAACAAAGGCAACAACCAGTCCGGGGAATTGCGTTAGATTAGTGCCCCTTTAAGTGTTTAAGAGGTCGCCTTCTGTCTAAGGAATTTCGGCTAACCGGTCCCTCTTTGGGACTCCTGTGTGTGAGTAGGGTACAAATATCGATTGTGAGTTTGGTATTCACATAATTTCTGTTTTTGTATTGATATTATTTCTATTTTCTTATATTGATATGATTTCATTTTTATCCTTGGCTACTCTGTTTATACACTTTCGAGTAGCCATCCATCTCTCAGAAATAGAGTTAGTTTGGCCTTCGCTATTGCATCTCTTGGCTTTAGGAGATAACCTAGCCCGGGCTGGGGCATGGTCTTGACATTCTTGTAACATACACAAGTCAGTGTTAGATACAGTATATATATGGCCGCCGAGTGACGCGGTCAGGCGTTCGCCCCTATAGTAGAGAGATACTCTCAAACCCATTTGTCACGGGATAGTTTCAACCAAAAGCTCTGACACGATACATCATACTCCTCCCACCCAAACTAACTATAATATAGCCCAATAACATAATTACCTTATGAGATCATAATAATAATATATAAACATCAATTCCATAATTGAAAGCCACAGTGAAGTCGTTGATCAATTAAAGTATTAATGCAAGTTGCTGAAGAATAGTCTTCAGCAACCAGTGCTTGCCGTAAAAGGCGACTATGCTTGTCGTAAGGGGCGACTATCAGGGTCGGATGGTCAGGCTCGCTGACTTGGTTGAAGCATGTCATCGATCCCAATTGTGTGGATCGATGCTCATGATTTCAATCACTGGATTGTCTGGTCAAGACTCGATTATTTACAGACCGCTGTCATATAGCTGGAATATGGCTGAATGCGGCGTTAAACAACAACCCAACCAACCAACCAACCTGAAATTATGAAGACCCTACCATGTTTGGAAATTAAGTGAAATCGAAACGACATTATGTTTATTGGGCCTTGCTGCCAATTTTGCACACACAACATTGATCTGAGTGCGGCGTAAAACAACCAACCAACTTAATGCAGGTTTACTTCAGATGTAGAGGGTACCCTTATAGATACCCCTTGCATCTTTTCATATTCTTATTTACACCTTTCGATTGAATTTGTGGCTAGATATGAGCTACATCATTGGTCTAATAAGGTAATATGTTCAGAGTGGTCTCCCCTTGGTGCATTCCCTAGGAATCTTGTACGGGCAATATAAGCAAATATAACATGTATCACAAGTCAGTGAATAGACCATCCGATCCACTTTAGCCGCATCTAACGACAAGAAATAGTGTATTAGGTGTCTACCCTAAACCTGTCCTCGCCGACTGACTAAATACAGAAGTGTCTACCGTCCTTCCCAGCTGCGAGGATAAATAACGAAAAACACAGTCATATTATCATTCCTTTTTATTATCAAGACAGGGTACATTTTTACTGTAGTCACATGTTTTAATTCCTTCGTTATAGAACAAACCATCTGGACAAGTATACTCAAGTTTGATCGATTCTCCCCCAGACCCTCCAAAACATCTAATAAACCTGTTAGGCGGGCAACCATTGGTGTAGTCTGCATAGACGCCATATTGTAAAGATGGCGGACAGACCAAGATGGCGCCGCACGGTATGTTTGTTGCGTTGTCGCACTTGTCGGTGCCCTCGTTGAAAAAGAGGTCCGTCTCGCACGTCATTGACTGGACCTCGCCGCGGCGACATTTGTAGAACTGTTTTGTTGGGCAGCCCTTGGAATAATCTGGGTAGAAACCTTCACTCACATCAACCGGGCAGCTGAACTTGGCGATTGGGGATGACAACGAATCTGAAGAATCAATAAGTCAGAGGTTTGTTGGTTGTTTAACGCCGATATTAAGCTGTATGCAATCCATATGATGTTGGCGTGTAATAATCGAGCCATTCGGGTAAGATGACAGACAGTCGAAGTCACCGAGTATGACCAGTATTGGTGTAAAAAATCGCCTCTTACTTAATGCATAGGCCAGGTTGCTGGGGATCTACTAAATTCCGGAATCTCATTAAGGAAAGAGAACTCTCGGTAAAGGTGAAAGATACGAACCGATTTAATGCAAAAAATAAATCAGTTGTATAAATTAAACTTGTATTGTTTTGGCTATGAAACTATACAAGGTTAATACTTTTCATGTTGAAAAAGTAGAAGAAAAATAGGTTCATTTTCGTGTGAGCTTGCCCTTTCAGCTGTATTCAACCCATATAACGTTGGCGTGTATTAATCACGCAATCCGGGTAAGATGACACGCAAACAAAGTCACCGAGGCCAGTACTGATGTAATATGTCGCTTCATACTAAATGCATAGGTCAGGTTGCTTGGGATCTACTAAATTCCGGAATCTCCATGTGGAAGGCCATGTGGTATTGTGGGGTCGACTTTTGCAGATGTTATAGACGTAATATGATCAGGATAGTAATCTTACAAGAAGTTTTTATTCAAAATAAACTGTGTTTGAAGAGACATTTTGGCAATATTTAGGTTTCCGTTCACATCTTCAAAACATCGGACAAAACAGGGAAAACACAAAAAATTATATCTTTCAGCTGCTTCATAAATGGTTTATCTTATACAAAACTAGAGAACAGGTCACATTATTTGAGTGTTTGAAATCGCTGCCTGTCCTCTACCCAATTCTCAGTGACTTTTAATTGGGCGAGTAACATATCCACGAGTAACATATCCACGAGTAACATATCCACGAGTAACATATCCACGAGTAACATATTCGTAAAGCGTGCCCGACTGTAAAGTTGAAAATCCTTGTCATTTATTTCTACGAATCATCATGTCAGTTGAGACGTCATTTAATGTCAAAGTCTGTTTGTTTTCATTTCGTAGTTTATTGGAAGCGTTTGGGGCTAGTAATTGACATATGATATGGGTTTGCAGCGTGGTTTGCTAACCAGCCATCCTGGCCACTGAACGTTGGACATTATATCATACACTGAATATGATACCAACTGCATACGCGTTCCCGTCCGTAAATAATGGCTTGAAACAAAATGGCGTTACCTCTACGAGACATGCATACTTCGTACGCCTTGGTGGTACATTGTTTGAGTTCGGCATCGAAAGCTGACCCTCTATAGCACCAGCTTTTGTTGATAGGGTAACCATAGTAACAGAAGATGAAACTGAAGCATGTTTCACCAGGCATGATGTCAAAGTCACGTGAGTTCCAGCACGAGTTGCCAAGTGAACTTCCGGTACTCAAAATGGCCATCACTGAAATAAAAGATAAAAATGATAAGGATACTAACGGTATTTATGAGTAAGGATAAGAATTTAAGATAAGGATAAGATTTATTATCCTTACTTAGTACTCCAACTTCTAAATGCCTATCAAAGAAGGTATTTAAGAGATCAGATAAAAACAAATGTCACTAACGCATTGTGGGAAAAAAGAACCCTCACATTTGGTGGGGACAATCTGTGAACTTCCCAGCTAATGGTGTTGCACTGGCGACCTGGCAGTGCAAATGAGAAGACTCGGCAGTTTCAAGCAGACAATTCACCACAAGATCAGAATTATTCGATCTTCCCGAGGCAAGGGAGTTGTAAAAGTAGTCCAGATCGGGAGATGGAATTATTCACGCAAGATGCCAAGCATGAAACCAGGGGGGGGGGGGGGGGGGGGAGCAAATATTTGTACAAGTATCACTTGTCCCCAACTTGTATTTTCATGATTCAAATAAAACGTTTTTGATAAAAAATCCAGCGGGGGGCAACCCCTAAATATTAAATTAGATACATACATGCTCACATACAGCCTCGTTTGAATCAGATCTATAAGTCCGATGCGTTAAGATATGAGTTAGTGAGTTGGGTTTAACGCCGCTTTTAACAAAATTCCAGTTATATCACGGCGTGTCAGCTTAATGTGGGAGGAAAACCCGAAGTCATTCAGGTCTTGGACGTTTACCACTCGTTAAGATATGAGGACACCTTTATAGAAAATGAACATTGAGTGAACTTTGACCGCCAAATCAAAAAGTAGGATTTATTTGTTCTTGAGCGAATAAGCTGTCAGCTTTCAAGGACGATTCGGCTTCATTTTTACCTCACTAGATTTGGAAATTTCGCTTTGGTACAAATGATAAACCACACAGAACACACCTTATCCTTCGATGGTATCTTAATTTGGGTGTACATGCCATGGCGCTCAGAAACGAGAGGGTGTATGATAAATCATATCTTCAACAATATGATGACGTCACTATACTTTCTACTTTTGGAACTTGTCATCTCAGTTCGTTTTGGAGGTACAGAAATCAGAGATGCTGGTTTGAACGCTTCGATAACTCGTACCGTGAATTTAGAAGCCTTGACGCTCATTGGCTAGAAAGTTCACCTGACGCTATCCCCTGCCACCACTACAACAGCGGCAATGCCAATATTGCGTAGGATACCAGCCCAGACAGTGGGGAACTGTTTACGTGCTGAAGGTATTCCCGCTACAAGACCAGTTCGAGGTGTCACTTTGACGGAACTGGATCGCCGGCTGCGACGTCAATGGTATCAAGGGCACAGGGTATTGCCACAACTTCGATGGGGACAAGTTTGGTTCAGTGACAAGACATGTGTTATGCTTCGCCGCGCGGATGGTAGACGTCGGTGTTTACACGCTTCTCGGGGAACGTTATGCCCGAAACTGCATACAGGAAGTGGACAGATTTGGTGGTGGTAGTGTGTTGATGTGGGCAGCTATCTCCTACACTGGTACAACAGGTTTGGTGCACGTTCTGGAGAGTTTAACGGCACAACGTTACACTGAAGAGATTCTTCGGCCACCCGTCCTTCACATCATGCAACAAGCGAACGTCAATTTCCAACAAGACAACGCCCGACCTCTCAAGGCAAGACTGACAACAGCTTTTTCAGGAATCACAACATCCACACACAACATTCCAGGACTCCAGAGTTAAACCCAATCGAAAAATTATGGGATGCACTAGATGCACGACTGCGAGCACGTCAGCAACAACCACAGAACCTCCAACATTTGGCACAAGCATTGCAGGTAGAGTGAGTGAGCATTCCCCCAAGCCACAATTCGGGATCTGATTGCTTATATGGGACGACGATGCCAGTCATTTTTGGACTCTAAAAGCGGCCATAAAAGATATTGAGAAAAGATGACCTTCACCTTGAAAATCTACTATTCCATGTGTGCCATATAGAACCTGAGTCAGTTACAATGATGTGAGCCAATTGTGAACAATCGATTACCATCTGTTGATTATTTATATGATATAAAATATACATCTAAAATCACTTTGCGTTTCTTTTTTTGCAGAGTATATATTCGAAACCGTGAGACGATAGATAATCAACATGCCACGAGATACATGCATAGTTTCCCTTGCTCGTCCATAATATGTTTCCAGGAACAGCAAGAAAAATATAGCAGCCCAAAGGTTATAGTTTGACGGGATCTAGCAAATAACAAATTTGGTAAATGTTTGGCCAATTACTTTAAACTGCTTAGTCCTAAACATCGTCATATTACCCTATAATACATTCCCTGAAACAGACGGTCGTTAAAATCTAAATATTACAAATGATGGAGTTTGGTTTAAAAGCCACTGTTAACATTATCCTGCGGCCTTATCTCGACTCAGACACCAACAAGTGGCTACACACGTCTTCCCATGTGGGGAATCGAACCCGGGCCTTCGGCGTGACGAGTTGAGACTTTCACAACTGGACTTTCATACAAAGAATATAGAATACAACGAATGTCGGTTTAGATTTCAAAAAAAGACACACAAAATAATTCGCTTCTGCCTTCAAAGACATCCTAAAGTCTACAGTAATTAATTACACTTACTAACAAGATACCGCCGTAGATACAGAAACCAACTCCTCACACTTAGCCTAATGGTTAAAGCGTTCGCTCGTCACGTCGAAAACCCGGTTTCGATGACCCACATGGGTAGTGTGTGAATCCTATTTACGATGATATTCGTGATATTGCTGGGGGGCACGGGTGGCCCAGTAGTCTAAGGCGCCGCGACTCACTGTGAGAGAGAAACCTATGATTATGTGTTCGAATCCCGGTTCGCCCCGATTACTAGTATGTTTCTAGGTTTCAGGGATGTGAGCAGGTTTTGCCGAAAAAAGAGGAAAAGTCTAGGGGGGTCTGGGGGTATGCCCCCCCAGAAATTTTTAAAACATTTGATTGCATTTTAAGCAATTTCATGCAGTTTGGACAACATTCACACCAAGAAATGTAATAAGTCAATGGCAAAAGTCAATAAGTAAAATAAACAAGATGGCAGATGCAGTAAAATTTCGAAGTTAAATCAGTACTTTAAAAAAATCGGGCATAGCTTTCGCGCACCTGGCTACCCGCCAGGTCTGGGAGCAATACTGCCATAAACTTCAACCCCCATCCCCCAGACACAAGGACAACTGTCACAAGTGTGCAATGTCTGACCCTTTCCCCATGTTGAAGCATATTGAAAAAAACTTACCTTGTACTTACCTTTTGATGAAAAAAACAAAACTCCATTTCAAACATAAGACATTAATACAATATATATCCCCATGACATGGGGTTTTGGACGCTGAAGAAACATTCATAAATTTCTCGCTTATCACATGAACAACTGTAAAACATCTCATTCACTTACAGGCTAAAAGACAACTTTATCTTAAAAACAAGCCATCAGCTGACTCTGAGTATTTACAATTTCTGTGTGACGCCATGCCCCACGTTATAGTGCAAGTATTCGTGACGGAAAACATATGATGTCCGAAAACCTATGCTGTGAAAGCTCCGATCGAAAACAGGACAATCCGCGCCAATTGTCCGGTTTTCGATCATATTTTTCGGAGTGTTTTTTTTAAATTTTTAATATTTTTTTCCGCGGAAGATGATTTTTTCCGAGGACTACTATTTTAAAAAACGCGATTTTCCGCGTTTCCGCGGAGATTTCACATCCCTGAGGTTTGTCAGCACCATAGCCGTGCTCGTGGGTTTCACCGAAGTGGTCAACGTCTGAGACCTGCATCACTTCGAGCTTTCCCCCACATTAAGCTGACACGCCGCGATATAACTGGAATACTGTTAAAAGCGGCGTTAAACCCAACTCACTCACTCACTCGTGATATTGCTGAACATTGTTTAAAACGACGCAAAACCATACTCACGTATCTACATACTTACCCACAGACAGTCGCAGCAACCACATAAACTCCATGTCAGTTTCGCCAAAGGTGTCTCCCAACCTCACACGTCATCTCTCAACTCCAGATATCCCAAATCGCCTTAAGAACGGGATCCTTTAGCTTTGACCTTCCTTTAATTGCTTGATATGAAAACACCATTGTTGAGCTTTTTACTCTGTACACGAACAGAGGAGCATATTTGCAGAGCCGCCGCGGCTTCAATGTAGCCGAGCACCTGTATTTGGCGGGTACGTAACCCTACCCTTGTGACTAATGCGGTGAACTTCCCACTTTGACCTTAGCATTTGTAGAAATTGCCCCCTTCTCTCACACAATCGTCAGCTTGACACTGCATTGACTAATTTAGTGGGTGTACTTATTCCGGATCTCGCGACAAGGATCTTTTAGTGATGTATATATTATAGAATGAACCTATTTATTGAGAGTGAAGGGGTGTTTGATTGTGTGGTAGGGGATACGTATTGACGCTTTGAGCTTTATAAATGGATCTACGTGATGAGGATCTCAAGTACTAGTCGCACACATGGGTGCCGTTGCCTCTTTAACCATGTTCCTGACAATTATATATAGTATTTGTGTCATTTTTTATATACTTGCTTTAATTAATAATGAATTATTTACTTATTGTTGTTGTTATTATTATTTACAGATTAATATTTTTTTTAAATGCAGCAAAGAGGGTTTGGTTGATCCTGGCACAGTCAGGCTGGTTAGGCTCATCATCAGCTCAGGGCACTTGCCCCCTCTACACACAGTACAAACAGCGAGCTTTTCGGAGAATGTGAAGACTCCCCATCACTGCAGCCTTCTTCATTATCCAGATTGTCAGAAGGGCTGTATTCCTGGCAGCAAATCCGGGTACTCTCCCAATGTCAGTCAACAGATTGGGACGTACCAAACTAGGGCACCAAGAAAAATAGGGAGTCCGACAACTTGGTACATTGGATGCAAGCGTGACAGTACGAAAGCAAGGTCCGCATATTTGCCATGTTTTACCTGAATATTGTCAATCGCATTACTGTGAAAAGTGACAGAAAATTTAATGATATAAATCATTTCATTGGATTTATCAAAAAGGTCAGGATCAGGTTTGTTGGCCTGGATAGGTCTGAGGCTGCATATACGGGCCTATTCCAAAGAAATTTTCCATGACGCCCTCTACATATTCTGGGTCCTACATGGATGGACTTCTGTGTCAAAACCACAAGTAGGCGAAGACGGAAATAAAATGATCGAGCCACTCCATCATGTCGCTTAAGATACTGTGTTTGTGCCAAAGCTGGGCATCCACTGACAATGAGTTGGACAGTCTCATTACATTCATTGCATCATCTACATTTCATATTTACATTTTGATGCAAAATCACACATTGACGGTTTCGAGTTGGAAGTGACTGGTCCTGGGCAGCAAACAGAAAACCTTCAGTTACACTTTTCAGACCAGCCGACTTCATCCAAGCGAAGGACTCTGCAGGGTTGCTGATCCTCTCAACACACTGTACATAGGTGAGTGAGTTGGGTTTAACGCCGCTTTTAACATTATTCCAGTTATATCATGGCATTTCAGCTTAATGTGGGAGGAAAGCCCGAAGTGATGCAGGTCTCAGACGTTGACCACTTCGGTGAAACCCATGAGCAGGGGTATGGTGCTGACAAACCTAGAAACATAATCGGGGCGAACCGGGATTCGAACCCACAATCATAGTTATCTGGCGAGCTAAAGGGACGCAACTCTGCACAGCGAATCGCTGTGCCTTAGACACTTCACTCCCACTCTCTCTCACTCTCACTCTCACTCTCACTCTCTCACACTCTGTAAAATCTATGCAGTGGTCGTTCAGATAGACTCTCCATGAAAAACTGAGTCTGGGCCGATTATGATATTGCACTTCGCTTGGTTGACACTCATTTCTGTACCGTCAAGCAGTACAGATATAATCAAATCCACAAGTACAAAAGCAACACAAACAATTTAGCGATCGTGTGATTAACGCCAACGTCAACAATTTTCAGCTGTCAACAGAGTGTCAGATTTAAAACAATTGTATTAAAATTCAATAGGAGTAGCTGCGAAACAGTTACTGAACAAAAATGGAAGAGCCGAAATAAGAAGAAATCAACATTTCTGTAAGTCAAATCAGACGTGTGGCAAAATATGTGTTACAGTAAACTACGGTTATAACGAAAACGCTTATAACGAACTTACGGATATAACGAACTTACTTTTTTTGTCCCGACTATTTGCTGTAGTTATGCTGTTTATATGCTTATAACGAACTACGTTTATAACGAACTAAAATTTAGTAGTCCCTTTGAGTTCGTTATAACCGTACTTTACTGTATATCCGTTTTAGTTCAGAGCGCTAGTTGTCTTCAGATCTAACTATTTCTACCTCCAGCTACCCCAATGTACACAACTCGTGCCGCACGAACCCAAAGACTGCTCATTTGTGTTCAATTGAAGATCATGGACCTCTTGACAGAGGTCAATGTCTGTCACCTGCGTGTCATCTTTATCTAGATGCAAATAAAGTTCTGAATAAACCTATACCAGTAAAGAATGGGGTCAACGGGTCACTTCTCGCAAATACTGACTTCCCTCTGATGGTTTAGCGATATTACGTTTCTGTCGACGCGTGGACAATACTGAATCCTCTTAATTAAGTGCAGAGTGAGTGAGTCTAGCACGATTCCGAACTGTTAACGGCTGAAGAGACACATCGTCAACGTTTGTTTGTTGTTTAACCCCGCACTGGGCAATGTTCGAGCTTTATAGGGCCACATTTTTTAAATTAAATGATTCACGGATTTATTCCAGCTTTTCCGCACAAGGTCGGTCGAAATGAAAATAAAAATAAATAGCTGTCAATAAATTTATTTATTTATATGATGGTCATTCTGCCGTGGAGTTAAAACTGCAGCTGGGTTTTTGAATCACTGATAGTAATGTAGACATTTAATATTGTATAAGAGTGTCTATATTACTAGCGAGAGACATAATAAAATAAATATTTTTATGTTTAATATATTTCTTTTCCAGCTGCTTGTCAGTAGGGGGCGGCGGGTCCGTGAAACGAAAAATAAAAGTGAGTGAGTGAGTTTGGTTTTACGCCGCTTTTAGCAATATTCCAGCAACATCACGGCGGGGGACACCAGAAATGGGCTTCACACATTGTACCCATGTCGGGAATCGAACCCGGGTCTTCGGCGTGACGAGCGAACGTTTTAACCACTAGGCTACCCGACCGCCCCTGTGTGGCCTAAGAAGGCGAGGTGTAAAAAAATCGAGGGATATGAAATCCATTACATTTTAGTAAGCGTGTTTGCATTATGACATCACTGCTTGTCTTCAACACAAATAACATGTATACTTAATAGGAAAATTAACTGTAAATGAAATTAATGACTTTTCCGAAAGCATGTTTGTATAATATCCCCATATATACCTTGTTTGTTTCTTAACGCCGCACTCAGCAATACCCCAGCTATATGTCGGCGGTCTGTAAATAATCGAGTCTGGACAAGACGACCCAGTGATTGACATCATGAGCACCGATCAAGGCAGTTGGGACGCGATGACGTGCACCAACCAAGTCAGCGAGCCTGACCATCCGATCTTCGTCGCCTCTTACGACATTCACGAGTTATTGAAGACCAAGGCCTAACCCGGGTCGTCACGGGTGACCGAGACTGGTGGATCTAATTCTCTTGTGTTGACGTTTGAGAGTTACAAAAAATCACTACAAAAAACAATGCTCATAAAATGCATACTTTATTCAATCATTACAAACTGCACGACCAACCATTCATACCTCCATAACTTAAATAGCTCACACCAACACTTGCGTATCCCATTCACCAATCTATGCATACACCTCAACAGCAACAGTAGCAGCTGTACACATTGAGTGCATGGGCCCTACATGTGCGACAACGTAGACGTCAGTGATAAAGTGGGTACCGTATTTCCTCTACTAGACGCCTGGGATTCTATTTATTTCGGACAGGCCTTTGACCCGGCGTCAATTAGAGGCCCGGCGTCTATTGGAGGCCCGGCTTCTATTAATACCCCCATTTCACTATGAAAGGAATCATTAATTGTATCAATTGATCCACCCGGTGTCTATTAGAGGCCCGGCGTCTATTAGAGGCCCGGCGTCTATTGGAGGCCCGGCTTCTATTAATACCCCCATTTCACTATGAAAGTGATCATTAATTGTATCAATTGATCGACCCGGCGTCTATTGGAGGCCCGGCTTCTATTTTTTGCACTGAACAATTGACCCGGCTTCTATTAGAGGCCGGCGTCTAATAGAGGAAATACGGTATACTATGGAACAGCTCAACATACAATGTTACAAGCTGGGCTCAAAGTACCGGGGAATCACGCGAGAGGAGGCCCACGACATGGATTCAGATGGGGGAGGAAGGGGGGTAACTACTGCGGTCTCGTCTTGTGGTAAACACATACACCTCAGCAATTAGCCGAGGATACAAGAGTACTCTAATTTACAGCAGCTAATAGGAAAATGCACCAGCCATGATTAGTAAATTGATGTTTAGTTTTAAAGCAGGACGTGGGTATGGTTTAGGGCTGGGACGGGTAAATCGGGTACCCGGGTCGGGTGGGTACTGAGTAGGACCCGGGTACCACTGGACTACCCGGACCCGTGGTTAGTCACGGGGTTTATTGTTTAATGACAAAAGTTATCTAGAACTCTATGGTTATACTACATTCACTAATGTTCGCATTTCTTTCTGACTATGCACCCATTCCTTCTGACTTTTCATATTTTTGAATAAAGATATAACTGAAGTTAACTTCAAGGTATGCGTGACCAGATTGTTTAATACATGTATCTAAATACGTTTTGCCAGGGCTATGGTAAAAAATTCTCAATCAGACACATTGTACATATCTCTTGAGACCTACAGTGGGTAACCTGGTAGGTTCGGGTAATAGGGGGTGGGTACCAAGGTAGTAAATTTGGACTCTAGTATGGTTCGATGCTTTTTGCAATATTCCAGCCATATTACAACTTGGACATCACCACTGGCTCCCAAGCTAAACCTGTGTGAGGATTCAACCCCTGCCTTCAGCCTGTCCAGCAAACGCTCTAACCTTTCGGCTACCCCGTCTTCCCTACACGTTAAGGGGATTCCAAATCATGGTATCGCCTACTGGTAAGATAGGCTATATATATTAACAAATGAATGGAAATTGAGTTAATGTTTCTACGTGAGGTATTTGGGAATTATGAGGATAAAATACTGCAAAATATGTGCTTTGCCCTGTGTGATATGGATGGAAATTCAACTCTCAACTGCCACCATGAATCTTTATGAAGCTGAATTTGCAGAAGAGGGTGTTGTAGGTATTTTTTACTTCAACATACAAGACGTCAATAAAAACTATCTAAACCAGCAAATTAAATATAGTTTACGTTTTACTAATCTTTTCTAAAAACCCATAACAACAGATAGTATCTGTACACTCTCAGGTCAATAAATTAATTCCATATACCTGAAGTAATTATGATCATGTTACTAACATGACACACATCACCATATACAAATGTCAGTCAAGATAATCCATAATTATGTATACGAAATCATATAAAAGTTGAATCAGTTACAAACATGAAAATGAACACGAAATTGCAATACACATAACACTCCCCAGTATTCTCCGACAATAGTATTACTTTTCTCACAGCTAACATTGCAAAAAATATGTGTAACTTTCCAAGGTATTCTCTGACAATAGTGATACCTTCCTAACAACTGATATTGCAATATATCTCCCAAGTTTTCTCCGTGACCAACTCGTGTTATTCCGGGACAAGCCGATCTTCTTGCAGGTTACGGAAAGAGGCGAGTGGTCACGAATGAAGTTTTCTCTAACAAGTGTTACTTTCCTCACAACTGATACATACAAAACGCTAACTAAATTACCATACAAGTACATAGCAATATGTATATAGGGTAAGGATTATATCCTGCTGATTGAGAGGGGTAAAACACGGTTGCCCTCACTACAGCATTGCACATGTTTACATGGAAGAGTCTGCTACCATGCACAATCGGACAATATCATGCACAATGGGACAATATCATGCACAATGGGACATGATGGACAATTGGACAACATAATGAACAATGGCATTATCTACAAAAACGTCTCATACAATGGTGTCATACAATGGTGTCATAATCCTCACAATATAGTCACCATGTTATTCACTTATGGACATACCGGTCTCCATACAAATAGCAGTTAATACAGTTTATTATCGATTACAGAAAAATGGAGAGGAATCTAGCCCTTATCCCTCAGCCACCACAAGGACTAGACTAGGGCTGGGACGGGTAACTCGGGTACTCGGGTTGGGTGGGTACTGAGTAGGACCCGGGTACCCACAGGACTACCCGGACCTGTGGTTAGTCACGTGATATATTGTTTAGTGACAAAAAAATATCTAAAACTCTATGGTCACTATTGTTCGCATTTCTTTCTGACTATGCACCCATTCCTTCTGACCTTTATAGGTTTGAATAAAGATAAAACTTCAGTCAACTTCTGTGTATGCATGACCAGATTGTTTTATACATCTATCTTAATACATTTTACCAGGGCCACGGTCAAGCTATTCCCAATCGGACTTTTTACACCCAAGTCTTGAGACATATCGCGGGTATCCGGATAGGGTCGGGTAATAGTGTGGTGGGTACCCGGGTAGTAAATTTGGACTCGTCCCAGCCCTAGACGAGACTGATTCTATTAATATTTCTACAGCAGGTAACTCTGTGGGGCACGAACTGGAAGTTTCAGGGAAGTATCAATGTCATATGACATTGGTATGACAGCACAAGACAATGAGGGGTTTTCTGTACACAGTCCCAACTGGATTAACAATTTATTGGATTAATGATCATGGGCAATAACATCACTTGTATTATTTATACATAATCTTCAAAATAATCACATGTTTTTCAGATCGGTTCATATTGCAGGACATTGATCGTCATCCAAAATGTCCAGAAGATTTTTCATATTTGGTGACGGATAGAACCGCCTGCAAAAGTTGCCGAAGACAAGAAAATGTCCCTTTGCCTTTTCGCTCCAGTAAAATCAAAGTATCTTTTACTGTACCATGCTTCCGGGCCCTGTTCAACAAAGCGATCTTAGTGCTACATTGAGCATAAGCCTATGATAAAGTATGGGAGTTATGACCAACTTAGCACTAAGATCGCTTTGTGGAACAGGTTCCAGGTGTGGAAGAAAATATGACTTGGGAATGTTACATTTTCAATTTCTCTGAACCTTTTTAGGCTTGGATTCTCCCAATATTCTTTTAAAGTGGAAAACAGCCTCATAAACATGACAAAGTCAGGTACCAACTGTTTTTGGAATGATACCATCTGTCCTGGGCATCCTATCAATATACATTTTATAGTCCTAGCTCAACTATATCCCACTGAAAAAAACAACACAAGACACAAGGCTAGATACAATTCTCACACATTTCAGATGAGTGACACCTTGACCAGTGGATTATAGGGAAACGAAAATTGACACATAAAACTTAATTATTCAGCCCTCATTTCACTTAGCAATCCTATATCTTTATCTGTATTAACACAATATCAACCTATCATAATCACAGGGAGTGAGTTGGGTTTAACGCTGCTTTGACCAGTTTTCCAGTTAAGTCATGAAGTTTCAGCTTCATGTGGGAGGAAAGCCCGAATAGATGCAGGTCTCAGACGTTTACCACTTCGGTGAAACCCACGAGCACGGGTATGGTGCTGACAAACCTAGAAACATAATCGGGGCGAACCGGGATTCGAACCCACAATCATAGGTTTCTGGCGTGCCCAAGGGATGCAACTCTGCACAGCGAATCGCAGTGCCTCAGACGACTGGGCCACCCGTGCCCCCTGATACATGAAGAGGCTCCTTAACATTTCCAAGATGACTATAAACAAAAAATAATAACATTCAGTAATGATCGTCCAAACCTGGCACTGGTTCATTTATTGGTTCTGAAATGAATCATGCCTTTGAATCATGCCAGAGAAAATATTGTGCCCTAATATCAGCTCCGAACACTTTGGCAACATGCGGCCCTACATATTGCCCAATGTGTGCAAAGCCTTTCATACAAGTGCTTTACAACAGGTCATAAGAACGTCTTCCCTAACTAAATACCATGATGATTGGATGAGAAACGGTCATAGGCAGACAACAATCACATGATCCCCACTTGCGTTCATGCATTGTTTAAAGGTACTGTGATAAGCATGAAATATCATGTTTAAAATGCCTATTTGGGGCTGTAAGGACAGAAAGCATGTCCTCCTTGAGGCATAACCTATGTTGTATACATTGTACACTGAGTTAATCTCAAGTGAGTGTTTCGAGAGGGAGATATCAGTATAACGTACTACTGGTCTAGTCATTATCCCCTATGTTGGGTATTTGTTATAATGCCAACGTGTCCTTCAGGAACTTCCTCATGGTGGTGCCGACTGATGCAGATGCTGCTGGGCCGGTCGTCTGATGCGATATCTGAAATAACATCACACAATCAGTTCACATGGGATTAACACTGAGTCATTGTCAATACTTCACAGGTGTGATATAAGCAATAGTTTGTGTGCAGTAAAACCCTGATTACTCCTCGGAAGAAGTGTTTTGTTTGTTTTGTTTGTTGTTTAACGCCACACTTAGTAATATTCCAGTTACATGACGGCGGTCTGTAAATAATCAAGTCTAGGCAGTCAATCCAGTGATTAACATCATGAGCATCGATCTGCGCTACTGGGATATGATGACATGCAGCCAGACCACCTGATCCCGTCAGTCGCCTGTTACGACAAGCATAGTCGCCTGTTACGACAAGCATAGTCGCCTGTTACGACAAGCATAGTCACCTGTTACGACAAGCATAGTCGCCTGTTACGACAAGCATAGTCGCCTGTTACGACAAGCATAGTCGCCTGTTACGACAAGCATAGTCGCCTGTTACGACAAGCATAGTCGCCTGTTACGACAAGCATAGTCACCTGTTACGACAAGCATAGTCGCCTGTTACGACAAGCATAGTCGCCTGTTACGACAAGCATAGTCGCCTGTTACGACAAGCATAGTCGCCTGTTACGACAAGCATAGTCGCCTGTTACGACAAGCATAGTCGCCTGTTACGACAAGCATAGTCGCCTGTTACGACAAGCATAGTCGCCTGTTACGACAAGCATAGTCACCTGTTACGACAAGCATAGTCGCCTGTTACGACAAGCATAGTCGCCTGTTACGACAAGCATAGTCGCCTGTTACGACAAGCATAGTCGCCTGTTACGACAAGCATAGTCGCCTGTTACGACAAGCATAGTCGCCTGTTACGACAAGCATAGTCGCCTGTTACGACAAGCATAGTCGCCTGTTACGACAAGCATAGTCACCTGTTACGACAAGCATAGTCGCCTGTTACGACAAGCATAGTCGCCTGTTACGACAAGCATAGTCACCTGTTACGACAAGCATAGTCACCTGTTACGACAAGCATAGTCACCTGTTACGACAAGCATAGTCACCTGTTACGACAAGCATAGTCACCTGTTACGACAAGCATAGTCGCCTGTTACGACAAGCATAGTCGCCTGTTACGACAAGCATAGTCGCCTGTTACGACAAGCATAGTCACCTGTTACGACAAGCATAGTCACCTGTTACGACAAGCATAGTCACCTGTTACGACAAGCATAGTGGCCTGTTACGACAAGCATAGTCACCTGTTACGACAAGCATAGTCGCCTGTTACGACAAGCATAGTGGCCTGTTACGACAAGCATAGTGGCCTGTTACGACAAGCATAGTCGCCTGTTACGACAAGCATAGTGGCCTGTTACGACAAGCACAGTGGCCTGTTACGACAAGCATGGGGTGCTGAAGACCTATACTCTACCCGGATCTTCACGGGTCTCTAGCAAGTGAGGTGATTTAGACCACTGGTTCAACTGTGACCAATAAAGTAATGGGAAGTATTCCTTAAACTTATTTGTGGGAGTAGAACTGCTGATCAAACAACTGCTAGAAAACTAAACAAGAACTGAGGCCACACATCTTGATACACAGGCGGATCCAGAGGGGTCCAGGGGGTCCGTTCCTCCCCACTCCAACCCCCCTTTTGAAAACAAAATGTAGTATATTGTAGACAGTAAAATTATCTGAGAGAGCATTTTGATATTTTAGACCCCTCCATTTAAAAGGATGGATCCGCCCTTGTTATATACCTTCTACAGACTTTTGCAAACCAATAACTTGGGTTACTCAAAATACAAAGACAAATAAATTTGTGGAGCTCCATATTTATTACTTAATTTGACATTAAGTTGTTTGGGTTGGGTATTTTTGTTTAAAGTTAACTATATATTGATCAACGAGCATTATGTTTAATATCTTTTCAGCACCATGTATATATATATATTTCCTTTTGAAGGCTTTTTTCACTTAATAGGAGTAAAGCAACGGCCAGAGATTACATAAAATGTTTTTGATCAGTTATTATCTAAGAAGGTAATAGATACTGTTTAACTTACATGTCGTAATGATTTTGTATTCGTATCTGTTTTCTTTTCACTTCATGAAAATTGGAGTGTTTTTATTTTTATTTTATTTTTGTATTATGACATGTGGCTCCTGTAGGTTCAATCTGTAAACCAAATGATATAAATAATGTCGCCAAAGAACTATCACAAATCTGATTCCATCTGTCTATCTTCCTCACCCTGAAGAGATATGGCTGCACGTCGAAATGCACGGTGTCGAAGATGAGATCGAGATCTGACTGGTTTGGCATCTTGGGGACGTATTCGTGTCTGTTCATGGTGTCGGCCACGTACATGACCTTCTCCGCTAGCACCTCGCCCAGCCTCTCCCTGCACACCTGCCGCTCTGCACACAAAACATAATTGGACATTAGACTTGTAGTTCTCACACCTGCCGTTCTGCACACAAAACACAATTAGACATTAGACTTGTAGTTCTCACCCCTGCCGCTCTGCACACAATTAGACATTAGGCTTGTAGTTCTTACACCTGTAGCTCTGCACACAAAACACAATTAGACATTAGACTTTTAGTTCTCACACCTGCCTCTCTGCACACAATTAGACTTTAGGCTTGTAGTTCTCACACCTGCCATTCTGCCAACAAAACACAATTAAACATTAGGCTTGTAGTTCTCACCCCTGCCGCTCTGCACACAATTAGACATTAGGCTTGTAGTTCTTACACCTGTAGCTCTGCACACAAAACACAATTAGACATTAGACCTGTAGTTCTCACACCTGCTGCTCTGCACACAAAACACAATTAGACATTAGACCTGTAGTTCTCACACCTGCCGCTCTGCACACAATTAGACATTAGACTTGTAGTTCTCACACCTGCCGTTCTGCCAACAAAACACAATTAAACATTAGACTTGTAGTTCTCACCCCTGCCGCTCTGCACACAATTAGACATTAGGCTTGTAGTTCTTACACCTGTAGCTCTGCACACAAAACACAATTAGACATTAGACCTGTAGTTCTCACACCTGCCGCTCTGCACACAAAACACAATTAGACATTAGACCTGTAGTTCTCACACCTGCTGCTCTGCAGACAAAACACAATTAGACATTAGACCTGTAGTTCTCACACCTGCCGCTCTGCACACAATTAGACTTTAGGCTTGTAGTTCTTACACCTGCAGCTCTGCACACAAACACAATTAGACATTAGGCTTGTAGTTCTCACACCTGCAGCTCTGCACACAAAACACAATTAGACATTAGACCTGTAGTTCTCACACCTGCTGCTCTGCACACAAAACACAATTAGACATTAGGCTTGTAGTTCTCACACCTGTCGCTCTGCACACAAAACACAAGTAGACATTAGGCTTGTAGTTCTCACACCTGCTGCTCTGCCCACAAAACACAATTAGACACTAGGCTTGTAGTTCTCACACCTGCTGCTCTGCACACAAAACACAATTAGACATTAGGCTTGTAGTTCTCACCCCTGCCGCTCTGCACACAATTAGACATTAGGCTTGTAGTTCTCACACCTGCCGCTCTGCACACAATTAGACATTAGACTTGTAGTTCTCACACCTGCAGTTCTGCCCACAAAACACAATTAGACATGGCCTCTTACAAGGATAGTCGCCTTTTACGTCAAGAATGGGTTGCAGAAGACCTATTCTACCCTGGATCTTCACAGGTCTAATATCACTTTGAACCAAATTTCATGGCGTGTCAGCTTAATGTTTGAGGAAAGCCGAATATGAAACAAAAGAGTTGCTGACACCCATCGGGTGATGTTGCTGACCTCCCATGGTCCATAATCTTAAGATTCAAGGCCATGACCAGTGAATCCTGGCATGGACAAGGGATGCAGCTCTGTACAAAAAATTGCTGCACCTTAAATCACTTGGCTACTCATGCTCGCACTTCATACATGAGGAAACAACCAACCGTGCTCATTGGCCAGTGTGATGATGTCCAGCTTGACCGTCCACACCTCCCACGGGATACACTCCGACTGGAAGGGCCAGCGCGCTCGCTTCTTCTGGTAGAACTCCAGGGATATCTGGAAAAGTAGACATGTTCACATCTAGACATCATATAGGTCAGCAAGAAATAATTATTAGATTTTCATCGAAAAAATATAAAAGAGTAAAATGGGAGGCATTTTATTTTTTACATTTGTTTTCAAAATAGAATGCTCAAGGTATCTGTGAACATGGTGAACACTGAATGTCAATGACTGCATCTACTTTCACCACCGAGGGATCAATTTAGACCTGCTCAGATGACAATATTTGTCCACAAGTCTGCAGCAGTTGCCAGTAACAATTCCCATATGGGACCTAAAATTCATGTTAATGCAGTTACCAGTGTTACTAATGTGATGGCTTTAGGGCTGGGACAGGTAACTCGGGAAGACCCTCGAATGCTTAATTTCATATAACTGTACCAAATGCAATGTTACAATACAATGTTAAACATGTTAAACGTCCAAAATCCCAAGTTTGAACAAAACAGCCATAGTTTCCCAATTTGGATGCCAAAGCACTCAGTGTATAATCCAAGATTAGTCCCTGCCACTCAATAACATGTAGTAGTGCGGACTGAGTGTTTCCATGACTCCCCTATGTTTCTAAGTGGTACACAAACTGTGATTGAAATCTGTAAAACCCACCTGACCAGATCCTGGACCGTCATGGCTACGGAGCGTGTCTCGGAACGTGCTGACTTCCCTGTTTCTAAGTCCTACACAAACTGTGATTGAACTCTATACAACCCACCTGACCAGATCCTGGACCGTCATGGCTACGGAGAGTGTCTCGGAACATGCTGACTTCCCTGTTTCTAAGTCCTACACTAACTGTGATTAAACTCTATACAACCCACCTGACCAGATCCTGGACCGTCATGGCTACGGAGCGTGTCTCGGAACATGCTGACTTCCCTGCGCAGATTCTGGTCCAGTTCTTCAGATGCTACACGGACCTGGGAAAATATTCAAGGACATACAGTTACTTAGGAATTGACAATAACGAAAAGACTGTGTAAATACAAAGTATGCACACCGGTTTCTACATTTATACCTGAACACAAACATACATTGACTTAATTGTTGCTCATTCCTAATTTTTTTCCATTTTCCGAAGGTCATAGGTCCTGCTTATTTAACTGACTTGTCACAGCAAGACAAATTTTCTCAACTGACTCAAGTTTTTGTGGATATGCCTTTATAACATCATGTAGAGTCCACACACAAAAATACGGTAAATCTTGAAATTACAGCGAGCGTGAATTAAATGCAAAAAATGCATTTATATCAACATTAAGACATTTTGGATAGCAAAAATACCAACTTAGACATACGCTGATGTATTCCATACCACTGTTTATTGAGCAGCACCTGTATATAAAGTATATAAACAATGTCATTCAAACACTAATTACATCCTGTGAATTGTAACTGCTGGGGTCAAGACAAGAGCTCTACTCACTTATGTCATCACTGTTCACACCTGCAAGTCCAGACAGATGCCACCCTTTGTTCTTTGCGACTGCGTCAAAGTCTGACACGAGCCAGCGCGCATGTATTGTTTTTGAGGAAGTACTTTACTCAGCGCTATTAAGCGGTGCTATTTGGTGTGTGATTGGATTAATGTAAGGATTCTAAACCTGACTGAGGACATTTTCTTTAGATAGAAACCCACTGATGCTTGAGAGGAGGGGTGTCACATTCATATTGAGTCGCATTTTTGGCTAGGGTCCAGTGGTCGCATTCTTTTGGAGACGCATTAATTTCACGATTTACAGTATTTCACCATTACACAATCCCTTCAATGTGCGTCTCAGAGCCTTTCAATAAACCCTCGTATGTGTTGGGATGATGTCCCTTCCCAAACATTTCAGCATATCAGCCAAACTTACATAGGTGAAATCAATGTAGTCACAGTCGACGTCCATGATTCCAACAGTGCCGATGGAGTAGCTTCCCTCCTGCTTGTAGTGGAACTGAGGAAAATACAATACAGTGTTTGGTTATGTTTCCAACTATCTACAGTCAAGTCTCGTTAATCCGACACTCGTTAATCCGACACTCGGCTTTATCCGACACAAATGATGGGAACCGATTGATTCAGTGCTATTTAGTCCCGTTAATCCGACATTCTCGCACTCCGACTCCGACACACCTAATTTGCAACGAATTGCCGAAATCACTCATTAATCAGTCTCGTTAATCCGACACAGTGATCAGCGTACTCCGTGGTCATCTGACCGCGAGTACACAACCCCGTGTTTTGACACGCACTGACAGACTATTTTAAGTAGATGAAGCAAGTTGTTAAGACAGTAGCACTTGCATTTACACGAGGAAACGTGTGTCGTTGATCATGTGATAAATTCAGTGAGTAATGTCTCTATTGTTATGTATAAATGGGAAAATTATTATTATTTTTGCATAGTCATTAATTATAAATTAAAGAATGAATGAATAAACAACATAACAATATTAATATTTCGTTTTTAATGATTTTATTACAAGGTACACACGGTTATTATCTATCGTGAAGACGTCCGATTTTCGATCACAAATCACTTAATTTCGTTAATCCGACATACTCATTAATCCGACACAATCATGTGCAACCAACGATGTCGGATTAACGAGACTTGACTGTATGTTGTTACATACATTATAAGTATTTCACCTCAGCACAGCGCCAATAGACTGGTGCAGCAAATACATTTTTTAGTACAATACAAATATTTTTTACATTTGTATTCATCAGTAAATAAGACTAAACTAACCCTACCATTATGGCGCCTTTTTCAAGGTTTTTACACCTCACGGTTATTGACAAACAAGTGTTGTTTTGGGGGGTTAGAAGTTATTGAGGTTTTGGACATCTGAAGGTTTACCCTCTGCCGAACCATCTGATGCAGATGCATTCAGGAGGAATGCATGATAAGTAAAACTTTTTAGTAAAATCTAAATATCTTTAACATTTGTATACTTATCCTGCATTACTACATCTAAGGGCCAACCCGTCGCAGACTTGCCTCCCCACTGTGGCTTCAGAAAACCTCAAAATTATTGTGTTTTTAAAGCCTGGGCAACAGGCAGTAATATGCAGGTGACTTGTCAAGCAAGGTCACATGACAGCTGCGATGGGTCGGTGTAAAAAGCAGGAGTTAAAAACGGAAAGAAACCACATTTATTCACCCTGGATCATCGCTGAGCGCTGTCTTTGTTGTCGTAAGGTAAGCAGTAAATGCATTAAGGAGTGGTGCAGGATAAGTAAAAAAAATTAAAATACAACCATCTGAACATATGACATAGGTGCTCAGCATCCTTGGGTAGGTTAGTCTTAAATGGTAGCTGTCAGTTCTACCCATTTTAATTTTGCCTTGCTGCAATAACCACAAGGTACAGGGCCCACTTGCAAAAAGCGATCTTAGTGCTACGACTATTGTAAGCCTATGTTAAAGTATGGGAGTTACGATCATCTTAGCGCTAAGATCGCTTTGTGCAAGCGGGCCCTGGTGATATAGCTGATGAATTCTGTTGCATCACATACTGGGGTACCTTGAATCATGTTTCATCGAGTCTTTGAGTAACCAGCCAATGAAATGGCTGGAAATACCTAACAACTAGACTGACACATAGTGCTTGAAATAAAGTCATCTGTAAGGTTAAATAAATTTCATTCTACGAGTATGAAAGGAAAACTCTTAATTTTCAGCACTGAAAAGGGCATGAGTATCGGCTGATAGAGCTGATAAGGGGATGAGAGTAGAATAGGGGGTGATTGTTTAAATAAATATATTCTCTGGAGTCTGTAAGAGACCATGTTCTAGTTTGGCAAGGGTGGAAATTGGACTTTTATAGTCAGTTAACTCCCTTGCCTCAGGAAGATGGTAAAAGACTAATAAACACATGATAAAAAAAACTTAATTTTACTGCTGCCATTACTAACAGAGATGTTGTTGTCTCATTGTTTTTCCAGGTATTGTTATTGTACCTACCATATTCGACGTAATAAGCGCCCAGGGCGCTCTCAAAGTTAGAAATAGTGAGCTCTTATTCGAATATTATTTTGGTGAAAAAAAACAAGAGTTGATAGATAAATGTCATGGTTTATGCTGACAGCCTGAAAGGTTTATATATACGACAGATATATTTTTCCAGAATTTAATTGCCCATAATTAAGGGTGCATATTACACACGAGTGCATATTATATGCGAATAAATAAGTCTTGTGTACATTGATCAATTGGAAGGGGTGCTAATTGGGATTGTTCACTAGCCAATATATACAAATTTTGTGCAGAGAGAGGAAGGGAGGTAACTCTCACACTTAAACGTCCTCTTTAAAAAGTCTGTTGCAAACATTTAGATTGTTGTTATACAATTATATGTTCTCAACGTATGCACACATGCATTTTGTCTGAATTTGATCTTAATGCCTTCTCAAGACAAAGGTCTCAATTCCAGGACGTTTCAAGGTCTGTGCAAATCTTGTGTCATAATTAACATACTGTAAACAATGCTATTTCTTAATATTTTTTAACATCAGGATGATGATACACACCTTTCCAAGTGTTCGATGCATGAGCAGCGTGTGGAAAATACCTGAAACATTGACAAAATGATATTACATTGATGGCAAGTTATGTAACCATGGTGACTCAATATTCTCATACTAAAAACTAATGAATGTAATCAATGGTTATGAGGTACAACATGCAAAAACTGTAAGGCTCTTTTGGGAATAGTCAAGACATATGTTCTGTGTCTTCAGCCTAAGGTAAAAAATGGAAGTGCTTAACGCCCCACTCGGTAATATTTCAGCTATATGACAGCAGTCTGTAAATAATCAAGTCTGGACAAGACAATCCAGTGATTGATTGACACCATCAGCATCAATCTAAGCAATTGGACACGATGATCCAGCAAGTGAGCGAGCCTGACCACCCGATCCTGTTAGTCGCCTCTTACGACAAGCATAGTCACCTTTTACGACAAGCATGGGTTGCTGAAGACAGATTCTACCCCGGATCTTATTGGGTACACTTAGCAGTGTTTGGTATGTAGTGTAATGTGTGCTCATTGTTTTATCAGGAACAGTGAGTACTACTGAAATTAGGGTCAGTCATGTACTTACTTACTTACTTATATTAGGAGATTTTACGTGCGCTTTCCGACTGGAGCGTATTTCGCACACGGGCCCGGCCGGGCCATTTAGTGGTATAAAAGTGGTAGCGAGAGGAGTGCAACCAAGGAGGGGGGGTTTAGTGGTTGCTTATATAAAGTTTTGAAATTTTGAGATTTGGAATACATGCCTTGGGGGAGTGGTTGGGACTAAGGGAGTGTGTGGGGGTGAGTTGATGTTTTTTGGATGTTTAGTGTTGGTGGTTTAGTGAAGTTTTAAATACGGTTAATTAGTTCTGTTTTGGTTAGGTAAATGCCTAGGGCTTTGAAGTTTTCTATTTTATTTTGGGGGTTAAGGATTGCTTCTAAGGTAAGAGCGTTATTTGGATTTAGGTTACAGTCATGTAATCAGGACCACATCATTTATACTTTTGACCTACCATGGTAATCATGATGATTATAGTGGTATCTATGGTATCTGTACAAATGTCATGCTGTAACCATGGTAATCATGATGATCATAGTGGTATCCATGGTATCTGTACAAATCTCATGCTGTAACCATGGTAATCATGATGATCATAGTGGTATCCATGGTATCTGTACAAATCTCATGCTGTAACCATGGTAATCATAGTGGTATCCATAGTATCTGTACAAATGTCATGCTGTGACCATGGTAATCATAATGATCATAGTGGTATCCATGCCATCTGTACAAATGTCATGCTGTAACCATGGTAATCATGATGATCATAGTGATATCCATGCTATCTGTACAAATGTCATGCTGTAACCATGGTAATCATGATGATCATAGTTGTATCCATGCCATCTGTACAAATGTCATGCTGTAACCATGGTAATCATGATGATCATAGTGATATCCATGCTATCTGTACAAATGTCATGCTGTAACCATGGTAATCATGATGATCATAGTTGTATCCATGCCATCTGTACAAATGTCATGCTGTAACCATGGTAATCATGATGATCATAGTGATATCCATGCTATCTGTACAAATGTCATGCTGTAACCATGGTAATCATGATGATCATAGTGATATCCATGCCATCTGTACAAATGTCATGCTGTAACCATGGTAATCATGATGATCATAGTGATATCCATGCCATCTGTACAAATGTCATGCTGTAACCATGGTAATCATGATGATCATAGTGATATCCATGCCATCTGTACAAATGTCATGCTGTAACCATGGTAATCATGATGATCATAGTGATATCCATGCCATCTGTACAAATGTCATGCTGTAACCATGGTAATCATGATGATCATAGTGATATCCATGCTATCTGTACAAATGTCATGCTGTAACCATGGTAATCATGATGATCATAGTTGTATCCATGCCATCTGTACAAATGTCATGCTGTAACCATGGTAATCATGATGATCATAGTGATATCCATGCCATCTGTACAAATGTCATGCTGTAACCATGGTAATCATGATGATCATAGTGATATCCATGCTATCTGTACAAATGTCATGCTGTTACCATGGTAATCATGATGATCATAGTTGTATCCATGCCATCTGTACAAATGTCACACTGTAACCATGGTAATCATGGTGATCATAGTGATATTCAAGCTATCTGTACAAATGTCATGCTGTACCCATGGTAATCATTGTGATTATAGTGGTAGCCATGGTATCTGTACAAATGTCCTGCTGTAACCATGGTAATCATGGTGATAATTGTGGTATCCATGGTATCTGTACAAATGTCATGCTGTAACCATGGTAATCATGATGATCATAGTGGTATCCATGGTATCTCTACAAATGTCATGCTGTAACCATGGTAACCATGGTGATCATAGTGGTATCCATGCTATCTGTACAAATGTCATGCTGTTACCATGGTGATCATAGTGGTATCCATGCTATCTGTACAAATGTCATGCTGTTACCATGGTGATCATAGTGGTATCCATGCTATCTGTACAAATGTCATGATGTAACCATGGTAATCATGATGATCATAATGGTATCCATGTTATCTGTACAAATGTCATGCTGTAACCATGGTAATCTGATAAATCATGATGATCATAGTGGTATCCATGCTATCTGTACACATATCATGCTGTTACCAAGGTTATCATGGTGATCATAGTGATATCCAAGCTATCTGTACAAATGTCATGCTGTAACCATGGTAATCATGATGATTACAGTGGTATCCATGGTATCTGTCCAAATTTCATGCTGTGACCATGGTTATCATGATGATCATAGTGGTATCCATGCTATCTGTACAAATGGCATGCTGTTACCATGGTAATCATGGAGATCATAGTGACGTCCATGCTATATGTACAAATGCCGTGCTGTAACCATGCTAATAATAATGATCACAGTGGTATCCATGGTATCTGTACAAATGTCATGCTGTCCAGATTGTAAACATAACAAATAATAGCTGTATACATACTCTGTACAACCTCCTCGATCTGTCGTCCTTCCACAGACTGGAACAGAGAGAAACATATTACCACAAATGTGAGAATGAGTGAGTGAGTGAATTGTGTTGTATGCCACAAAGTCAATTTATTTTCGTGTAAAGAATGAAGTCTGGGTCAGTGGAAGATACAATAAGCAATGATCCAAGCCATCAGGACACGATCACACACTGAACCAGGTCAAACACTGAACCAGGTCAAACACTGAACCAGGTCAAACACCAACACCAACAGGTCCTCATTAGTCCACCCTCTTACACCTTTCAATCATAAACTATTATGAATATGATAAATCTAAAACGTTAACAGTACAATCTCATTAAAATTTTATCTTAGTTCTTGCTACCATTTTAACTCATGAAATATGAACGCTTTTTGTCGCTTTTGATTTGAAAAATATGTTCAGCTAGCGAAATCAATGAATGAAATTACTACTCTTCATAAATGTATGTATGATCAAAATATTGTACTGTCTTTGATTGCACTATAGGCCATTTGTTCGAAAATGCCGAAAAATCATCTGTCTTCCTAGGACAAGAATGAAGTGACTATTTTGCCCAGAATACTGAACTAATCATGCTGAATGAATTCCATGAAAAGTCATAATAATGTTCAATAAACAAGATAAACGCTACACTCATGAAACTACACCCAAACAACATGCTAAAGGTCAACACGTTTACATTTCATTATCAGTGCATTGATCATATGGATAAGTGCTGCAAGCTCATCATCTGTTAACTCTACAATAGTGGCTGCACAATCCCTAAGATAGTCAACAACAAAATGGAACAATTGTACATCTAAACCTAATAGGCTAACAATGCAAAAACACATGTTTGCAAACTTGAAGATTAATGGGATCAAAGGGCTAAGATAGTAATGGCGCACAAGATAAGTGCGTCCAGCCACATCTAGACAACAGATAACTGCAGCCTCGTCACTCATTACTGATTAGTAAGAGACTAAGAGTTACAACATGTGAACATAAAATTTATGCTAAATCAATAAACATCCACTTCTCAAAGATTAAATAAAGTCTTGCGATGTGCATTCCCCTTTTTCCAGAACCATGCAGGCCTACAGCATGTACAGTACACATATACATGTGCAATAGTATGTATCATTTGTACCACGTTGTACCATATCTGCACTTGGCATACTGAGGACATCATTTCCTTCGGGTCAGACAAATTACCAGCAGTGACTGTCTGGGTTTGAGTGTACCATTTCTTAATCATGTTAATAAGACTGGCAAGAAAGACTGATAATCAGAATTATCATCAATGGGAAGAAATATTAATGATTATCGATATGAAAATTGTGTCATAAATGATATCTTAAATAAACTATTTGGATGAAATAAAGATTAAATTTACCAAAACAGACTTGTTATTGTCAATAATGTTGCTGAAGATGGAAAGTCTCAAATGTCCACAAAGTAATCCCTGAATAAATGTGCCACCACTCACCAGTAGAGCAAAATATGTTGATTTCTTTTTACTGCTCTGATATTAATTGATAATTGATCAATATTTAGTTAACTTTTATCGATCCCTAAGATTTTTATTGATAGCCAGCCTTAGTTCTTAAATTACATTTTGTCATGATCAGGTCAGGGATAACCACAAATTGGCACATACTATGTCAATCACAGTACAACATAAAATCTGACACATTGTTTTACCCCTTTACGATCATTAGGGTTAGGTGCCCCCTTTCCAAACAAACACCCCTTAATGATCCTTAAGGTTGGGCACATTTTGCAAATCAAACACCCCTGTAAGATTCTAAGGGTTGGGAACCTTTTGCCAATCAAACACCCCTGTATGATCCTTAGGGTTAGTTGTAAGGTAGGATATGGGTTAGCTATCTCTTTTAATGAATTAATCCAATATAATTTGAGGAAAATCCATTCTTTTCTCAAGTTTTTTAGAGAAAATGGCTATCATACATGCACATAAAGGTAAACAATCTGGTACTGATCACTTGGTAAATGAGCACTAACTATTTGTGATAGAACCTGTCGTCCAGAGGTAAAGTGTTGGCTAATTAGATTAACTCATTAGCCTTGCTTAGCTTGAAGCTGACAACTTGAGTTTGATCACCCACGTGGTGAAAACTGAAATCTGAAAAAGTGTGCCTGGTAGAGCGCACTACTCCACATATTTCCTCTTTTAAACGACATGGCATCTATTGACTTCACGCAAGTCGTTGACCTGGTGTCTTTTAGAGGCCTAGCATAGTGGCACAGTGGCAACTCACTACCTCACTGAATCCCAAATTCTACAGTCATGCAAAAGGTACATTCGCAGGAAATTGCCATTATTAATCACCAACATATCTCAGTAACAAATAGGAAACTGTTATCTTGGGATCCAATGTCTAGAGGCCATGCTTATATATTTTAGACAGATCATCCAAGTATCAAATAGATACTGCCATGTATACTGGAGGTTCAGGGACTAACAGAGGAAATATGGTAGATACAGGACAGCATATAATCATCTCTGTAGAGTCCTGGACAGTTAATAGTAACACTATGACTGCTTCCTAATATAAAATAATATCAGGTTGGGTATTCTCTTCTATTTTCATCAAACTCTTTACTCAGATCCGGTTAACAGCGCCTTGATCATCCTCTAATACTATTCAAACCCACAGGATTCCAAAATTTTAGAATGAATTCTATAATTAGAATCTATGTAGCATACACCAAAACAAGTGACAATGATCAGCTGAATATTATTCGATATTTCAAAGTTCTACTCACCAGCTCAAACACCTGAGACCTTGCGTTCATTCTCCACAAATTCACTTCTGCGACTTTAAAGGAAATATCGATCACGTATCATAATCATGTAAACTCAAAACACTAACGTCACTCCGATTCAAAATTATTTCCCTCTGACCGAGTTTCTGAAATGTCCTTTGCAATTATTGTTGAGTTTGGCTGATAAACGGATGTTTCTCGCAGTCTCCTGGGCTAAATACCCATCCAGGCTATTGTATTCTTGTTAGACCATCGTTATCGAGTTATTTTCATTCCATCGGACAATCTCTGATGACTGTTATGCTGGGTAAAATGTAAGTATAGAAGACAAAAGTATGGTGTTTGTAAACACTGGTAAACAGATGATTTTGCGTCACAAATGAAAACAATTTCGACTTCCTCTAAGGGAAGTAACTCTAGATGACTACTGACAGGGCGTGTTTGTTTGCGGGGCAATCAGTTTGTCTCAGTTCTAGGATTTTTATGAAAGGTTGTCTCATCTGTCTTAAGTATCATTCAAATATCGCGGCATGGAATTATTTTACTGAATGCTCACAATCATCATATTTGAAAAGTGTCTTGCTGGTTTTTTTTCTCTCTCTTTTAATTCACGTTTTTGTTGGGTTTGTTTTACCCAAGTGGTATAGCTTGTCCTAAGTGTAGCGTTAGTTGCAGAACCCATGCATATTAACATGATAATGTTTGGATGTACATCGACAGGGGGGATCACTGCTTGTGCTGTCAACCACAGGTTGGCATGAGACAGATTCTGACACTTCTCATAATGATATAATGTTGTCTGCATGCGAGATTATTGCACTTCTATAGGATGTGCATGCACCTTCGCGTACGTGCGTGCGTGCGTGTGTGTGTGCGCGCGGGTGTGTGGATGCTTTTGCGAGTCCGAACTAATGCCGGTTTTATAGTGCTAGCCCATTGAGATACCATGCCACAGTTAACATAGAAATATCATTTACACAGAATTACAATCTCATTAGTTCTCGCTACCGCTAAACAAAGATCTAAGGACATCCCATTACGGGTCACGTCAGACCGATCTTGCGCAAACTTTGACAGACCAATAGAATGACCAATCAGAAGGCTTTTCTCGTGCTTTACGGCACTAATTTCAAATTGGCGACTACGCTTCGAAACATATTTTGACAAATTCTCGATTACAAATTTGAAACCTAAACAAAAGAACATTCTGGAATGATAATAGGTGGTCTAGATTATATGGACCCCGTGTTAAAGTTTTCGAGGTTGCATGATTAGATCACATTCCGACTGTCACTTTCATGATCTGGTAAGCGACGCTCTGATTGGTCGGATGAAAGGTTGTTCTGACGTGACCCCTATTGGGATGTCTTCAGATTTTTGTTTCGCGGTACCGAGAACTAAGGTCTGATTTTAATGAGATTGACAGAATTGATAAGTAATATTTTTTTATACTCACATGTGACATAATGACATTAGAAACTCGTGTTAGAATTCATTCATGTAGTGCCCTCGCACTCGCTCGGGAAATACAAGAATTCTGACACATCAGTATGCCACACATGCGAGTATAAAAGTAACTATTTACGACATTAACAGTGGATATTCTCACGGACGAACCAAACTGAGAAAGACATGTTTTATTTACTGACTGAACTGCATTATTTTAACCCCCGGACGTCTGATGAAACCACCGGGACGTTCCCGGACTCCTGCCCCTAATGCCAAGTGCCAGGCAGGGAAACTACAAACACCATCTTTTAACGTCTTTTGGTGTGACACTGGCAGTGATCGAACCAGCGAATTTCCACTCTCCGGGCAGACGCTTTATCCACTTGACCACGGAGGTGGTCTGTTGATTACAGCATAAAACAGCAGTCACTCTAATACACATACAAAAAGCTGATCCTTTCGCAAAATGGGCACACTCTGGGGCATTTAATCAGATTGATTGAACATTTTTGCGCGATAGGCTCACGGCCTCCGTATCTAAATCGTTCAGACATCAACTAACAACTGAAATTGTATGAAGTATATTATCTTTAAGTTAATGATTACCCTCATTACTTAGATACGATGTCTCGGTTTCACACAAGAGACTTATTTCACAATCTGGACCGTGAATAAGGACAGCACACAAAGGGACATTGCCCCTCTTCAACCCGGACGGAACTGTTTCAGTTGCAGACTCGGGTAGTCAGACTTGCTGACTCGGTTGATGCACGTCATCGTATCCCAATTGCGTGGATCGATGCTCATGATGTCATATGAAGTGGACACAAATGTCACAGGGTAAGTTTGGTGCAAGATTTCTGTCCAATCCATCATGTCCAGTGGTCAGGACCTCACTTATTTACTAACACTTTCGCTGGAGACAAATGGCAAAAGGACATTTTCATGATTTAATCAACTTTTCACATGACATTCTTTTTTTAACAGAATGGTTGCAGTATCCCATGCTTGTCATTCACCGAGATGGGAATCATGTGGTCACTGATCCGTGAAGATCCGGGATAGAACAGATGTTCAAAAACTCATGCTTACCATAAAAGTCGACTATGCTTGTCGTAAGAAGCGACTAACGGGATCGGGTGGTCAGCCTCGCTGACTTGGTTGATGCATGTTATCGTATCCCAACTGCGTAGATCGATGCTGATTATGTCAATCACTGGATTGTCTGGTCCAGACTCGATTATTTACAGACCGCCGTCATATAGCCGGAATATTGCTGAGTGCGGCGTTAAACAACAAACAAACAGTTGCAGACGTTCGGACAAATATCCTGATTAGGAATCGTATGAGTGGAGAATTGTCCGAGATATCCGGATGTTCGTGGATTTCACTCTATGATATGAAGATACAGATATTGTCCACTGGTCGAGTGAGTGAATGTTCTTTAATGCCCAAATCAGAAATATTACAGCTATATCGCGGCAGAATGTGACAGACACACCAGTGGTTGATATAATGAACGATCATGAGCACGATGACAAATATTCAGGGATGTTGATTGTAACCAATCAAGCCAAATTTAGCCGGCTCTTTTGACAAAAATAGTGTTATGCAGACAATGGCTATATGCCATTTTTGATGGTTTTTCTTACTTATAAGCCAAGGTGGTCATATAAAGTGAACAAAGTTCTGCTTTATTAGCTGTAACATAACCAAAGCTTCGTGGAAATCTTCTTTTTTTCAAAATGCATGTTGGTTATAAGTTACTTGTTCTATTTTCTTTAAACAGTTCTTGCAATAAAAACTATTTTAAATGAAAACAAAAATACCAACAAATGCGGTGTTGTTCTGAGTATATCTTGTATACATGTGTTCTTATACTTTAAGAATATATTCTTATAAATGTCAACGGACATTTTGCTTTCGGAAACCTATCTATAGGTAGTTCGCTGGTCACGCCGAAGGCCCGGGTTCGATTTCCAATAAGTACATATGTGAAGCCCATTTCCAGTGTCCCCTGCCGTAAAATTACATGAATATTGCCGAAACCGCTTAAATACTCCCTCACTCTCCTTCTCACTCATTTTATAGACCTTATCAATTATGCATATTCCTTTTGCTATCAAAATAGAAATTGACCTTTTATGCAAATTTAATATGAGGTGTTATTATAAGTTGATATACGCACGTTCCATTTAATATATGAAGCTTGGCAGTTGGAACATTCCAGTGTTTTTGATTATCGATGATTTTTAGAAGAGTATTTGGCAGTTACTTCTTTGAAGTAAAATAGGATAAGATAAGGTAACACTTTAACATCCTTTTCGTACAATAATTCGAGACCGCATTTTGGCCAACCTTTTCTAACGAAATAATTATTGAAAGATGCAAATATGTGTCAAAGTCACTGTATATAGTAAGTCGACTCTGTTGGTATTCGAACACATAAGAACAAAAGGCGTTGGTAAGGGGGGCCCCGCAAAAGGAGCCAGGAACCAGCTTTAAAGCGTTGGTTGCAATCTTTTAGACTGGGCTCCTGTTTACATAAAGGCTAAATGCGCTAAGCTTGCGTCGCGTACCAACAGTGGAACCAGTTAAAGATAGAGAGTGTAGTGATAAGTACTGCCGAAGTGTTATGTGAATGACAATTTTGTTATTAAATGTTGTTTTTTTAATCCAATATTATTTGCATTATATTTATTGCAGTGTTTCGATGAAAATATTTTAGTACGCAACTTGGCTTTAAACATAGCTTCTCTTAAAATTAATAACTTCCGGTTAAAGATACACGTCGATTGACGTGCAATGTTTTCAATGGTTAACGATCCAAAGACTGGCTGATGTAGCTGTTTGGGTCGATATTCAGAAATGGAGAATGCATTGTGTGCATGAGTTCAATTTATGTCCAATTAGAAGCTGATTTAACAAAACTTACGTATTCGTACCGTAGTTAGTGTACACCAACTGACCAAGCATTCGATAGCACAGCATCTTGTCAGTGGAATTTTAAAGTGATGAATAATTTACGGGCCTAAGTGGTTTCAGCTGTATATTTCCAGATGCGACTGGTTTGTTTCTATTTGCCATTCTCTTGTCGTTCATACCCGTGAAACAATTTGAGTGATAATGAGGCGTCTTAATGTTGCAAGTAAGAACAAGGCACTGAAAGTTGTGAAAGAACTTGATGCCTTTCCCAAAGTTCCAGAAAGTTACAAAGAAACAACAGCTACTGGCGGAGGATGTAAGTTTGACATTGATATTGTTCAGTTATTTTCTTCCAACCCTGTTTAACCTAAAAGTTATAGACACTAAAGGAGTGCATTTGTACATGATCTATTGACCTACATAAAGATATAGAAAGGCTAGATCTTAGCTAGGTTTTTTGAGAATAATGGGCGATTATTAGGTGGACTACGTTTATCATGCTAATTTATTCACACTTTACTGGTCACACAGGTAATGAAAATGTAATTGGAATTTAGCTTTTTTTAAAGGTTTGTGCTACTACTTTAAATATGAACTGTGCACAACAGCTGCTCAACATACTCAAAAGTCTGGTGCCCATTTCTAGCCAAGGTCTACATATGGTTTAGACATTGTTACTAATGTTGGGTGAAACCAATAATCTTCTCTGTGTATTTTGAATAATCATTAACCATTGAATTCATTTACAGTGCGTTTGAAAATGTTTAATAACTGGAATCAGTATCAGTTGATAGTTATTACTGCGAACTAGCATGGGAAGATCGAAGGGATGATTTATGACAGTTTGGTATTGAGCAACATGCCCTAAATGTCTTTTCCACCAGTTTTACAACAGCCCTATGTTTATAATCCATTTTGTTTTCTTCCTTTCAGTATCTATTATAACTTTCATCATCATAGCAATTCTAGTGATCTCTGAAATCAAGTATTACACAGACACAGAGCTGAAGTTTGATTATGAAGTGGACACAAATGTCACAGGGTAAGTTTGGTGCAAGTTTGTCCAGTGGTCAGGACCTCACTTATTTACTAACACTTTCGCTGGAGACAAATAGCAAAAGGACATTTTCATGATTTTATCAACTTTTCACATGACATTCTTTGACAGAATGGTTGCAGTATCCCATGTTTGTCATTCACTAAGATGGGATAGAACAGGTGTTCAACAACTCATGCTTGCCATAAAAGACGACTATGCTTGTCGTTAGAGGCAACTAAACGTGATCGAGTGGTCAGGCTTGCTGACTTGGTTGATGTATGTCATCAATTCCCAACTGCGTGGATCAATGCTGATGATGTCAATCACTGGATTGTCTGGTCCAGACTTGATTATTTACAGATGGCTGTCAAATAGCTGGAATACTGCTGAGCGTAGCAACAGCAACAACAAACAAACAAACAAACAAACAAATCATGTGGTCACTGAATACACAACATGCACTAGTAAGAACAACTACCAAGAAAGACTCAATATAGCCTGGTCCAGGTAATGTGTCTAACATGCTGCATGCATTTAGCTTTGCTACTTCTTGGGACGTTATGACAGACCAGTGAAGATCCGGCATAGAATAGGTCTTCAGCAACCCAAGCTTGCCTTAAAAGGCGACTATGCTTGTCATAGGAGGCGACTAACGGGAACTGGTGGTCTGGCTGCATGTCATCGTATCCAAGTAGCGCAAATCGATGCTCATGATGTTATTCACTGGATTGTCTGGCCCAGCCTTGATTATTTACAGACCACCATCTGTTTTTGTTTTTAAGTTTAAATCCGTTTAGGTTTTTGGCTGTTTTGGAGTTTGTGGTCCTTTGATATGTAGCCTTTAATGTCTAAGCTGTTAAAAATTGAGTGTTGTGGTCATTTATTATGTTGATAAACAGTTTTTTATTTTTCAGAAAAATCAAGATCAATGTTGACTTGACAGTGGCCATGAAATGCAGCAGTGAGTAATCTTGTTTTGGACTCAGTATGTTCAGTATAGGTATTTGGTTGGACGAAGGAACTGCTTGCCCTAGTTGTCAGCCATTTCACATGGATTCCATTTTTAATTGGTGTCTGCTGGAAGTACTTGTCTTTGTTTTCTCTTTTTGAGAGGAGGAAACCCATATCCTAAACTCATAACATAAACCCAAGCATTTTGATGGGTGGTGAAGAGTTGCATCTCCTAAGCGTGCCAGGATCAACTGATACTGGGCTTCAGTCCTATGTTTCATTCTGATTATGATGCTAGATAGGTCAGCCTCCGCTCCTGGGTTTCACTAAAGTAGTAAACGTCTACAACCTGTGCCACTTTGGACAACACTAGACTGACACGTTGTGATGTCATTGAACTTGCTAAGTACTTGTGAAAGTCGCGCCAAACCCATGTCACTTGCATATAAGTCTAACATATGAACTAGTCAGAAATATGTGAAATGAATTTATTTAGATTTGCACAAGTCTACAATGAAATGATTATTAGTTTAAAGTATAATTTCTAGATTATATAAATAGTAGAACAATTGGTCCCTATGAAAGACTGGCGTTCTTACTGTCACTTATCTACACTTGCTGATTATGAGAATACAGTTACTTTACATCCATGGACTTATCTTTCAGTACAGACTTTGAGCAAGGCTAGGATTTATGCAACATGTGAAATACATCTCAATGTCCTTTACAAACTGTAAAGTCAATAGAAAGCTTCACCCGAGAAGTGGGGGGCACGGGTGGCCCAGTCGTCTAAGGCGCTGTGATTTGCCGTGCAGAGTTGCGTCCCTTGGGCACACCAGAAACCTATGATTGTGGGTTCAAATCCCGGTTCGCCCCGATTATGTTTCTAGGTTTGTCAGCACCATACCCGTGCTCGTGGGTTTCACCAAGGTGGTAAACGTCTGAGACCTGCATCACTTCGGGCTTTCCTCCCACATTAAGCTGACACGCCGTGATATAACTGGAATACTGTTAAAAGCGACGTTAAACCCAACTCACTCACTCACTCGAGAGAATTTCTTTTGAGGTTTATTTGTACAAGTTGTAAACTGTGTAGTTTCCAGGGCAGAATGATCCCATTGTACCACACACTGGTCATGGTACACGTTTAAAAAGGTTATATGCAAACTAGCTGGTTGTATGTCCTCTACCCATTGGATTTCTATGTTGCTTATTCTATCATTGCCAACCACTGGTCAATACGTAGGCACTGACAGGCCATTAGGACAGTGGTGATGTGTCTATTATATTGGTTATGTAGTGTTTAATAACATCTTTTCACTCAGTAATGATATTCACTTTCTCAAAAGTGGTTGTCAGGGGTTAGAAGTTAACACTAGCCTGCTAGCCCGGGGCTAGTACAAATTCTTGTGAGCAATTACAAATGTTCCAATTTCTCCATACTCTTATCATTACAAGGGTATTATTTATCATCCAAAACTGGGTCCCACAGGATATATCGCTTGGATGAGATCAAGCGATATCTACACTGTAGATATCGCTGCAATGAAATTACATCACAATGCTTTGCAGACCATTGTGACGTCACTGGTTACCATGACGTCACAATCAAATGACATCACTAATGGCTCTGCTACTGAAGCTGTTAGCAGTACTTTTTACACTGAAGACACTGCTAATTACTGTCTACAAATTGAAAAAGTTGGAAGAATGATGTTGGATGATAAATAAAATCTCACCCTCGGGTCTTTTGACATCAAATATATCAACACTCGTTGATAAAAGTGGCAAAAATCCTCGGCAAGCCTCAGAATTTTACCACTTTTATCAACTCGTGGTGATATATTTGATATCAAAAGACACTCGGGTGAGATTCTCTATATCTTACCCGGAATCGTAACGCGTTTGAGTTTAGTTCTAACTATGGTTGTTCTTGTGCTGTTGGATTAGTCTTTTTGTCTTTGAGTAAAATTGCTGTTGCAATAATTTCAACATGGTTCAAAAACTGAAAATTACAATTCTGTTTTCCAGAAAGTAAACCTGAAAATACCTTATCAATTGTCACCTGTTCTGTCCTTCACCTTCAGGTATTGGTGCTGATGTCCTTGACCTTACAGGACAAGATGTCCACAGCTATGGTAGACTGAAGGAGGAGGACACCTATTTCGAGTTGACTCCAAACCAGCAGAAATACCACACATTTTTACAGGAAATTAACCGGTACCTGCAGGAGGAGTATCATGCTATACAGGACCTCATGTGGAAGTCCAAGACGCCAGCCTTCCGTGGCGGTATGCCTCCGAGGTATGGTGATTATTCAGCTCTTTTTTAGGCTTGGTTTATAGGTTATTTTCGAAACAATCTCATTATAATCAGATCTTAGTTTTCGCTACTGCTACACAAAGATCTGAGGACATCCCTTTACGGGTCACGTAAGAAGGACCTTTCGCGAATTTTGACCAACCAATGAAATGACTGACAAGAAATCGACATAATCAATCAGATGGCAGCTTTTTCGAGCCTTATGACACTAGTTTCAAACTGGCGACTACGCTTTGAAACATATTTTGACGTATTCTCGATTAAAATTTTTTAAAATGATAAGAAGAAATTCTGGATGGCCTAGATTGTATGTATATAATCATAAAACCTGTAACTGTCATTCGGAATACCACGTCTTATAAGTGGTTGCATGACACATTCCAACTGTCACTTTCATGATCTGGTAAGCGAATTTCTGATCATGCTGATTGGTCGGATGAAAGGTCAGTCTGACGTGACCCATAATGGGATGTCCTCAGATCTTTGTTTAGCGATAGCGAGAACTAAGATCTGATTTTAATGAGATTGTTTTCGAAAATCATAAGTGTGATAAGTTTGGTAGTTGAAGTAGTAATAGGTTTACAATTTTGAAGACATGTTTTTCTTTTTGCAGTCTGTTAAACAACAGCCGTTTCTGTGATCTAGTGTATAGAGCGTCTGCCTGGAGAGCAGAAGGTCGGGGGGTGTCATACTAAAAGACGTTAAAAGATGGTACTTGTTGTTACCCTGTCTGGCGCTCAGCATTAAGGTGCTAAAACAAGGACTGGTGGTCTCCAGAGTCAGTACATTGTGTCTAAGTGAGGTATTCATCGTTCATGATAGGGCTCGAAAAAATGTCTTTAACCTAACTTGTCCTGCAGAGCTAGTAGGAGTACATATTATTTTGTACTCGTCCTGCAATATTTTCCTTGCCCTTTTAAATTTTATACAGATTTATGTTCTCGGTTATTATCATCATCTGTAATTAACATTTGAGTTAAGGGTATTAACGACAGACAGTACAAAATATTTGACAGTCACTGTCACCTACATTCATCTACGCCCATTAAAAAGTCATTCAACCATTTTGTTTTTTACAGTCATGTTTTTGTCTTTTTAAAAAAAAAAAATTGGCCTGTTTGGTAAATAAAGTTATGTTTTTACTTGTCAACCACACCAATCCCAATTAAAAACAGCCATTATCCTCACAAAATCATTCACTTTCGCTTTGACATTTGAGAATCAGTAATGAGTCACTTGTAACATGCATTCTTACAAAGTGATACATGTACGTACACGGGTGTTAAAATGTACTTTTATTTATGAAATTATTTTTATTACGTCATATTTGATAATTATGAAATTCTTGGATTCTGGATTCTTAAGCCGGCCTGATGTCAGCTTTCAAAATCTATTCAGATTTATTTTTTCAACACCTTATTTCGGATTTTTGTTCAATAACATCCCACACAGGACACAAATATTCCACCTCCCTCTTGGTAGGGGGCACAGGTGGCCCAGTCATCTAAGGCGCCGCGATTTGCTGTGAAGAGTTGGGTCCCTTGGGCACGCCAGAAACCTATGATTGTGGGTTCAAATCCCGGTTTGCTCCGATTATGTTCCTAAGTCACTCTTTTTTATTTTGGCAGGGAAACAAACCCCGAACATGGTCCTGATGCCTGTAGAGTTCATGGGTCGCTGGAGGTCAACAAGGTCGCCGGCAACTTTCACATTACTGCTGGAAAGTAAGTGGGTTAATAACTTCTAATAGTTTTATATTTAGCATTGACTTGCCCGTGGAAGTTATACCATGTCAAACCGCTTCATTATTATTGAGGGCGGTCGGGTAGCCTAGTGGCTAAAGCATTCGCTCGTCACGCCGAAGACCCGGGTTCGATTCCCAACATGGGTACAATGTGTGAAGCCCATTTCTGGTGTCCCCCGCCGTGATATTGCTGGAATATTGCTTAAAGCGGCGTAAAACCAAACTCACTCACTCATTATTATTGAGAAAAATAAGTAAACTATTTTACATGATGTCATAAATTGATGATATTATGCCACTATGCCAGAAGGCTGCTTCAGTGAAGCTTCACTGTAGGGTTGAGAGTTCATACATTTTTTGTCATTTTCTCTCTTTAAAGTTCAATGAGTAATATATAGAATAACCTTCTTGAAATCGGAATTATGAATTATCCGTCGTGAACAAACAGTTCAAATAGCTGCCAATTATTACATTTCTACAATGTTGAGATTAAAAGAGAATGAAAGTATGTGGGAATGAGGATATAAGTTGTTGCAGCGGTAAATGTGGTTTTATGCCTCCCATGGTGGGTTTTATGCCACGAGCCGGAAGCAAATGGTGTTAAACCCAACGAGTGACGCATAAAACCCCATGTACCCCGAGTGATACTGCTACAACAAATTTATCTTACCAACATGTTTTATATGACATTTAAAAAATAAAAACAAATTCAAAATTGATAGAAAACAGCTGTTCGATTGAGCTGTGGTTAACTTGTGCTATGTCAAGTGACTTTAATTGACTCAGAATAATCATAAGGGTTTTTGCTTCGAAATGGGGTATAAGGGATTTATACTCCCGCGGAGAAATTTATTTCCCTCTTGTCTAAGGCCAGATACATAGTATTTGGTTTTTATCACAATCACGTGAACCAATCAGATCTCATCATTCTGTCATGGAGGTATTATAAAACATTATGTTTATATTCTCTACGATGCTAGATCTGTTCCCATGATTCCAAGAGGACACGCTCACATCGCCATAATGTTATCCGAAAGGGGTAAGATGTGTCTGTGTCTACAGTGTGTGCACCTGCGTACTGTGACACTAATGTGTGTATCGTGTACTGTGACACTTATGTGTGTATCATGTACTGTGACACTAACATGTGGCATGTGTGTGTGTCGTGTACCATGACGCTGACGCTGGGCCTGCTTGTTTTGCACCATTGTAATCTGCTTCCTTTTCGCATATTGCTCTGTCGACCTTCGTAGGAACGATCAATGACCTATTAACATGATTAAAGCAGGTGTCTAATATTTTCCAAACAATCAACAGCAACATCTCTGATAAGTATTGTTGTCTTGATGAAGTGAAGAAAATAAAATGTGAAAAAACTTCTTTTAAGTTACCATGGTGACAGTTTAATGGATTACCTCCCATCCTAAATTGAGGTACTTTTCATGACTGAAACTCCACTGGCCAGGTAATTCAGGATTATTCAGGTTTTGTCTCTCAACTGTTGAAGCTGAACATGACACAGCAACACTGACCAGAGTAAAAGACTGTCAGACGTGGACAGTAGCAAGTTCCCACGGGTGTCGACAGAGCTCTGTACTAATCACGGGGTTGACGGAGTCTCCTGATGGGGTTTACTGATTAGCGTAAAACCATCCAAAAACACATAAGGGTATAATCATAAAAGTTCAAAATAAAATGATCAATGAAATACTGCTTGGTGGAAACTATAAATATATCATGTTTATTGCTTGCTGTTAAAGTATGACAAATATAGATTCTGGGCTGTAAGTGAAAGCCTAGAGACTGGTCAACGCAACTATTTTGGTAAAAAGCAAATTCCATTAAGAAAGCACGAACGCAGAATAAAGAATAAACATTGTTCAACCATTTACTGTATTTTTCAGATTTTAAAGCCTTTTTGTCATGAAATTAAATTAAAACTGCCTTCTGGGTTTTTTCTGTTCTTTTCTTTGTTTGTTGTTTAATGCCACACTCAGCAGTATTTCAGCTATATGATTACTACTGCCTACTGAATAATGGACTTGAAACATCCTCGGGACCGGTCATTTATTATAGGGGTGGGTGGGTCAGAGGGATGACCACCCCATCAGGAGCCTCCAGAAATCATCTGCTCTTTCAGAAGCATGGTCTGATTGTGGTATAATCACAGTATGTGTGCCATTAAACTTTGTATTTAAAACCTGTTCTGATATATCACTCACTACAAGAGGCTATACTCTCTCTCCTCCTTGTTTAGAGCAGTGCAGATACGGGGAGCTAATTACCACACTCACATGGCTAATTTAGTCCTTGTGAAAGGTAGGTTAGCACGGACATATATAAGTCCATGGTTAGAGGAACACCTCCAGTCCTGCAAGATCTAACTGTCTTCCATATTTTCTATTTGGTTTCTTTCTTTCCGGGGGGTACATTCTTGGTCCTTACATTCCCTCATTGAAATACATTATTACTTCAAAATATCATTAAGATTAGTTTTGTAGGTATTTTATGTTTTTATGATGTCCATCTTCCCGAGGCAAGAGCGTTAACTGACTATAAAAATCCAGTTCCCACCCTTGCCGAACTAGGCTGGAATTCCTGGGCTCTCCTATGGACCATTCAAATTCTACCTCTCATATCACATGCATTTGCTTCAAACAAAATGGCGGCGCCCAGTCAGGACGATCTGATCAAAACTCAAGATCTATATTGTGATAAAACGGGTCTTACACCGCAAAGTGCATCAAATCACGTGAGCACCTTGATTAAAAACATAAAAAGATTTGTAAAATATCTGTTGACAACGAGTTGGCGGTACATATGCTTTGCAAATCCTACAATCGACCAAAATCTGCACGACAGTTTACAAACCGGATTTCGATTTTGTTGCGCAATTTTGATTGGACTATGCATAGACTCGTTAGTCCAGCCAAAATGTAACTCCATAATACCAGCCTAGTTCGGCAAGGGTGGAAACTGGACTTTGATAGTCAGTTAACTCGCTGCCTCGGGAAGATGTATGATGTCATGTCCAGAGGAAGTAACTCCATCCTTTTTGGTTAGGTAGCTTTGTGAATGTGTTTTTGTAGAGGACAATGCTTTTAGGCTTCCTGCTTATTTTGCTATTGTGGTGAAGGACTTTGATTGGTATTCTTGAAATTGATGTAGTTAATCACAGCCAATGGTGTAGATAAATATTTCTCTATTTACACTTTCATGTCTGTACGCTGATAGAAGAAGCACTGCAAAAGTGTAAATTAAAAAGGAATTTTACTTATACATGATATAGTATTGCTGTGATGAAAACTACTTTCTTCTGATACAAGTTATCCTTTGGCTCGACTTTGTCAGTGATGAAATTCGAATCCCAGTTCACATTGATTATGATTCTTGGTTTGTCAACACCATTCCTATGCTCATGGGTTTTACAAATGGTAAATGTGAAGACTTTCGGTCACTTCGGTCTTTCCTCCCACATTAAGCTGACACGCCTTAATATCACTGTAATCCTGTTTAAGTGGTGTTAGGCCAAACTCAATCACTACCGATATCACATTGCAATCTAGGTTACTATTTCATTTGCTAGTTTGCTAGTAAGAATTATTGATCATTATTTGTCTGTGGTTAACAGATAATCACTGTGTTGACTGTTGAGATTAATGTTTAATCAATATTCAAATATTGACAAAGTTTCTAAACATTGCAACATATTGTTACAAGTATAGGGCAAGAAATGTTTCTTTGTTTCCTTGAGGATTGCTGACTCTTGTAACATGCTTTCATTTAAAGAACACAAGTAAATATATATTGACAATATGAATTTGCTGCTACTTTCAGATTATAACTTCTCTCATCGAATTGATCACCTTTCCTTTGGGGAGCCAGTATCTGGAGTTATCTACCCTTTGGATGGGGAACTGCAATCGACAAAAGCACGTAAGTCCATCCTTATGACAATAATGTGAGAATTGTAGAAATAGTTCCAATACTTACATTGGATCAAGTCAGTTAGACATGTTAGAAGAACATGACGACATGTTGAACATTTAAGGATAACTTATTTACTGTTTGTAACAGCCATTCATTTCATTTTCAGAGGTGAGCGAGTGTATGTGCGTGTAACATCACTAGGACTTTTCATGCAATGATTCGATACACAATATGTTTTTCTGTATCGATACAAAACGATGATACACTTTCTAAAATAAAATATTTAAGACTCGTTTAATGACCTCAGCATTTTTGTCAGTCAAAAATCGCAAAATGTGTTGTAATTAGCGTTTCAAGTTCACTACTAAAAATAGCACCTACGAACATATGTCTACAGCTAGCTTTTCCTTTTAAACCTGCTCTGAAATATTTATAGTACGACGTTTCCATGTGATTTGACATCAATATGAATATCGCAATACACATGGTATCGTGACATGTATCATGATTTGTATCTTATCATGACCTTGCTGTATTGTATCATGACCTTGCTGTATCGTTTCACCCCTAATACAAAGCTGTGTGACACATTGTGTTTCAGACTTCCACACATTCCAGTACTACATACAGGTGGTTCCGACAGAAGTGAGGACGTACCTGGTCAATGAAAACACTTATCAGTTTGCGGTATCACAGAGGGTAGGTACAGTCAGTCCTGGGCAGTTACAGGCGTTATAGCATGTTTACTGTAGCACTTACAGCATTATATGGGGATTAGCACAAGTCAGGCATTATAGCATGTCTACTGTAGCACTTACGGCATTATATGGGGATTAGCACAAGTCAGGCATTATAGCATGTCTACTGTAGCACATCTGGTATTATATAGGGATTAACACAAGTCAGGCATTATAGCATGTCTACTGTAGCACTTACGGCATTATATGGGGATTAGCACAAGTCAGGCATTATAGCATGTCTACTGTAGCACATCTGGTGTTATATAGGGATTAACACAAGTCAGGCATTATAGCATGTCTACTGTAGCACATCCGGTATTATATAGGGATTAACACAAGTCAGGCATTATAGCATGTCTACTGTAGCACATCCGGTATTATATAGGGATTAACACAAGTCAGGCATTATAGCATGTCTACTGTAGCACATCCGGTATTATATAGGGATTAACACAAGTCAGGCATTATAGCATGTCTACTGTAGCACATCCGGTATTATATAGGGATTAACACAAGTCAGGCATTATAGCATGTCTACTGTAGCACATCCGGTATTATATAGGGATTAACACAAGTCAGGCATTATAGCATGTCTACTGTAGCACTTACGGCATTATATGGGGATTAGCACAAGTCAGGCATTATAGCATGTCTACTGTAGCACATCTGGTGTTATATAGGGATTAACACAAGTCAGGCATTATAGCATGTCTACTGTAGCACATCCGGTATTATATAGGGATTAACACAAGTCAGGCATTATAGCATGTCTATTGTAGCACATCCGGTATTATATAGGGATTAACACAAGTCAGGCATTATAGCATGTCTACTGTAGCACATCCGGTATTATATAGGGATTAACACAAGTCAGGCATTATAGCATGTCTACTGTAGCACATCCGGTATTATATAGGGATTAACACAAGTCAGGCATTATAGCATGTCTACTGTAGCACATCCGGTATTATATAGGGATTAACACAAGTCAGGCATTATAGCATGTCTACTGTAGCACATCCGGTATTATATAGGGATTAACACAAGTCAGGCATTATAGCATGTCTACTGTAGCACATCCGGTATTATATAGGGATTAACACAAGTCAGCATGAGATGCTATTACACCCTGGCTCTGTGTCTGCTTGTGTCTAATGTGGCTCCACACAGAAGTAAACATTTAGATTTTGAATAATACCCAATCACTCACTCATCTCAGCATCAAACAGCTATGCAACTGGGATATGATGACATGCATCAACTAGGTCAATGAGCCTGACCACCCGACCCTGTTATATCAGTGTGTGGACTTGCACCATTACTGAACCACCTGGATGTGCCACCATCCTTAACATGCGCAATACCTGCTTTTGCTGATTTGTTTAACCAAGCTTGTAGACCTTGAAAATCCAGTGTCATTTTAGTATTCTCCCTCATAAAGTTGAATAAAGATAAAACAGGTTAACCTTGTTGGTTTATCTGTATTGTTCTGAGATCATCGCTTCCCCCATGATTCTGATAGTAATATCCACTTTCCACTCTTTGAGAAATGATTTGTAAATCCGGTTATTTGTTAATCTTGATTTTTCAGTGGGAGCTGTCCTGATTAGCAGGGTTTCACTGTACTGTTCCAAACCATCTCAGTGTGCAGCAGGTGGTATGGGTGGCCCAGTCTAAAAACACTCAATTATCTGTGCAGAGTTGCTTCCCTTTGGCATGCTACAATCCAGTGTTCGAATCCCAGATTCACCCCAATTTATCATTCATTTGTCAGCACCATACCTGTGTGCATCGACAGATCCAGGGGATCCCCCCACACCCTCTTTTGAAAACCAAATGTATTATGTTGTAGGCAGTAAATTTATCTGAGAGAGCATTTTGATATTTTGGACACCTCCCTTTTGAAAATGCTGCATCTGCCCTTGCAAGTGGGTTTCACAAGGCTATCCTTCCAAATTAAGCTGACATGCCGTGGTATGTCAGAGTTACCGTCGAAAGCAGCATCAAACCTACCTGTATCACTTGACCCTCACTGTTTTTCAGAGCCGTCAAATTGATCACTCCAAAGGCAGCCATGGCGTACCAGGGATTTTTGTCAAGTATGACTTGTCATCACTGATGATCCGAGTGCGCGAGGAGCACAAGCCGTACTGGCAGTTCATGATCCGACTGTGTGGAATAATAGGAGGAGTGTTCTCCGTCTCAGGCAAGTCAGCATCTCTCTGTCATCTTCTAGCGCCATGTTCAAACCACAGGAAGCAGTACAGGGAAGCCCAGACACCCTTGATCCATGATCAAGTAACAATCACACTAATTGGCGCCACGTCTAAAAATAGATAACCCCGTAGTAGTATTCTGGAAACCATTGCTAGTAAGGAAACCCTTGTTAGTATGGAAACTCTTGTTAGCCTGGAAACCCTTGTTAGTATGGAAACCCTTGTTAGTCTGGAAACTCCTGTTAGTATGGAAACTCTTGTTAGTATGGAAACCATTATTAGTATGGAAACCATTATTAGTCTGGAAACCCTTGTTAATCTGGAAACCCTTGTTAATCTGGAAACCCTTGTTAGTATGGAAACCCTTGTTAGTATGGAAACTCTTGTTAGCCTGGAAACCCTTATTAGTGTGGAAACCCTTGTTAGTCTGGAAACCCTTGTTAATCTGGAAACCCTTGTTAGTATGGAAACTCTTGTTAGCCTGGAAACCCTTATTAGTCTGGAAAGCCTTGTTAATCTGGAAACCCTTGTTAGTATGGAAACCCTTGTTAGTATGGAAACTCTTGTTAGCCTGGAAACCCTTATTAGTGTGGAAACCCTTGTTAGTCTGGAAACCCTTGTTAGTATGGAAACCCTTGTTAGTCTGGAAAGCCTTGTTAATCTGGAAAGCCTTGTTAGTATGGAAACCCTTGTTAGTATGGAAACCCTTGTTAATCTGGAAACCCTTGTTAGTATGGAAACCCTTGTTAATCTGGAACCCCTCGTTAGTCTGGAAACCCTTGTTAGCCTGGAAACCCTGGTTAATCTGGAAACTCTTGTTAGTCTGGAAACCCTTGTTAGCCTGGAATTTTTTGTTAGCCTGGAAACCCTTGCCAGAAACCCTTGTTTTGAAACCCAAGCTCCTGTATGTGTACTGCTAGGAAGATCTTTATCTGTACAAGGGGACATTGTCATGTGCCTGCTTACTGACTTCATGGGATAGGTACAATCTGAATAACTAGAGTACATGACCAATTGTAAAATTGTTAAAAGCTGTTAAACAAAAAGTAACTTAATATAGGGTGTTTGCAATTCTTAGAAGGAAGTCATGAATTTAAATCCTTATTTTTGCAGGAATGATGCATGGTCTCTCTGGCTTTCTGGTGGACCTATTCTGCTGTAGATTCAAGATGGGCAAATATAAACCGAAATCCTTCGAGGAAGCAAGTCAAAGTGCCACGCCCCCGTCTCCATCCCTATCCAACCCTCCACAAGATGATCCTGCTGGGGTGTCACTGCTTGCTCAGCCTCAATAGCACATTTTATTCATTTTATATCCAATTTACTGTTATATTTTTTAAAATCTACTGTAGTTGTTGAATGTTGGATGACAATAAATGTGGTAATTTTAAATTTTGGAGTTTTGGTTTTTCCTGCTGTATTCTCATGGGTTGGAAAGTCTCCAGCACATGTTGCTTGAAGGACAGCAATAATGCGAAAAGTGGCATTTAACCCTACTCACTCACTCATTCTATACAAAAAACGCCTCTGTGGGATAGTGGATAAAGCTATAATAGATAAGTCGGTGGTGGTTCGATCCCCAGGCCGCATCACCTCAAAACATGTCAAAACATGGTACCTGTTGTTGCCCTGCCTGGTGCTTGGCATCAACAAAGACTGGCATCATACCGTATTCGACGTAATAAGAACCCAGGGCGCTCTCAAAATTAGAACTAGGGGGCTCTTATTAGAATATTATTTTGGTGAAAAAAACAGAGTCGAAAGATAAATTTCATGGTTTATGCTGTCAGCTTGAAATGTTTATGTACGACAGATATATTTTTCCAGAATTTAATTGCCCATAATAAAGGGTGCACATAACACATGAGTGCGTATTATACACTAAAAAATATGTCTTGTGTACATTGATCAATCGGAAGGGGTGCTAATTGGGTTTGTTCACTAGCCAATATATCAGCAAATGTCACCATGGGCGCTTATTAGAGCAGGGCGCTTATTACGTCGAATACGGTATTATTTGACGAAATGTGGTATCCATGTGAAACTGCTGTATAGTATCTCAGAGAGCTGGCACTATATCACCAGCACAAGTCTGGAATAGTATAAACAGCCACACAAACATGTACATGCAAGACAAGCTTGACATAATGTTGAACACAATGTTAAACCCCATTTCACCTCGCCTCGCCTCGCTCCGGCAGACAAAGAGATGGGGATTGTGTGGTCACATTATCTGACATGGCTGATCGTGTGCCATCTAGCCCAAAGACATGGAAAGATGCTCATGCTATCAACCACTGTTTTGCCTTGCCCAGACTCGGTTATCTATTGCAGCCATGATAAAGATGAAATAGGTCAGGATGGTGTAAATCATGAAATTTTTCATATGAGTAGGATTCAAAATGGTGGTTTCATTTAAGGACAAATATGCAAATATAAAAGGTCTGGTAGGTACTACTTTCAGTGTTTACAAACATTGCATCGCCCTTGACTATCACGGATCGAGTAAGAATTAATAATTGGGGATCTGGACAAATTATAGCGATAATTATTATCATTTTAAAAATAATAGCTTAAGATTCTGAAAATCGAGTGAAACATGGATGTAGCTGAGGCTACTGGAGACATAGATGGCGAAACATTTTAGTAAGGACACCAGCAGGATCGGTTCCGTATTTGTGTAGACTGCTGCGGCTTGGGGTCTTTTCCCCACCAAGGCTCGCCAAATACAATCCTTACTCCTGAAACAGGATATTGATCATCACAAAATACATGCGCTTGATGACCTCTATTTGCTCATCACTAAAATTCCACCAAAAGCAAAGTCATTGCTGAGCATTTTTGAATATCGGCTGGTATTGTGCACAACCACCAGTAGCTTAAGTGATGACGTAAATACTGCCGGGTATCGTGCAGGAAGCTGAGGCACTGTAAGTCCCCATGATCCCCAGTGAGATCCCCTAGCTTAGGTTGCTGGTAGCTCATAGCCCGTGTTTGAAACAGTTGTAAATGATAATGTTAGGATAAAATATGTTTGACAAATTTGTTTTTTAAATTTAACTTTGTATTCATGACTCAACTGTATGTATATATAACTTGTTCTCATCACTTGATGGCTGAAATAATGCTAATGCAACGTTAAATTTTAACTCTCTAACTCACTCACCCTTGCCCAAATTGGGTCATGAAATTATGTAGTGTGAGTAGCCCAGCATCAAATGAGATAGCAGACGGAGATTGAATAGGTTCCAAGTGTTGTGACACGAGTTGGCGCAATCCTTTCAACATAAGTCAGCAGTGTGATGCATCCACCATGACTGTTGTTCTGGACATTTTCGTAAGACTATTTTACAAGATTACCAAGACTAAAAACACCACAACACAGGGTTTGAGACTGTCACAACAGCTTGATCAACTTACGTAAAATGACCACAATTGACTCAGAACTTGGTGACGAGCCCTGTCTAAATCTAGCACTCAATTGCACTTTATTGTAAGCTCAAATTGATATTTACGACCAACCAAACACTTCGTAAAACAAAACATAATAGGGTGTGTCCTTTATGCTTGACAACTATAATCTACCCATCTTAGTTACACTGTATCTTGGCTGCAGCTCTCAGTTTAGCCGATCTTGCTCGGGGATTGTCCAAACAATCTGTGTATGTTGGCACACACACTTTTTTCGATGAAGGCAGCCATCGTTTTTTCAAAAGGTCCACAACATCCTTTCTTTCATGCAGGACTGAGGGGTTTCTAAGGTGATCCCGATAATTCATGTTGAGTGGCAGGTCCATGTCGATGCCATGGAAATGCCGCTTGACGATCCTATCCTCAAGTGAATGAAATGACAGAGCAACACACACTCCTCCTGGTTTGAGGAATCTGTGGGCAAGTTCCAGGCCGTTATTCAACTCGTTCAGTTCATCGTTGACAAATATACGCAGAGCTTGAAATGTTTTTGTTGCGACGTGAGAATGTCTCATCATCTTATCTCGTCTGAGATCACTGGAGAGAAAGGAAAATATTTCAGAGTGAATATTCGGAATATTGGAGTGAGTTGTGTTTAACACCGCTGTGAACATTTCCTGTTATATCATGGCGTGTCAGCTTAATGTGGGAAGAAAGCCAAAGTGATGTCAGTCTCAGACGTTTATCACGTTGGTGAAACCCACGAGCACGGGTATGGTGCTGACAAACCTGAATCGGGGTGAACCATGATTCTAACCCACAATCATAGGTTTCTGGTGTGCCCAAGGGACGGAACTCTGCACAGCAAATTGTGGCACCAAAGACGACTGGCCCACCTATGCCCCCAGGAATATTGGACAAATTTACTTTGCCTGCCCCTATCTTTACGTACCATTGCAATTATTCATCAATTATTTATGTTGTGATGTATATGAGTTGGATCAAAGGAGGTTGCATCTTTATGTTGGATAGGAAGGTTAAGAACGGGGACTTGCAAAATACATGCTGGATAAAACTAAAACTATATAATTTGATAATGAACAAAATATGTTTTCTAAACTTAACCTACTGTTGGTCATAGTGCTTCCAACCTTTCAAGGTCAAAGGATGGGGAAACCAGGATTTGGGTCAAGGGCAGGGCAGGGCAGGGCAGGGCAGGGCAGGGCAGGGCAGGGCAGGGCAGGGCAGGGCAGGGCAGGGCAGGGCAGGGCAGGGCAGGGCAGGGCAGGGCGAGTGTGTGTTTGTGGTCTGACGCTGCACTCAGCCATATTCCAGCTATATGACCAGACAATCCAATATTGTGAAAACAATCCATGCCGTACAAAGACCCGCAATCAACCAAGTCACTGAGCCTGACCACCTGATCCATTTGGTAGCCTCGTACGACCAGAATAGGTTGTTGATGGGGGACCTACTCTGACCCGGAATGTCCACGGATGGGCTATGGTTGGGTGCGGGGTGGGGACCCCTGGCGTAGAGTTCATATCACATCACAGAAAACATATTACTTGTCTGAATATCCCAGGATTAAACCCTTATTTGTAAGAAGTATAGTGACCTGCTATATGACCTTGAGGAACGTCTTACCCTTGGAACACGCTGGCTACTATGTCTGCTAGCTGTCGTGTGCGTGTGATGTTCCCGAAGGCGTAGCGTGTGTCAACGATGGCACTGGCAATCTTGCGGGCAAGTTTCTCCTCTCCATACTTCTTGATGATCACATACAGGTCCTGCTCATCAATGTGGTTGACAACATCGGCTGCTGTCGGCTGATCCTGGATCCTAGCAAACAAACAGTGATGACCAAGAAATAATATTTGTTTTCTATCTATATGATGGTAAAAAATCCAATCTGCACCAGACAATCAGTGATTGATATTGTGAGCAAACGATCCATGCCGTCAGGATACGCCGCGATCACCTAAGTCACCGAGTCTGACCACCTGATCCATTAAGTCGCATCTTATGACCAGCATAGGTTGCTGGGGACCAATTCTAACACAGAACCCCTATGGAGCCTCAGAAATAATAACATATGCTCCAAACGAAACATTATCATACCCAGAAATACAAGGTGATTATTATACGAGCATGTGTTATACTGATTTTACTAAACGAGTGTCAGAATGTTTATATTAATGAGGGTAATACATGAATTCTTACACAAGTTTCGTAAAATCAGCACAGTGAATAATTTCTTTATTACCATTACTTCATAATCCTTTTGGGCTTCCCTTGAGAAAAATGCACTGATCACATCTTAAAGATTTGAATGACGTCAGCAATGACGTCAGGATAACAGAAACAATACACTGGTGCGCATGATTTTAGGGACTCGGTTATTTCTAACCAAATGGGTAATAACATCTCATATTTCCCCATTTGTAACATATACATTGCAAACATGTGAAAGAGCTGATCTGACAAATATGATGTTGCCATGCATCATTCTCTCTTCCTATACATTTGTGTGAAAAAGATTTTTTTTTAAATCCATAAAAAAAGGTGTCTGAACCAAAACTTTAAAAGTCAATAAACCTGTGAAACAACATCACAAACTAGCTATAAAAAAGATATTTTGAGTACTGAGTATTTGATTAATCACGATGATTAAGAAGGTCTGGGAATCCAGACTACAAATTTTCATTTAATGCCCATACTGTCACCTGTCTCCATCCATCCTCATGTCCAAGGGTCCATCTTGACTGAGAGAGAAGCCCCGGCCAGCCTGGTCAAACTGCATGGACGACGCCCCCACATCAAACAGGAAGCTGTCCACAGACGCACCTTCCACACCATGCTGTCTTAGCAGCTGAGGCACGTCAGAGAAGCGACCAAGTAATGGAGTTATCTGCCCTTCCCTGTTTGACAGGGTCGATACTTGAATTATGGTTATCATTGAGTGAGTGAGTTGGGTTTTATGCTGCTTTAAGCAATATTCCATCAATATCCCATAAGGGTGAAAAGTGTACCAGTGCATCATGACTTATCATGTGATGATACAATACAGGATACATTTCCTTCTGTATCGATACAAGACTACACAATTGCTAAAATAAATTACTTACTACTCGTTTAATGACCTCAGCGTTTTTGTCAGTCAAATATCACAAAATATGTTGTAATTAGCATTTGATGTTCACTGCTTAAAATAGCCACTTTGCATATGTGTCTACAGCTAGCTTTTCCTTTGCTCTGAACCTGCTCTGTAATACTTATTGTAAGACGTTTCAATGCGATTTGACATAAATATGCGTATCACAATACATGGCAATATATGGCATCGTTACCTATGTACCATGATACTTATCATATCATGACCTTGCTGTATCATTTCAGCCCTAATATCACGACGGGGACACAAGAAATGGGCTTAAAACATAGTACCCTTGTGGGGAATCGACCCTTGGTCTTCAGCGTGATGAGCAAATGCTTTTACCACTAGGCTACCCCACCAACCTGGTACTCATCAAGAGATTATGAGGCAGCCACTTGGCAACCTCATGATAAACCATTTGTGTCAAACATCGGATTTAATGCCACAGGACTGACTAGTGTTGTCATTTGTAAGATATTACAGTTGGCATCTGTACTCTCTCTTTTTTGTTATCTTAATAGATACCTTATTCGACGTAATAAGCGCCCCGCTCTAATAAGTGCCAACGGCGACATTTGCTAAGCTATTGGCTAGTGGACAATCCCAATTAGCACCCCTTCCGATTGATCAATGTACACAAGACGTATTTATTTGCGTATAATCACACTCGTGTGTTATATGCACCCTTAATTATGGGCATTTAATTCTGGAAAAATATATCTGTCGTACATTAACTTTTCAGGCTGTCAGCATAAACCACAAATTCCTTCAACTCTGTTTTTTTCACCAAAATAACATTCTAATAAGAGCCCCCTATTTCTAATTTTGAGAGCCCCTGGGCGCTTATTACGTTGAACACGGTAATTAATGTGGTGTGACCTCAACATACTTGCATTCCTGTGATAGTTGGGTTGCCATTTCAAACGCCACTGGATCCCTGTCCAAGGCAAACACTCTGGCATTTTGTGCTCTTGAGATTATCTCCCTTGTATGACCTCCACCTCCAAAGGTCATGTCCACGATAACCTGAATGAAAAAGGTTCATATATTTCCCTAACGCCTGACTAATTTATCTATTTGTTTCACATATGTTCTGGCAAGAGGCAAAATATAAAACATAGTTGTCAGAGTTGGGTTATAACATAATTGAAATAGATAAACATAACAGAAATATTATAAACAAGCATCTTTTTGAACTGGTTACTTTAATAGTTTTGAATATACTGTTTTAGGTAGGCTTGTTCATAAAGTGAGTGAGTTGGGTTTAACACCGTTTTGAACGGCATTCCAGTTATATCACAGCATGTCAGCTTAATGTGGGAGGAAAACCTGAAGTGACGCAGGTCTCAGACATTTACCACTTTGGTGAAACCCACGAGCACGGGTATGGTGCTGACAAACCTAGAAACATATCTGGGGCGAACCAGGATTAGAACTTTATGATCATGGGTTCTGACATGCCCAGGGGACGCAACTCTGGACAGCAAATTGCAGCGCCTGAGATGACTGTGCCACCCGTGCCCTTCATGAAGTAAATACATAACTTTTTCTGGCCTAACAACAAAACACAATCCACACTTGATGTCATGTGCTGATTACCCACATGAATACCCAAGGTAGCAACACATGCTTGTCGTAAGAGGCAATTAACAGGATCAGGTGGTCAGGCTCGCTGACTTGGTTGATGCATGTCATCATATCCCAATTGTGCAGATCAATGCTCATGATATCAATCACTGGATTGCCTGGTTCAGACTCGATTATTTACAGACCGCCGTCATATAGCTGGAATAGTGCTGAGTTGGGCGTTAAACAACAAACAAACATGTTGAGTAAATGATGGGTGTGCACAGTTATGTCCCTTAGTGTGGAAGAAACCGATGATCATGGGTTAAAAACACACCATTCACCCTGTCTATGTCTCTTTGTCATCACTGATTTTAACAGTTTTTCAGTGATATGTCAGATGACAAACCTAGAAACATAATCAGGGGGGATCTGGGATTCAAACCCACCATCACAGGATCCTGGCATGCCCAAGGGAAATAAAAATGAAAGACAAATGAGAATACGCTTAAAAATCTGAATATCTTGCGTTATAGACTTCTGTGAAAGTGGGTTTTTTTTGCATAACACAGCAATATGGTGCCACACAAATTAGTGATTGATATTACGAGCAACGTCCTATGCTGTTGGAATAAATGACACGCCATGTACAAGTCACAGAGCCTGACCACATGATCATTTAGGCGTACAACATGCAAAGTTTCATGGGCCTTATTCTAACCCATAATCCCCCCTGGATGTTTATTTGTTTCTTTGTTCTTAAATGCAATCTGTGTCGTGGTTTGTTTGTTGTTGTTTAACGCCGCACTCAGCAATATTCCAGCTATATGACGGCGGTCTGTAAATAATCAAATCTTAGCCAGACAATCCAGTGATTGACATCATGAGCATTGATCTACGCAATAGGAATACAATGAGACGCATAAACCAAGTCAGTGAGCCTGACCTCCCGATTTCATAAGTTGCTTCTTAGGACAAGCATATTCGCCTTAAGGCAAGAATGGGTTGCTAAAGAGCTATTCTAACCTGGATCTTCATAGGTCGAATCCCCACAGGAAGACGACAGTGACATCCTATAGAACAATAAATAGATGCAAACCTGTCCATCAGTAGGTTTGAGTACATCCATCACTTCCTTTAACATCACTGGGATGTGGGGCACTCTCCTGTGACGGTCCTCATTCAGTTTCTGACCTAGTTGTCTCCCCTGTTGATCCAGTTGCCTCCCTTCAGTATCCGCTGCATTGTGGGAAGCTCTCACTGGTTGACACTTACTGCTGTATACCTGCTGTAGAAGTCTCAGCTGACAGAAGGACAGCTTGTGTCTGCTGAGCTGTTTCACCTGGCTCATTGGCTCAGTCTGAAACAGAATATGGCAAGATGTTTGTTTGTTTGTTTGTTTGTTTGTTTGTTTGTTTGTTTGTTTCTTTGTTTCTTTCTTTCTTTCTTTCTTTGTGGTTTAATTCAATATTCCAGCTTCATGACAACGGTTGGTAAATTATCAAGTCTGGACAAGACAATCCAGTGATTGATATCATGAGCATCGATCCTTGCAATTGGGATACGCTGACATGCATCAACCAAGTCAGCAAGCCTGACCACCTGATCCCGTTAGTCTCCTCTCATGACAAGCATAGTCGCCTTTTACAGCAAGCCATGCTTGTCGTAAGAGGCGACTAACGGCAGGATGAGGATCAACCAATCAGCTCAGGCATTGCACTTTTCTTTCTAATAATGTAGCCCTTCAGGAATTGATTTTCTTTCTTCACACACTTATAAAAGTTTAGGCAAGAACTCTAAGTTGGGGAGGTCAGATAGCCTTGTGGTTAAAGAGTTCACTCGTCACGCCAAAGACCCGGGTTCGATTACCAACATGGGTACAATGTGTGAGGCCAATTTCTGGTGTCCCCCACCATGATATTACTGGAATATTTCTAAAACCAGCGTAAAACCATACTCACTCAGTAGCTTAGTGTTACAGACCCATTTACTACAGTATGGTGAGAAAATCCCCCACTCTTGGTTAGTTTTGTTTTGTTTTTTTTTGTGGGGGGGGGGGGGGGGGAAATCCCCTTTTCGATCTTTGGGTAGAGGTTCTTTGGATTCATGTCATCATATCTCAATTGCATAGATCTATGCTCATGATGATATTCACTGGATTGTCTGGTGGAGACTCAATTATTTACAGACCGAGGACATATAGGTGGACTATAGCTGAGTGCTGCATTAAACAACAAATAAATACAATATAGGCATTTGGGGAATAGGGGTATGAAGCACAGCAATTATTTTAACAAAGAATGTGAAATAAAGTCATTTTAAGTCACATTTGATAATGCAGGTCAGTGATTAATCGAGAAATACAGTATTACCCTAACTACATAAATATTATGTTAAATTTTCACACAAAGAACAGTGTCTATATGTAACTGAAACTGACCACCAGGTATTAGCGCTACTATTCTCAGCTAGGTGTCCAGATATACAAGGATTAGCTCAGGCACTTATTTGTCTGTTGATTCAAGTCATATGATCTAACATAGTCTAGCAACAACTGACAGCCATATAATTACACCAGTTCTTCTGTCTCAATGTTGGGAAATGTATCAATCACAATGGTCTAGACTGGAAATGACACAGTACTGTGGAGTCCAACCTTTCATTATAGGAAGAAGAATGCATCATATGTATGCTCGTAAAACCATGTGTCTGGCAACAAATAGTAAACTAACCACGCCCCACTAATTTAGGACCGTTCATGTGTTATTATCAAATTCAATGAACTAATAAATTAGTTTAAATTTACTCATGGCTATATTTGTACAATCATCATCGACAATTTTTCATACACAAATTTAAATCCACACAAGTGTCGTCTAAACACGACATTACGCAACGAAGAGATGAATTAGTCGCAAGTATAACGCCTAACGAAAACTGGGGTCCTTCATCATCTAAATTATACTCAACATAGAATAATCTTATTATGCACTGAAAACCTAACTGATACGTACCTTTAGAAATTTCGATACCTGGTGTAATGCCTATGTGATGACAGTGTGAAATTGGTTGTGTCAAATAATGATTAACAATGTCAAATGCAAGAACCCACGTGTGTTTTAACGATGTAAACACGCCGCTCCGATCAGGTACAACATTCCTACCAACTTATTCTATACATTATTCTGAAAAGGCCATCTGTTGGTAAAATGGAAGTCAAATATCGGAATTTGAGTTCGAAACAGAAAATGATGTTATAAGACCCCTTGGGAGTGTGAAAGGTTGGTGGGTTTAAGTCCTTTGCGGGGGTACACCAAGATATGGCTTCACACCTTGTACCCGTCCGGGAAATCGAAACTTGGTCTTCGGCGTGACGAGTTATCGGTCAAAATAAATAATAATTACAACCACTAGGCGATAGAGCTTCATTTCCAATAGAGTCGAGTGTAATGGGAAGAAATATAGGCTACAAGAAAATAGGAAAAAAACGGAATGGGAAACAGAAAAAGGATAACACATACGTGTATTTTTATTCCTATATGATACATATCGGAAATTAGTGAACATGCTGTAGTCTAAACTATTACTGGGAAATCAGATATTTAGATGAATGTATTAAATATAAAACGTTATTAAAATAATTTGTAAGACACGTTCAAATGTGCATATTATGCCAGATCATAGACCATAAACCGACCAGGTGAATGATTTGAGTGGAATGCAAATCTCGTACTTTAATCAAAAATGTTTGTGGCCTCTATTTTTAGGAGGAATCTTGCATGCTTCGAACTGATCTTTTAAACAAGTATTTATTTCCACTATCTATATAAATGCAGCAGTAGTACAAATATTATTCAATAGTATGAACTTAATATTATGTCATATGAGACACAGCAACGGTCAACTGTTGTTAGTGGAATATATATATAGGAGTATATGTTTACACAAATCCTTTGCTCATAGCGCAAAAAAAATTGTGTACAGAATCAATGATATCAAGAAGTATTTTGTTATCTAAATTGACGTTCATAGACAAGAGACCCGTGATCATCCGGGGTAGAATAGGTCTTCAGCAACCCATGCTTGCTGTAAAAGGCGACTATGCTTGTCGTAAAAAGCGACTAACGGGATCGGGTGGTCAGGCTCGCTGATTTGGTTGATGCATGTCATCGGTCCCAATTGCGTGGATCGATGCTCATGATGTCAATCACTGGATTGTCTGATCCAGATTCGATTATTTACAGACCACCGTCATATAGCTGGAATATTGCTGAGTGCGGCGTTAAACAACAAACAAACAAACAAAAACCATATACAAGACGGTTCGAAGATCATAACCATTCAGATGATGATAACTTTCAGATCTGATCTCAGTGTAATTTGGACAGGAAAACCGGTAGTGTAATGCACTTTCGTTGCAAATACCACATGGAAATTCAGCATTATGACTAATAAATATTTCCAGTTTGTAATGATCAGATCCCTGCATCCAAGCCTTAACTTAAACTTACCACGTGATGCATGAATGAAATGAAAGATGAATTAAAAGTTTCGTATTTCTTGGGTTTATTTTCTTGTACAAACTGGTTTGTTTGTTATTCGTTTCTGTCTTCCAGATTACCATATGGCGATCTTCAAAATTGCTTTACTAACTGTCTAATGTTTGAACCAACAACAAGAAACAATAACTGTTATCAGAGGGTGTGTAATGCAGCTACATAACTCCCCTGCAGTTATGAGAATTATCAATTGACCTCTAGTCTCCAGAATAACACTGTCAATAAGCAACAATCGCAGCTACTGGAATTTGTATTTGCAAGCACTATAACAATTGCAATTACCATAGCATACCTCAACACCAATTAGCTGTGAGTTCGGCGAAGCGAGACAGATCAAACTCGAGAAATAACAATACTGTACACCGATAAACGGCCGAAGCGTTTTCTTTCTGTATTCAAGAAGGACCTAACATGGCTAGAAATTCATTCATAAAAACGCATCTTGCATAACAAATATGAAATCTTTGTTGAAATAACACGCGCAAACGAAACAATATTGTAGTAATTCCCTTCACGCATCAACAACTTAGTGTGAATTAACGTTAGTTTGACAGAAAGTATTATAAAGAAAAACGCACGGGGCTCCCCCTGGCGGCCAAGTTTGAGGTCAACCGGAAGTGTGTTAGAAAACAAAAGTGCAGGTGCGATGCGACAGCTCTTACTTTGAGTATAAACAGCACGTAATCATGAGGACGGATCAGAAATTATTTTGTCTTAAGAGCTCCAGTGTGATCTTTATTATTCTTCTCTGGGTAAGTTACCATTTATCCTAATCGCATGCGTTCAACATTCCAGTAACATATGCAGGCAGTCCTGTCATCGACAGTCGAAATTCGATCGGCAGTCGCGTAGTTTTTGACCCGAGAGATGTTGTGAACTGAGAACGGATTAATCGTCAATGTTGACAGCGGATGGATTAAGAATCTGCAGTTTCCGCACATTCGCAATTATTTTCCCGACTGGATATTTGAACTACACCAGTCATACAATTTGTTATCTCGTCTGTTCTTTATGAAGCTCTTCACTGGAGCCTTACATCATTGCAATTTCCAACAAGGAATTTCCAAAATTACCCAGATTAGGCGAAGGTGATTGTGTGATTGATCAATTTTTGTGTTAGCAACAACGAGACACCCTTTTCTCCAAGGATGCCAATCGATAATGATCCTTAATTTTCTTCAAGTTACCTTTTTCGGCAAGAATTATTTAAGGTAACTGCACATCTGTGAGTCATTGTTAAACTAATTAACAGAATTTGATTACAAAATCCTATTACTTTGCACTCTAGTTACTTTGAAATATCAGGATTTTCCATGCACAGTCTGTAACACTGTTTGCCACACCAAAGTCAATATAGAATTGTTACCTACCGTAACATCTCCAAATTATGGTAAGGGCAGGATGTGAAGATTAGCAGTAAACTGCTATCACTGATGAAAGTGTAAAGTTCACCTTTGTATAAGTATGTACAGGGAACATCAGTTTAAATATGAATTGAACTTTGTAGTTCTCACTTGTCTGTATTGCATAATGTATATTTATGAATACTAGAGATGTGACAATGCCAAGGTGTAAAAGTGACTTTATGTTGTTTACACACTCTTTACAATCGGCAACTTTTGCCACAAGTTCGAAACTTTTGTCTAGTTGCAGGAATATGTGATACATGGGTGAATTATTTTTTAAAAATTATGTAAGCTACATATTCCCGTGGTCCAGTCAAATTTATTACAATCAGCTTGTACTTGTCCATAAAGTATGTCTACTATCAACTGTAAATAATGCCAAAACCAGCCTTTGGCTAATAAGTTTATATGACTGTTTATATGAGTTTAAATGAGTTTAAATGTTTATATGATTACAAACATGTGACAGATGAGAACATGTTAGCATATTCTAAGAATAGGACATGTTTCGTACCAGTATATATGTGTATCATTACGCACAATTGTATCACTACATCCTGGCAATCCTAATGGCAGCCAAACTTGTGTAACTATTGCATGTGCTGTGGTTAACCAGTGGCAGGTGAAAATCTGTTTCTGCTATTAACATGCCGTTTGACACCAAATTGGATGGTAGAAGCTTTTGTCATTGCTCCCTAAATTTCAATCTCTCCTTCAGCTCATTAAAGCAGTGGGCTTGTGTGGCGGTATTTAGTGAAATACCTTTGAGATAGTTGTCATGGTTGTGTCAAACCCTTACTCTTATGACCAGAACATGAGATACCAAGTCCTTGCAGTCTGTAGCTAAGTGTTGACAATTGGCTGGGATGTCAGCATCAATCATCAGTTAGTACTGGTATGTTTAAATTGACCAATCAGTCATTAACATTGTGTATAACAATAATCAGATGTAAACATGGTCAAATGAGTCTTGATATACCAAACATTTCTGGATTGGTTAAATGTTGATGAGGCTTTGTTTCATATTGCATAAATCTGATCATGCTGAAGAATAACACTTGTGTCGAAAATAGTTTTTACCTTCAGCCGTTTCACTTGTAACATTGTTTTACCCTGAATTTTTCTTTTGGCATCAGATTCAGTTAATTAGCATTAATATACAGATTGTTTTTAGCTGGTGTTTTGTGACAGAGAGGACTTTTCATCAGCGTTAAAAATTGGCGCTAGTCCTGTAGTCCTTGCCAAAATGCCCAATAGTTAAGGTTTTAAGGGGATTTGCTATATGTTATCATTATAAGGACTAGTGGGCTAAAACTGTTAGTTTTTACCACTGTTAATAGAATTATACCGTATTTGACGTAATAAGCACCCACAGCGATATTTGCTAATATATTGGCTAGTGAACAATCCCAATCGGCACCCCTTCCGATTGATCAATGTACATAAAACTTATTTATTCATGTATAATACGCACTCTTGTGTTATATCACCCTTAATTATGGGCAATCAAATTCTTGAAAAATATATCTGTCGTATGTAAACACTTCAGGCTGTTAGCATAAACCACGAAATTTACGATCTTTCAACTCAAAATAATATTCTAATAAGCGCCCCCTTTTTTCTAACTTTGAGAGCGCATTGGACGCTTATTAAGTTGAATACGGTAATAGAACTGGGCTTCAGACTTGTACACTGGATGATTCACTCACTGCATCAGTTCATGGCATACCAGTTAATATGATCATCTGTCATAGCTGACTAGCCAAAACTATCTAGCATCAACAAGACAATTAAAACAAGAGAAAACACTTTTCAAACACTTTGCAAACAGTGAAATTGTCATAACTTGTGCCTTTGGAATTTTGAGTTCCTTGTAAATCTTCACACAAATTTCAGCCAAAGCACACACATAAAGGAATTTTATCTGTGCTTTGAGACAAAAAAAATGAAAGTTTTGCCTCCGGTTGCAATTCTTTTTGTCACCATTAAAAACTCTTCTGTTCACTCACACCAGTATTTTTTCAGCAGAGAACCAACTGTATTTATATTCTTTATCCTTACAGTTGTTCTTAACTTGTTTCAAAGGAAAAATAGTTCTTCAGTTCCTGTTTGTGACTACTTTTGTGTAAGGATATATTGTTAGGGTCATGTTGACATCAGCCATTACATTATAAGGAGACCATAAATGTATGTTCCTGAGCATAAATACATTCTTATATAATATTGTATAAAGTGTTCCATGTCATGCCTTAAAGTTGCGACTAAAACGGTCGCCAAAGCGACCTAAATTTCAATTTGTCTATTGTCTAAGATTCAGATGTAGCCCAATAACTACCTTGCAAAATATCTTGTGGCGACTAAATTCTACTGCTACACTAACAGTTTTTGTCCACTAGTCCTCATAATGATAACATTTAGCAAAACCCTTAAAAATGGCCAATTTCTACTAGTCCTTAGGATACCTTTACCATTGGGCAGTTTGGTAAGGACTACAGGACTAGTGCCAATTTCTAACGCTGATATGTAGACACAACATGTCTGTTAGTAATTGTACTTGAAAATAATTCCTCCTAAAGTAAACAATGAACCGAAATACATCAATATTAATGTAATTAGTATTTTATTTTAGTTGATAATTTATTGGATAAATTAACATAAATTGCATCATTGTTTGAGTCACAAATAATAAAACTAAAATAAAAGTTTTCCACTAATATACAATTCCAAGACTAGTGCTATGACTGGTACATATTATAATAGTTATTTGATAAAAGATAATTTTAAATGCTTTTGGCTACCTACAATATTGACTTGACTTCTTGATTTTACCACTGGCTACCTGGAAAACAATACTTGTAGCCATGGCTACTTGGTAAAAAAATAAACTTTAAGGCCTGCATGTTTTTCAAATATATCACTGCCAATTATCAATTTGTGAAAGGTTGTATCAGCCCTTGACATACAGCATTATTTCCTCTATAATGCAGCATTGTGTTAGTCATTAAAACGTTCACAAGTCTAATTGAAATAGGACTCTTAAGATTGTGTGGGTTGGTTTTTCCTGGTTCGAGTGAGATACTGGCTTATTCATGGACACACCTCGACACATGTTATCAACAGTTATATATGTGATACATCATATATATCCCACCCTATTTGACCTGAATGTCCAGTGTTCACACTAAGTCTCTTGTTTTGGTGGAGCTATGTTTAGAATGGTATATAGGTTATGTTGGCTATTGTGTTCGTATTAACCGATTGTATGTGGCATTTGGTACACATGACATTTCTTCTTGATAGATATCCTACATCAGTTTAATCATGAATAATGCAGTAAATAATTAACTGTCAAATGCCAACTGCTTTGGATACATCTTACATGTTGTATGAGGCAATCAAATGCCAATGGTAGAATCCTTTTTTTCTTCATAGTTCTCTGTTTGCAAGAATGTTTTGATATTTAAAATGTCTTATATTGGGTTTTTCTCACATTGATAAAGCAAGTTGAATAGATATGGAAATTAAAATAATTAATTAATGATGTTCACAAGCATTCACTTCAAATCTTGATAGAAAAAAATTCATATTTCTGTGTTTGCAGTAATGATTTCTGATTTTTTGGGTCTTAATTTGGGGCTTTCTCTGAAAAAGCATATTTGAATAGATATGCAAATTAATATAATTAATTAATGATGTTCACAAGCATTCACTTCAAATCTTGAAACTTTTTTTCTTCATATTTCTGTATTTGCAGTAAAGATTTCTGATTTTTTTGGTCTTATTTTGGGGTTTTCTTACATTGTCTTTTTTTTGATAAAGCATGTTTGAATAGAGATGCAAATCAAAATAATTAATTAATGATGTTCACAAGCATTCACATCAAATCTTGAAACTATTAAGTTGATTTCCAACAGTGTCATCTGTTTTTAATAATTCATGCGCCATCACAGAAGCATCAGATAAGAGAATGCCAAAGCTGAATCTAGGATTTTAAAATATTCTGGAAATAGTTTTTCTCAATACATGAAAGCCAAAATATTTAACTTCGGAGAGGAAACTCACAGTAACACTGATGTAATCTCATTGCAATCCCTATGTGGGCGTGACAGCCTCAGGCACAGGCTACAGCTATTGTATCAGCCTCTGAGATCAGCTGTTGATATAGACAGTCGTACATTTCACCAGCTACCCGCCACCCTTTGTTGCCCTAGCATGACTAAGGAGGATGGTACTTGACAGGAAGAATATTTCCTCACCCCATTATGCCTTACTGATGGTGTTGTTGTGTGGTGTTGGACTATTGGTGCCTTTTATCACGTTTGTACACCCATGGGGGTCTCTATCAC